TGTATGCAGTGTGATATGAAGCTCCCGCTTATATGGCTGTCATGGCCATCACAAATAAGGAGCCTTTGTTGTAGTTGTCCATTTGGAAGTGTTGCTTTTGCTCTTGTAGAGGGCTCAAAAACGCGTTTTAGCCACTCATATCCATGAAGATTGCTTGTCCATCCTTTTGTATTTGCAGAGAAGTGCCATTTGCTTATAACATCCTTTGGAATCCAGCTCTGTAGTACATTCTGTCCCTTGAAGATAATGAGGGGGTCGGTGGTTGTTCCATCCATGCAGATGCACTCAACAGCAGACACCCATTCCTGCCGGCCTGGATGGGCTTGAAAACGCGTCCTAAGGCTTGAATCCACGATAATTCTTGTTGATTGCATTGTTCCAATTGAAAACCCAGTCTCATCCATGTTGTAGGTGTTGTGATTTTCGATTTTTAGCTCTGTTGTGAGGCTCTTGTACACGTCAAACCACCCCTTCAACACCTGCTTTGTGACCCCATTCATCCTTTGTGCCTCAACCCTCCTTCCTAACTTAACACGTAAGTTAGGATGCCTTTGAATGAACCGTGGCACCCACTCTTGCCCAAGAGGTAAGTTAGGGATTTGAGGTTGTGTCTGTTGAGTTGGTCGGGTCTGCTGAGTTGGTCGGGTCTGCTGAGTCGGTCGGGACTGCTGAGTCGGTCGGGTCTGCTGGATTGGTCGGATCTGCTGCTGAGCCGGTTGGTTTGATGGGGTCTGCCAAGCCACTAGTTAGAAATAGCCGAGTCTGCCAGTCTATAGCAGGTTTGATGGGTTGGTAGTTGACCTGACTGAGCTGGTCAACTAACTCTGTAGGTCGGCTCACCTGGGTTTGGAAGACCCGACACTTGTTTGACCGGACTTCCTCTGCAACCTCACGTAATATCCGATGGCTAGGAGCGTAACCACTTCCAGTAAGCTCTTTAATCCACTTTGAGAGGGTCTGCTCTTGAGTTTTTGATAGGAGTTGCTGGTGCTGGCGTGCTTCTACACGTGTGTGCCTTCCATTTATGCGACAGCGGAGGGTCTCCTCTGGTAGCCCTAAAGCTTTTGCAGCAGCATATATTGATTTGTATTGATTTGATTTAATAGCTAATATAGCTTTTTGAATTTGAATTTCGCGTTCTTGAGCCTTTATACTCTTCTGACGGACCATTCTAGCATAGTAGTAGTAGTAGTTAATAGGGTTGTAGGTTTGATGGGGTGGTTCCGACCCCACTACCCCCGTTACGCCATTACCCCCGTTACGCCATTACCCCCGTTACGCCATTACCCCCGTTACGCCATTACCCCCGTTACGCCATGACCTACGTTAATTGGGTTTGAGGTTGCGATGCTATCGGAAACTGTTTCATTTGGTGGGATGTTCCGTTTGGTGGTAAACCACGTTAATGGTAATTACTATCTACATCTTTAACATAACGTAAGTCATGGCCATAGCGGCGCCATGGACATAGCGGCGCCATGGACATAGCGGCGCCATGGACATAGCGGCGCCATGGACATAGCGGCGCCATGGACATAGCGGCGCCATGGACATAGCGGCGCCATGGACATAGCGGCGCCATGGACATAGCGGCGACTGCATCGACCACAGCAAAATCTGAGTCACATGACTAAAATTTAAACCTTAATAACTTTTGTAATACAGTCAATGACCGCCTTGGCGATATTTACTAGCCCAAGTGCAGGCAGGTATCGGGAACGCGGTCATATCGCCAAGACGGTTTTATGGATCAGATTACTTAAGCCAGCTATCTAGGGTCGTTTGCTATGTAACGTAGGTCGTGGCCATACCGGGGCCATGGCCATAACGTAGGTCGTGGTCAGACTGGCTACATGGCCAGACCGGCTATTAGTACCATCACATACAAATTTGTATGTGGAGGTACTTATGCTTGCGAAAATTAGAACCTTAATAACTCCTTTAATAAAAAGGCTAGAGCATATTCCTTGTATATATAGGAACTTTAAATAGTCATCTACTATATCTAAAGATGCTAATACCACTAGTATCTTTTTACATAAGTTACTAAAGGTTTTAACTTTTGCCATATAAATTTTTAGTATGGCAAATCTAAAATTGTTAATAACTACCTAATAAGGCTAGCTTACATGCTAGCGTTTTTAATTATAACGTATAAGTATATAAATTATCTAAGTTTAATAACATTAAGCTCTAGCAAGTCAATTAAAGTAATTATTACAAGTTTGAATTATATATCACGTGATGTGAATTTGCTTGTGAATTTACCTGTAAAATTGAAATAGCCGGTCTGGCCATGTAAGTTAGCCGGTCTGACCATGATCTATGTTACCGGGATGGTGGGGTAAGCCACCCCTTCAAAATATGAGCAGCTTCAAAATAATTGAAAATAGTTCTACCATTACCATGCTAATTCATCTATATCACTGTCAAATAGCTCCTCCTCACTCCCATCATCAATTAGATCAATTATAGATGTTGTAACTTGTGGAGTTGTTGATATTTTCGACTTTTGTGATGTAGCTGTTGTTGCTGCTTCTGCTTCTGCTACTTGCGACTGCAACTCCTCAGTTGTGATGTGGAATTGACCCTTCAAAACTGCTCTCTTGCCCTTATTTTGTACTCTGCGCTTCTGAATAATTGAGCGCAAGTTATCTGTCTCCCTTTGTTGTAGTATGTGGCATGTATTGAGCCGCTCTGTCTCATCTGCTAACTTATGAATATATCGCTTTGTAGGAGTGTTGAGAATGCCACGACTTATTGTAGAAGAGAGTACTGTATTTGCTTTGTGAAGTGTTGAAAAATCAGGTGGACTGCTGTTCAGAAATACTTTCTCAAAAATGTCATGCTCTGTTGGAGTCTTTGGCCGCACTATTACTGCATCTGTTGTAGGAAGCGTAGCTGCGCGGATAACTGTCTGCGGTTGAAATGGCTGTAGCCCACTCCCTCTCCAAGCAGAAGCTATATTTGAATTTGAAAATGCAGCTGCTCTTGCTTGTATGTATGCATCCATCCATTCTGCTTTCTGTATGCGTAGGAGCTGCGCCTCATTAAGGTGTGAGAGGGCTGTTGTGAGGTGTCTTTTCAAAGGTCCAAAAATTGCAACATCAAGTGGTTGGAGTATATGTGAGGTATGTGGAGGTAGTATAAGGAGCGATATGCGATTCTGTATGCAGTGTGATATGAAGCTCCGGCTTATATGGCTGTCATGGCCATCACAAATAAGGAGCCTTTGTTGTAGTTGTCCATTTGGAAGTGTTGCTTTTGCTCTTGTAGAAGGCTCAAAAACGCGTTTTAGCCACTCATATCCATGAAGATTGCTTGTCCATCCTTTTGTATTTGCAGAGAAGTGCCATTTGCTTATAACATCCTTTGGAATCCAGCTCTGTAGTACATTCTGTCCCTTGAAGATAATGAGGGGGTCGGTGGTTGTTCCATCCATGCAGATGCACTCAACAGCAGAGACCCATTCCTGCCTTCCTGGATGTGCCTGAAAACGCGTCCTAAGTGTAGAATCGACTATAATTCGTGTAGATTGCATTGTTCCAATTGAAAATCCAGTCTCATCCATGTTGTAGGTGTTGTAGTTTTCGATTTTTAGCTCTGTTGTGAGGCTCTTGTACGCGTCAAACCACCCCTTCAACACCTGCTTTGTGACCCCATTCATCCTTTGTGCCTCAACCCTTCTTCCTAGCTTAACACGTAAGTTAGGATGCCTCTGAATGAACCGTGGCACCCAATCTTGCCCAAGTGGTAACTTAGGTAGTTGGAGTTGTGGTTGTTGAGTTTGTGTCTGTTGAGTTGGTCGGGTCTGCTGAGTTGGTCGGGACTGCTGAGTTGGTCGGGACTGCTGCTGAGCCGGTTGGTTTGATGGGGTCTGCCAAGCCACTAGTTAGAAATAGCCGAGTCTGCCAGTCTATGGCAGGTTTGATGGGTTGGTAGTTGACCTGACTGAGCTGGTCAACTAACTCTGTAGGTTGGCTCACCTGGGTTTGGAAGACCCGACACTTGTTTGACCGCACTTCCTCTGCAACCTCACGTAATATGCGATGGCTAGGAGCGTAACCACTTGCAGTAAGATTTTTGATCCATTTTAAAAGGGTCTTTTCTTGGGTTTGGGAGAGTAATTGATGTTTTAAATGTGCTTCTTTATGTGAGGTATGTCGCCCTTTAATGCGGCTAACAACTGTATCAGGCCTTAGATGTAAGGCCTTTGCAGCAGCATTTGCAGTTTTATATAAACCAGATTTTACTCCAGCTACTGCTTCAAGTATTAGAATATCGCGTTCTTGAGCTTTTAAACTCCATTTGCGTACCATAATAATGGGGTAATTGATAGGTTTGGTGTGTTGGTTGATGGGTTTGATGGGTTAGTTAAGTGCTCGCTTACCTCACCATCCCGGTATGGCCATGGCCCCGGTATGGCCACGACCTACGTTATAGAAGATGCTCAAAAACTGATCGCTGAAAAAGAGGATAAAGGGCTGAAACGACAGAAAAGGTCAAATGAGGAGGGTGCTGTAGAGGCTGGTCCATCGACTTCGCGGCGCTGTGGGAGGTGCGGCAAGACTGGGCATAATGTACGAACTTGTCAAGAGGTTGAAGAGATATTAGGAGAAGAGAATTCAATTGAGTGTAGTTAATTTTAATGTGTTAGGGTGGAGTAATTGGGTTTGAGGTTGCGATGCTATCGGAAAGTGTTTCATTTGGTGGGATGTTCCGTTTGGTGGTAAACCACGTTAAGCGTTTTAAGTTATTGTCTTGTTATATATTTAACTTAGTATGACGGTAGTGATGCCAACTACCAAAAGTCCAACGTTGTTTCGCCTTTATTACCCATTAAATGTTTACTCCTGTTGATTAATTATTTCCCTCCATATTGAGCATCCTCTCCCATGACAAACAAGGAAATTTCTAAGGGAGCGAACTGCTCATGCTAATTGACAAGCATGTCTCGATGATAACTAAGTGATTTTCAAGCAACGTGACGACGCCCCTTATTATTGGTTGTGTTTGAGGCTTTCCGAATCAGAATACCCCTCGTCTTGTTCTAGTTCAGAGGAACCGGATAGTGCATCATTGCCTCGATCCCTCCTCCTCCTGCCGCCGATAGCTTGCAGCTTGCGACCAATAGCGCCCTTCAAAAACCCGCCTTTATGCTTGTCACTGTTCCCAGAACCCTTGAAAGAATACGAGTCTCCAGAATATCGTGTCTGACTTCCCCCTTCGCCACTTAAAAGATGGGATTTTGTCATAGCTAGTGATTGAGGGATGCTTGAACCTCCTCGACTACGAGATTGAAACGAAGCGGCGCCACTACTACCTGCGCTCACAGGACCTAGGCTGCTACTGTTTGAAGCAAATGACCGACGCGGGCTCTTAGATCGGTCCCTGGCATCTGTAGAGCTGCTCGCCAAGGTGCTACCTGTGTCGGTAAAATCATGAGGCGAATCTTGACGTGATGGCACTAAAAGGACATTGCTCGTTGCAAGCTCCCTCAGTCTATGCTGCTGTGTCATAGTTGGTCGAGATTTGGTAAATTTATTTCCGATAATTGCACCTGTATGAGAGATGAGTGCCCTGATGACATCCTTCTTCAGAGCAAGCGCGAGATCAAGATTTGACCAGGTCTTGTTCCGATACTCGAGCATAGGTAGGCGAAAAACGAAATCGTGCAAGTCTTCAATATTGCGTTGGTCCTTGCCCTTGTAACTGAGGCAAATGACTACACTGGGAATCTTGACATATGCCAGCGTCATATAGTTGGATGCTCGGTTTAACATCTTCGTCAGATCATCGGAAGGCTTCACGTCATCTTGTCTGCCACTGCGATTGATGGCGAAGAGTTTGTTTCGTCTCTCACTTGTTACACTCCCTTCGAATGCCGAAAAATTTGTCATGGATCGGGAGATTGTTGGTCGAGTGGCATTGCTTGAGCCCAAGCTATCAACAGAAGGTTTTTTGTGAATGCTCTTCGTTGATTGCTGATCTGGAGCATGCGCCTTGTTCGACTGGAATAGACGGAACGATGCGCCCTCGCTACCTTGAGTATGATGTAAAGTTACCATCCTCGCTTTCTTTCGTGACAAGCCAGTTTTCGAGCGACTCTCGGAATTCAAAGTTGGCCTCAATCTTAATTCTAGCGAATCGGCTCCAGACCCAGTATTCGCGTCCGACCTCTCGGCATCAGGATTGAGTACGAATTGAGTGGTATGCGTTGTTGAATTGTCTTCCTCATCATCTTCGTCCTGAGGCCGTGCCATGTTTTTCATTCGTGCTGCGGACCCTTTAATGTTGCCAGAAAGGCTTTCCCCAGAGCCTGGGAATATGTACTCAAAAAGCTTCACACCAACTTCTCGTTCTAGTTGCATTTTCATTGGAAACAGATTAACCTCGAAATGATCCATGACTGGAATCCCAGCAATTGCTTCGAGCATATACCAATAAACCCTCAGCATTTGCCTATTGGCGCCTTCAGATTCTTTGCGTTCAGGATCGAAATATGGAGCAATCATTTCGGGATATATGGCATCTGGAAGAAGATTAAGTCCCACAATCTTACCAATCTGTACGAGGTTCACATGTGAACCATCCGCATTATCGGTTCGATCATATTCCGCTTTTTGTAGCTGGAATTCCATAAGGGGCCGATCCTCATCGCGCATCAGATGCCATACTATCTGCTCGGATGCTATGTTCCACCTAAGCAGACCATTATTTTGAGAACCGTCATATTTGCGCTGTGACGTCGTGATCGCCTTCATCATGAAGAAGAGTTCGTCCCCACAGCTTGTTAGGTCGCGGTCTAAAAGGATTCGGCCTTCCCAGCCTTTTTTGTCTAGGTAATTCGAATGTATTTGGAATTGAGTCTTGATTTCTTCAAGTTGGCGAATACGTTCCTGGAGCCGGATGACCATCTCAGGGGCGCCACGAAGGTCGCTAAAGTCAGACGCAAGCATTATCTTCTCTAATTTCTCACTGCGAGTCTTTTCGAGGGGCTCGTTGTATAGTAACAGGTCGAGTACAATGATATACATGGCATAGTACTGAGATGAGTCGCAAATTGCTCTTATATGAGGAAACTGAACCCAGAGGTGATCCATTCGACTGTCCAGGCTATCAGCAGCGACTTTGTCTGTCCTGTCAACCTCATCATTGTACTTTAGGCGCAACGTATTGTATTTGTCGTATCTTAAGCTTGCCGAGGTCTTTTGCACAACACGCTTGAATCCAAATGGGTCGACTTCGAAATCGAACATGACTTCCATCGGAACCCAAGGTGGCCAGGCCGATCCCGAAGGCGTCCCATATTGACTTCCCGAATACAAGGAGAGAAGAGGAGATTTAAAAAGCTTCTGGTGGGTGACGAAAAACTGGGTACCATCCATTTCCACAGAGAATCGACGCTGAACCAGCCCGCTAATTTCATCAAAAATGCGATCTTTATCCATGATTTCAACAAGTTTAAGCTCCATGCCTTTCGCGGTAACCAGAGCAACAGACTTTGGGTTTTTCTCGCTCTGAAGCTGAATTTGAGGGGCGATAAGGCGAACATGGTATGTGTTCTGAGGTGTAAAATCTTTACCAATGTTGGAGGTAAGATGCTCTGCGGAGGGTCTTCCTGCGCTCTCATAGTTTCCGGGATCGTTCGCATCGACAAATTTTTTGGAATCAGCGAGTAACCCTTGGATTCGTTGTTGAATATCGAAGTCGGCGTTTTGCTCCTCTGTCCCGCTTGAAGGAGATGCAGATGGCGGTTGAGGACTCGGCGGTGTTGAAGACTTAGACTTCGGGGCTTTTGCCTTGTTTTGCTCTTCGACAATGTCTAGGATAAACTTCACTGCCCTTCTCGATAGGTAATATATGAACCCCCGCCTTTGGCTGACCTGGTGAATATATCGGAGAATGGTGTTGCGTAAAGAGTTGTTCCACTTTAGTTGAATGTTATGAATGACAAAGCGATTATTGAAATCACTAACAAAATCAGGGGCAGCAGCATTCTCCCCACGGGTATTATTCGAGTGGGTTTCTTCCTCTGGGAAGGTACGAGTATCGGTTCCTGGATCTAAGTCTAGACCAGGCGTCGCATTCCGGATATCTGCCCTAATTCTAGCTTCCATGAGATGCAGCATAGCTTCCAGGAACGATCGCTTCTCTCGTAGTACTGTATCATAACTTCTCATCTGATCAAGTTCGGCTTTAATCGCCGTGTCGTCATCAGCACTTGTAGCCTGTAGCTGGCGAAGCTCAATTTCTCCCATCGCTCGTTTGTGATCAATTACCTGTTCCTCGAGTTGATCTAGTCGATTTTGAATGAGCTGACATTGGACTTTTCGCGGATCGTCGTCTTTGGACATGATGCAGACATGGGTGGGCTCGTTTCCAAAGGGGCTTGTGCGATCTGGGTCACCAGCTATAGTGTCCCCATGGTCTGTTTGACGGAAATAAGAAAGCCTGGGTGCATAAGCAAGTGGCATGATTTTTGTATGTGGATTTGCCTCGGCTGGCAAAATCCAATCCAGTTCCACAAAATCATCCATATCTATCCAACTGAAATCATTGTCTGGAATAACAAATTTGGAAAGTTCAGTTGCACCCCTGTCCTGTTGAGTAACGGGCGGCGGAACAGATGCTTTCTTGAGGGTTTCTGGCGTTGTACCTGCAATTGTTGCAGACATGGCGCGGATGTCCGCTGATACCAAGTCCAGCTGAGCCTTATGGATTTTCATGCCTGTGGTTTTGCTCTGAGTTTTCCTGCCTTTGTCCTGAGTGTTAAACCACTCTCTTCTCTGGTGTATATCAAGCATGAAACTGTCCAGTTTTATCTTGAGTCCGGTCACCGAGACGACATCCTCCGTGTAATCCTCAGCTTCTTTGTGTTTGTATACATGGCTATGAAATAGCGGGGCGAGCAAGATGCTGTATTTTATGGTCGCCAAATGCCTACCAAATTTTTTGCTCGACTTTTCAAGTCCGGGCCATAATCGGCCTTGTCGAATTGGAAGAGACATCGTGCCTCCAAACATGGACCACCATGCAAAAAAATGGGTGAAGAACCGTGGGGTTAAATGGACGCTGTTGTAGCTTGTTGATGGCGTCGTATTTGTTACAGACCAACTCCGGTTCATTGGGGCTGTCACAGCGATAGATAAGTGGATATAGTTACTCCGAAATCCCCTGAAAGCGTCATATACATCCCCTGGCGGCGCTTTTGCAAAAGCAGGCTCTTTTAAAATAATGTCATAGTGCGGTATAAAGTCAAAAGTCCTTTCTCCGCCGACGATATTTCTTTCGAAGACAAGACCTGCTAACCATTGGACATTTCCAGAGAGTTTCATGATCACCTTCTTGAAAATTGCCCCCTTCCTGTAGCTATCGCTGCTTGCCACGCTGTCGCTGTCACGGCCCGATGAAATTGTTTGAAGGGCTTGATGACTGTAATCAGGAATGGCCAGTATGTAATCACCACTCTCGACGGTCATGAATTTCTTCGGGTCATTCTCACGCCAAACGCTCCACCGAACATCGTTACGCCAGCACATCAAGAAGCCGGCCCCGTTTCCGGTAACTGCGTAGGGGTCACGGGTTCCTTTCAGCAATAGATGAACGTCTCCATCGCCTTTCCATGACACGAGCAAGCGTGAGTGAAAGCCCAGGCGGATTTTGTCCCAGAAACCTGTCCGATCCGAAGGATCGATCTGAGGCTTTGTAAAATTTTCAATTACCATCATCATATCTTGGATTGCAGGCTGGTATGACGCGCCCCATGTAATTCTCGTCGGGAATATGGTATTGATGTCAATATTGAGATCTGAATATGACTTTACTGGAGACACGGTACGTCGTACATCGATAGCGAAATAGCCCGAGTTTGATTGTACCTGGTTCCTGACCTTGGCAGGAACGATATCAACTTTGACGTGACGGACAGATTGCGGTCCGCAGAACTCTTCCGCAATGACAAAGTTTGTCTTTAAAGACCAACTTGGCAACCGTAGGGACTGGCCTGGCTTCATGGCTGGCACGTGTAGGAGAGGGAGAGGGTAGTCTCTGAGCGACATACGTGCCTCTCCCATGTCGATCTGGACGTGCATGGGAATGAGTAAAGAGTACTTCATATCGTGAGGCATACCCTTCCCAATCTGGTGGAGAAATTCTGGGAGTTGGCTAGGAGGGAAAGTAGGTTTATCAATAGTGATGTGTAGATCGTTGATCAGCGTACTCATAAGACCTGGGCGCTGAGGTATCTCCACAATGTTCTCAATGTCTTCCATATCGTCGGGTAACTCATCAGGGCCCCAGAACCCGCCCCGCAATTTCTTCATGTCGTTCATCTGTGTCCTGTATGATTGATCGATACGTCTCTTCCAACTTTGTGCATTATAATGCTGTAATGTTTCCATAGCTTCTTGGATTGGGACCTTTGTAGAGGCACTTAGACCACACAATCCCTCCGGGTCGTATCGCATACGGTAATGACGCGTGGTTGATCGTGAGCGCTCAGGTCTTTGTGAGTACTCTTCGCTTTTGCTTCTCATGTGGGAAGTACCCTGTTGATTACTTCGGCCAAACGGGCGAGCCGATCGAGTACGGATTCTTGACGTGTCCTTTCTCTGTTCTTGTTCTTCGACCTTCTTAACTTTGACTCTAAATGCTTCCTCGCGGGCAAGGCGTTGCTGTTGTTCGACCAGTCCAGATCTGTAAATATTGCCCAGTTTCCATTCAAATGCACCATCTTCGATTTCAAAAAGAAGTGCCTTGCTACGAACAGAAATTTTTGGCACATGCTTGGGTCCCTCTGGACCCTTCTTCAAGATATACTCATTTGTCCCGGTTTTGAACCGGTGATGAAGTTGTTCTATCGCTTTGACTGTGTTCACGACATTGTCAAAGACTTTATATAGAACAACTTGATGCGGCACAGCTAGCCGTATGGCTTCCGTGCTGACTTCAATAACATTATCTTCCACAGAAGCTCCAGAGGCTAACTGTTGCCTCATTTGTCGCAAGTTAACCTTTCCTGTTTTGATACTGGCGAGGCGAGCCCATACCCGCTTCATCTTAGGTGCCTCGACGTAGAGTCGAGCAAGCTTGCAGTTCATGAAGGGTGGTGAGTATCGCCGACGGCCAGTTTCCACGCCGTACACTTGCAGCATCATAGGTGGGTCAGCGGGCATATTGGCTTTTACTTGAATTAAGCCAAACTTGGCATCGATTGTTACCAGTTCGTTCAATCGCAGTCTGTGCTCGAGGAGGTTGCGTTTGTTGCTGTTAGTTGGAAACTGCATGGGGGACAGGTAGTCTAGGCCATTGATGTCCCTAGTGGCCGCCAGCGAGGGACGGATAATATCAACATTCGTTTTGGTGCGAATGAATGCCTTTCGAAATACGGTTCCTGCGACGCCAATGGCATAGTGCCGATATAACGAATATTGGATCAATAGTGTCCTGACATGCGAATTGACATGAAATAGAGGCCCCTGGGTATCAGTGGAGGTCGAGGCGGTAATATTGCATTGCGGCATGGCAAGAAAAGACTCGAATTCCCACTTTTCTGAAGATTCAACGACGAATCCTTCTAGGCCGCAAACGTCTATCGTTAAGCATCGTCCATCAGTCGAGTCTTGGCTGTGTTCGATACTTTGAGGGACACTTCTGTGGTGGTGGGTGTCAGGGGTTAACGATCCGCTGCTGGCCCGTCTATGGGATGGGTTGCGGTCTGCAATTTTTCCTTTGTGTGCTCGATATTCCGCTGTCCACGATTCTAATTGTAAAGCAACGCCGCGTATATCATTCGAAATATCTGGGTCAACACCAGCGACTTCAGCGCTGAAATTCGAAGCATGGAATTGAAAGTGGAGTAGCCACGGTGGTAGAGCTCTGACGAAGTTGGGATCTTTCGATGTTTTGGGATTCACCTTTTTATCCGGCTCTACGTTAGTCCTAAGTTGGTGGACAATCTCGCGGATGCCCTCACTTAGTTCTGGGCGGATCATTCGGACCGAGAATGTCTGAAGACTACCGGAAGCTATCACGTTAACTTCAGGGCTTGCGTTCACCTGTACTTTAATCTCCATAGACTCTGTCTGAAGTAAATCATAGCGAGCTGCCGAAGCTGTCTGGTAGTACAAATCGTGTGATTGCACTCTGAATGTGGATGCTAGCGCATAGTGAATATCTCCTTCAGCAGAATGAGACGATTCTAGGTCCAACGACACCGAGGAAATGGATGATATAATGAGATCAAAGTCGTCTTCGTCAGCATCCTTTTCCACGGGAGGTAATGCTATGCGGAATACTGGCTCATGCATAGAAAACTTGACATTCGCTTTGGGTAGGAACTTTGAAATTAGCTCGCGGCTTCCTTGGCCTGATCGGGATGTCGATTTTGGACGTGGTTGCATGATCGTCATGAGAAGTGGAAGGTGTTTCGGGTCAAGGTCAACCGACGGAGAAGTGATGACTATGTTGGCAAATAAGATATTTGCATTGCGCTCATCAGCACTTTGAACCCCTTTAAACCCAACAATCTTGGAAGGTAAGGTGGTTCTTATCGTGGTGGTAGTCATCGGTATATATACTAGGCGGTCTGACTTTCCATGGCCATCATCAACACCAATAGAAACAGAAAGCGCCGCCAAGAGACCTTGATGTGCCACAGTTTGCGAAGAGAAGTACATGCGATGGTCTGGAGACTTGGGGTCTAACCGATGTACATCTATGCCGACCTCTTTCATGGAAGCATTAAAAAATAGAGGGCCGTTGCCGGGCTGAACATTTCGAATCTTCTTTGCAAGTCCAATGTGGGTAATTGCAAATTGTATTTCCTTGATTCCTCGGAGGATTGAACTGAGAAATTCGTTGAAATCCGAAGTGTTCTCCATGTTTGTGTCACATTCAGCACTCGTGTCCACTTTCAGATTTGCGACCTGCGCGTCAGAGGTTGAATCTGTTTCATGGCGGCTCTTTGAGAAAAGCTTAGAGCGATTGCGGTAACAAGATAAACACGTCTCTATATCGTCCACGGGAATATGTAGCCTTCCTAGCTTTAGTTCAATTGATGCCTCGTGCAGCCCGTCAATCTCCTTGTAAAGCAGACCATTTATGTTGAGAGCTGCGTGATCCAGGACCTCCAACGACTCGTTCCCTTCGGCAGTAAGTAGCACACTTCGAATGGTGACCGTCCATTCGGCTGGTCGCTGATGTTTCTCTTGCTGCTTCTTGCGTGAGAATATGTGCCCCTGGTCGACCATTTTCCGCCTCGTATTGACGGCAATGGTATAACTACCAATCTGGATAGTTCCCACTTCCAAGATTGTGAGTGATGAGTTGGTGGCCACAATATCGACCATTCGAAGCCACCCAATACTGCGATGGAGGCGCTTGACCCTTTCCTTCAGTTTTTTAAGTTCGTCCCAACTCTTCCGCTGGCTTTCGCTGGCGCCTTTGCCATGGTATTTCGCCCAGCCTTTCGCAGCCTGAGGTTGGGGCGTATGGTCGGAATCTTCAGCAGTATCTTGGCTTAACTCTGTGATGTTTTTGAGCTTCTGCTTATTTTGTGTTTCCAAGGCTTCGATATCAACCGTTACAGCAAGTTCAGTCACAACAATGCTTAGCCAGGTCGGCTGGGCAAATGTTGGACGATGAAGGTTGATTCCCAACCCGCGGATTTCCACTCTTATTCCATCTCGTGGTGTGTATGCCAGTCTTCTCAGAGACAAATAACCGATGCGTTGGATGGATATGCCGGTGGCGATGCGTAGGACTGCAAAGAGGATGAACGACGAGAGGTAGAGGAGCACCACAATCCCAAACACAAAGGAGGGGCTTAAGATGGCCATTTTGTCGGGCAGGACTCGTACGCCATGGACTGTAGGAGGCCTACTTCAGATCAGTGACTCCATAGGATGGCCTGGAATACAGCAAGAGCAGGCGCGTGTCGGTAGGCCAGCCCGTAGTTGCCAGTATCACCACTGAGCCAGAGATGTTACCGGGCCTAGGATCATTGGTAGCTCTTTGGATGCAGAATGTATGGTCATGGTCCAACTAAATCAATTCGCATGGCATGTTGAGTGGATGGGCGCGCATAAACTATGGACCAGTTTGAAAGATGGGTAGATCTGAAATATAGTTGATTTCCATCATTGTCCAGCAAGGCAACAGATATGGGTAGACATGTATGAAGATGGAGTACAGGCGGACTGTTGGGGGCTCGTTTTGAGATCCTCGAAATAAATAAAATACCCTACAGCTGTCTAGAGTAGCGATATAATGGGTATGAGCAACTACGTATTGGGGTTGTTGATCGTCACGTGTGCTGCCAAGGGGGCTTGGGGGCAAGCTTTTGTTCGCAAGGTACTCTGGTGCATTAAATCACGTGACCAAACACTGCGGGTTAGCCTTACAAGTACTAAAATGCCACCCGCCACCACCGAACACCGCTTCTACAGCCTTTCTCTCGCTTAAAAGTACAGACCGTGCACGTGCGTTGGGTTCCTTGCACCTGATATTATTCACTAAAATCCATCAAAAAAAGCATCATCTCAATTCGGAGATTTCGATCACTCTAATCCACCCCTCGCTCCAGAATCACATCGGATACCGGGGATTCACACGATAAACATCAACCCGAAGGACAGAACAGAACTTTCTTCAGCGCTCCAATTAAACGCCGCCCGTTACAACTTGTTCCCGCGCATTTTTTCTATATCCGCAATCATGGGTGAGTTGACTTTATCCACCTGGGACCGGTCTCGCTTTGGCCCCCTCGAAGCAGGATCAATTGAGGCCGGCGTATCTGGAGATAATCATGAAGCTGACAGCATATTCTGCAGGTCCGAAAAAGAAGGAACAGCAGAAGATGTCCCTCGGGGCCTTCATGACTGATGAGAGTAAGCTATATACCGAGATGCCTAGATGTTACATGGCTAATACTGCACAGAACTTGGATCCTGGGCTGATGAGATGGAGGATATGCCAGTCTGTGAGTATATTTTTATTTTTTTGGAATTGACCCTCCCAATATTTTCAGCTTGCTAATCGTTTATAGCCGGTATGTTTGCTCTTTCCAAGCCCCGAAACTCGCACACATAGGACCCATATCACCAACCCTTTCCTGGCGACTTATTTGACCGGCTTGATTCATGCTGATTCAATAGACTCTCGTTCTGGATATGGCGCCGAAAAGCGAACTTACGGCTCTACAAACACTACCTTCGGAAGCGGTAACCTAGCTGGTTCGTCACTCTAATTGGAATATGCCAATGAACCATGCACCTGCTAACAGTGCGGTTCAGGATACTCTGTCAGAGAGGAACTACCTCTCCCAGATAAGCCACCTTATACTGTGCATCTAGGAAATCTCTCATTCGACGCTACCGTTGGTGACGTGACGGATTTCTTTGCTGATTGCGAATGCACCAATGTTCGCATCATCGAAGACAAGCTCGAAATGAAACCCAAGGGGTTTGGATATGCAGAGTTTGGTTCCCGCGAAGGCCTGATCAAGGCGTTGGCGCTTTCCGGATCGCAATTCCAGGGCAGAAACATCAGAGTCAGCGTCGCAGATCCACGTATGTTTTGCAGCCGTTGCTACATGTGCCTCCTCATACTGACCATCCTTGCTATATAGCCAAAGATCGTGATCGCCCGGATGTTCGTGAATTGGGAGACTGGAGTCGCAAGGGACCATTGCCCGACCTGCCAGGTCGCGGAGGAAACGACCGCCGAGCACCTGAGAGAGGGTTTGCATCCGGAAGAACATTTGGCGATGGAGGCTCGGAATCCGGCGGTGATCGTAGAGAGCGCCGCGATCCATTCCCTCAGGATGATGGAAAGGTCAGAGACCTTGGCAACTGGGAGCGTCGCGGGCCATTGTCCACAGTTCCCCAACAGGAGCGCCAAACGAGCACCAGAGAAGGGGGCCGTAGCAGCACAGTTGATGGGCCACGTGCGGAAGGGTTCAAAGATAGGAGAGCATCGCCAGCTGCATGGGGAGAGGGCCGTACCCAGGACTCTCAGGATGGCTCGAGACCTCCAAGACGCGAGTTTCAGGAGCGCCCAGTTGCTGATAGAGCTCCAACTGCCGCAGAGCAGGATAGCCAATGGCGAACAAAGATGAAGCCAGACGCCCCAGTTGCACCAGCTGCGACTTCGCCGCTGCCATCGAGAGATGGTAGTGAAGGCCCGGCTTCTCCCGCACCAGCCTCTGCAGCCCCTGTTGGAAGACCAAAGCTGAACCTGACAAAGCGCACAGTGTCTGAAGCAGCTGACGTGGCTTCACCAGCATCTGCTACTGGCGATGCTAAGGCTAGCCCATTCGGTGCAGCACGTCCTATTGATACTGCTGCCAAAGAAAGGGAGATCGAAGAGAAACGAGTTGCTGCGCTAAAGGAGAAAAAGGAGGCCGATGACAAGTCTCGCGAGGAAAAGCGCATCGCCAAGGAAGCTGCAAAGGGAGAAAAGACCGAAGGTGAAACTGATGATGGCACACCAACTGCAGAGATTGTGAAGAAGACGGATGGTCTTACCCTGGAAGAAGAATCTGCGACTCAAGACACCACCGACTCCAAGCCTAAAGAGGCGGCTCAGCAGAAACCCGCTGATACTGGGGCCTGGAGACGCCCTGCAGCTGGCCCAAAGCCCCCCCGAAGCGATGTCCCAAGGGGTCCTCGCGGTGATGGACCGCCACGTGGTCCTCGCAATGATTCCAACAGAGGTCCAGGGCCACGAGCCAACGGTGGAGCTCCACCATCCGGCGCAGCCGCCGAGCAGGTGGCAGAGGCTCCAGAGGAAGACGGCTGGAGCACGGTCTCAAAACCTAAAAAGAACCAGCGTGGTGGCGCACGTGGTATTTAATCATAGGTATTTAATTCAGCGTCTAAGGCAGTGCGGGAAGCGAAATATGCAGCCATGAAGGGTTGGGCATTTTCTGATCCAATCTCTTTACACGACGGTACTATATGCAGTGGATGGATCTGTACTCGGCGTTTGGTCATGTTTGTTGTTTCTGGTATCTTGTGTGTGCGCTTAACTCCTTGCTGATTTGGCTTTGGATAGCGCGTATGAATGATACCGAGGATGTCGCGTTGCATTAAGGCTGTCTCATAACTATGCTTTCTTCGTTGTTTCTACTTCGCATATACGGTTGCGTTTTCAGCGGGCTTCCAAAGTTCTATTGAGGATCTATCATGGGAGCATTGGAAGAATGAATGCAAAGGTGTGCTCTCAGATGAGAAGTAGTGGCAACTAGACTCACCGCCGCATTATGATCGCTGTGCATGCACGATAGTGCTAAATGGCACAGAAATATGGATTCTCGCATGCTTGTATTTATAAATGCCTTCCAGACGCCTCAACTTTGAAGACCCAGTCCGTTTATGTCTCGATATTTATGTTAAAAGTGAATGAACGTGTATTGACTACCTAACGCAACCGCTTATATATCCTCAGACTTCCAATCTTCCTGTGGCGCGAACCCATTCTATTGCCTTTGCCTTAACTTTCTCCTGGCTTTTGGCATCGCCGTACTTACCCTCCCACTCGCTCCAACGCTTGAACCAGGCCTTTGCACCCTTCGGCTTCAAGTCTTTACTCCTGGCTACTCGCTCAAAGAGTGCCCTGACCATGCCTTCATCACCCTGTTGTATCTCCAGATCCAAAAGTTGATTCCAGAGATCTAACCTCTTCGGGAACGTTGCCAAGACTCCCTCAAATGTCGTTCTTCCTCGTTCAGGTGAGCCATGCGGTGAGTGAAACTCGAGAGCTGCAAACTTGATCGTGAGAGTGAGGTGGTTATGCGATGGCAGCGACTGAATGGCCCTGGGTAAGAGAGCCCATGCCCTATCTGGAGATGACAGCGTATAATGCAGGAAATGCGCATAATTGTACCAGGCATTGGGATATTGCGAAAACTTCTTGATCAGAACTTGGAAGAGCTCATCGGCTTTCTGTTGTAATTGTTAGCAAATTCCGAAACTAAAAAAGGACTGTAGAAGTTGTAGCTTACGGTATGTTTACCCGACTGAATGTAGATGCTTGTCAACCGTTCGTGGATTTCGAAAGCATCGTTATACTCACAGGCACGTTTGAAGACTTCTTCGGTCGTGTCATCGCTTCCATACGCATTTTCCAAGTTAAGCAATGCTATCCATACGTTCATCTTCTCCGCTTCTTCGCGCATGTTGATGGTACGAATGGCTCGCTCGGCAACCTCTCGTGCTTTGGCAAGTTCACTGAGCTTCACCTGGAAAGCCATGTATTCAATCCACAACTGTGAAGAATCTGGTTCACTCAGCAATAGTCGTTCGAAATCACTTGTCGACTGTGGGCCATTGGCATCAAGCTCTCCAGTACGGTCGACCTTGATAAGTGGCTTGCGGCGTGCCTTTTTTTTCGACGCACTTGCCAACCCCTCTTCTTCAGAATCTACACCAATTTGCTGGTCCGCATCATCCAGGGTAGACGCAGTCCAGTTGAATCCTCCCGCTTCGAGTGGGAGACCGCTTGGTTGCTGTAGAGCATCTTCCATGTCGGGGTCCGAATCATCTCCTGATAATGCGACTAATGCGTCAACCCTCTCCAAGTTGCCGGAATTGCCCTCTTCCGAATCTGCGTCGTCGTCACTACCCAGTTGTACTCCTTCCATGCCATCTTTTATGCCATAATCCATTTCCTCATCACTTTCCGATTGATCTTTGAAGTATGAAGCTCTTAGACCAAAGCTTACGCGCCTATTGTCTAATTCAACCTTTAGTACCTTTGCCTTCACAGCATCACCCTCGGAGTAAAGCTTCTTGACATCTGTGACCCGATTTTCAGTCATTTCACTCCTATGGCATAAACCACTAACGTTCATCGAGCCGTCCACAACGATGAACACGCCGAAATCCTCAACCTTTCGAATCTTGCCAGTAATAGTCTGGCCAACCTCCAGGTCATTAAGAGATATAGGTGCAACATAATCGTTGTCGACAACGGACGATTTTAGACTCAACTGGACATGGTTCAAGGCTGGATCGGCAGCTATCACTTTGCCCTTGACAAGCTGATCAACCTGAAAGCTTGGCTTCCATTCCTTGATGTAGGCATCGGAGAGGTCGGATACTCGGGTGTAGGCTGTCACGTTCCCACCGAGGCTGACGAATATGCCATTCTCAGCAACATTATTGACAAAGCCCCTGACAACATCATTCACCTTCAGCTGCGCAACAGACGAAACTTCGGCATCTTTAACAGGCAGGGAAGAATTAAGGACTCGGGATGGTCTTGTTGTGAGCCTTATGCGTTTGTTGGGGACGTCAACGTCTGTAATACACACTCGAACAATATCGTTTTTCGAATAGATTGTTGGGTTGGCGTCAGAGAAGTCATCAGTAAGATCAGTCAAGTTCACTGGTCCTGAGACTTTATCGCTCAGTTGGACCATAATTTGGCGCTCTGTGACCTTAGTGACCCTTGCAGGTACAACCATATCCTTCTTTAAATCTTGGAAACTCAAAGCACTGCTGCTGCCTCTTGCCGATCGGCCGCTTAGGTCCAGGCGGTTATTTGCAACATCAATCCCAGTCACGCTGACTTTTATGGCAGACCCAACAGGAAACTTTGACTCGAGGTTGTTAAGTAAGGATACATCGTCGGAGATGTCAAGAGCGCCGATACGTCCCCGAACGTTGGGGGATATATTAACCCAGAGGCAATCGTCACGCACGTTGTTGACAAATGCAATCCAAGATGACCCCACCTTCACTTTATTAAGGGTAAGAGCCTCTGGTGCGCTCTCTATTGTTTTAGTCAACTTTGCAGACAATTCGAAGACTGCCGTCTTGCCGGCCGTGTGGGTTATGGGCAAGAACCTATGGTTTTTGGCATCATGGATACCAAGAACTCGAACGGGAATAGTCTGTTTTGCGGAGAATTGCTTCAGTGGATGCTTCCGGTCTTTGATCTCCTCCCAAGATTCAAAAACTTCAGATACATCGATTCTGCCTTGGATATTGTTGGCCAACTGCACATTAATTTGAGTTTCTTTGACCGAGGCGATCCTAGCCATCGTCACCCTGCCCAACGTAAAGTCTTCCGCAGCAGTTATGCTTTCATCAACTGGGTTAATAGCCTTCTGGGATTCGCCATGGTATACCAACTCGCCATCGACGGATGGTACCGAGATGTTAATGTCTTTGACAGACAGCAAAAATCGTTTCTCGCTTTGATCAACAGAGAGGACCTTGGCCGTCAATGATTGGAGGCGGCGGAGGCCAAAATCAGGCAGAGTCTGAGCCTCGTCTTGTAATTTAGACTTTGGCAAAAGCCCAGTAACTCCACCTCCAAATTGGACAAAAACTGCTGTGGGCGTGATGTTCTTCACAAAACCATGCACAATCTTGTTCTCTTTAACGTCGGCAAACTCTCTTAACAGAGTTCTCTCGTTCGCTGCTTTCACTAGGTTGGACTTGTTTGTAAGAGTTATGAGACGATTCTTTTCGACTTTGTCGATGACAGCCAAGTTTTGGAGAGTCTGCCCCACCCTTATCTTCTTGAAAGCTGAGAAGTTTTTGGCCTCTGAGCCATCCGTAAGATGCCCGACAGGAAGTATAGCTCGCAGACCAGAGAGTTCAAGTTCAACTGATATGTCATCATTGGACTTCTCTGTCACGGTGGCGGAAACTATTTCGCCAATTCGAAGCTTCTTCAGCGAACTTTGTTGTGAGAGCCCAAAGGCTGCCGGGTCTTTGCAGGAAACTGTGAGTCTTGCGGCTGCAGGATCAACATTTAGGACATGAACATTGACGACTTGCCCAACGTGGAAGTGTTGGCTAGGATCCTGTATGTATGATTCGCTCATCTCCGAGACTGGTAGGAAGCCACGAACGGTACCATAAAACTGGACAACCGCTCCGCCAGGTAGAATACTGATTATAGTCCCAGGGCTTTGCGAGCCAGGTTCAATATCTTCGTATGACTTGAAAACGGGGTTTTCAGAGTTAACCAACGCCTTTTTCAATGTTAAGCGAAACTGGCGCTTGCTCAAATCCGTCGAAAGAACACGGGCAGTGACACTAAGACCTTGTTTGAATTTCTTTTCGGGGTGATGAAATTTGACATCAGCCATATGCATTTCTGGTACAAGGCCAGTGATACCGTCGGCAAGTTTGACAAACAGGCCACCAATACCAGCTTCGTTGATAAATAGCTTATCCACCTTCCCCTTGACAACCTCGCCAATGGTTAGGTCTTCGATCTGCAAAAATGGCTGTTCAAGGACCCTCTGCTCCAGAGACACGAGGTAGATTCCATCCAGTGAGTTATACCCAACAACCCTGCCCCGGTGGGTTGAGTCAACTTTGTAAGGCCCAACTGACTCAGAAAGTGTTTCAACTTTTGAATCGGCAACCCTCGAGATATGCACGAAGCCATTCACCCCTTTAACTCCGATGTCAACGAATAAGCCTATTCCCGGTTGAACTTTTTTGACTGTCGCTTCTTCAATGATGCTGGATAATGGAAGGATCTGCAGAGGATCGTGTTTCTGTGCGTTCTTCTGTGCCTGCTGTGTCGAGAGGGACATAACATGATCCAGTAGGGAGATGCCAAGTTTCCTGGGTTCAACATTTGGGAATGTACAGATAATTCTGCCTTTGACTTTGCTGCCGACCTTGTATTTCTTCTCCAGGTCCTTTCCAGCGTTACTGAGTCCAGAGTGTATTAAGTCGGCTGTCACATCGATGCTGCCCATAACCTTGCCAGCCACACCCCTGGGCGTAATATCTGCGAGGAGAAATTCAACCGCCGTTCCAGGTAAAAAGGCATCGACAGTCGGTGCGTCGCTCAAGTAGGTCGGCTTCTTAGAATTGGCGATCTTTTGAAGGTCTGCCGACAACTTGACAATTTTGCCATTGGAACTGAGGCCTGTGATCATGCACAGCATAACTGCACCTTCCTGTATCGTATTCATCTCGATGGCGTACCCAATCTCTTTGGAGGACATGAACCCTCCAATGGCAGATTTCTGCAACCCAATGTCCATAATAATCCCATGATCTTCAACACTGACTACTGATGCCATTATCATGCTGTTCGGGGCCAGTTCTTTCGCAGTAATGCCGCTATTGGCTTTCTGAGGCTGAAGAGAGAGCTCAATGCGCCGTTTCCCGACTTCAGCGCCAGACGCATTGTTCTCGTTCGTAGAAACAACGAAAGCTCGCAGGTACTGGCCAACTGAGAATAGATCGTTGAGATCAATGTCATCTGCTATGCTCGAAGAATCGTCGTCGCTTGCTCCGTCGTATGCTGCCACCAACATTTCTACTCTTTCCGTCAACTTCCCCGATATCGAGGTTAGAGGGACATAACCAGTTAGGTTGTTTGGCAGTGCTAGAGCTATATCATGAATATTTATTTTCGAGACTTGCCCAAGTACCAATGACCCTGGGACAAGGCGCTGTTCTACATTAGCACAAACCACATGCCTGCTCAAGAGAGGTACTAACCTTGTAACTTAGACCCTCGATCCTTATGTCGTCACCTTCGTCCCCCTTCACATTTGCGTCCTTAGTTCCCTTGCTTTTTTGCTTGCGCTTCTTCCCTCCATGGCTAGTAGCCGCCTCTGAATCCCCATCAGCTTTCGCCCTCGATGCGGTCTCATGTTCGAACAGGACATCTCTGGTCGCGTCGATGTTAATCTGTTTGTGCTCTAGAGGTGTTAGGACGCTTGCGCCTCCACGTGGGAAGGCAGCCTCTTCTTCTTTGGCTTTTGCAATTTTGGGAACATGTGCAGTCGGTAGAGTGGTAGTTCCCCTGTTGGGCTTTGCTGTATAAGAGGTTCCAGTCTCCTCCTGTCGCAGCCTCTTTTGCGGTCTGTTATCATTTTCGCCGACCTTCTTTGAGCGAACAAATGAATCATTCGTGGGCCCCGTCTTCCTTTTGATCGGCCCCATGATTGTCGTGTGTGGAATTTGCTCCAAGCAAATTTACTTTTCTGCTTGCCTTTCCTCGAAACGGGAAGTTAGTCGAAAATAAGAATTATTTATGTTTCTGCCACTTTTCACCGACTTCGTTATCTGACTAGCCCCGCGCGTAACACGGACGACTTAATCGTCGGTTGGCTTATGACGAAGCTCCGAGGCAACCAATGGTACAGCACTAATGCGCCGTACCTACGTTAACGGCACTCGTGGATGTGCACCCGTTTATGAAGATCCAAGTAGCTTTGCTTTAACTATTAAACTCTATGATACATTTTTTTACTTATTGCAACCTGCATAGTAATAACGAGTGGATAAACTACCTCAAGGCCTCATGGCCTCACAGAAACCACGACAGTCAAACTCAGACGATGAAAGTACACACGCCAGTCGTCAAGGCGTCCTGAAGGCAACGGCGGCATCTCAAAACCCGAACGATACAGATGAGACCAAGAATATAAGTCCAGCTACGACAACTACAGGAGAGGTTTGCACCCGTTCCTGAAGTTGGCGCTGGGCTACTTACTAACTAAACTAGATCCAACCCCGCAGCTGGTATGGTGGAGGGTCCTGGCCGAGGATAAAGTCGAACCCATCTATACAGGTCGTAAAGGAATCTATTATGGCTGGCAACAACTCCCGGCCAGCCGATGTTGCGCTATTCGAGCAAAGAACTCCAGCGGAGCCACAACCCTTCAAAGCCACTGTCTCTCGTCCAGCATCTATGGATCCTGGGAAAAGCAAAGAGACACTTGAGCTCGTCTCGGGCGAGCCCTCGATCAAAGATACCGCTAGAGGCAGTTCTGACACAGCGAACGGACCGATAACACATTCCGTAAATCCTACTGACGACCAATCGAAATCGACAGATACTGTTGTTGAGCCCGAACCTGATAATTCAAAGCCTCAATCAGACGACGTTGTGGAACGACAAAAAGCAACAGGGTGGTTAGAATGGCTGCGGCCCACAAAGGCCCAACATAACGTCCAATATGGATCAGTCGCAGCTGAGGAAACTGTTCCATCTGTCGATGAACCTCAGCAACCACCCAATAAAGTGCCACCTTCAGACAACAAAACGAAGCCGCAGCCTCCATTGGCTTCAACTGTTGCTACTGATCCTCGACAGAACGCAGCAACCGGCCAACACAGTCTAACAGAGCCAAACAGTCGCTGGCCGGGGTTATGGCCTGTATCAAACTCCACCGCCACAGTTGCTCGGCCTGAAGAAAATAACAGCGAACAAGAACCCATAAAGCCAGATTTAACTATAGGCAAAGATAACGAACAAAGTAGAAACGCTACAACTACAGGCTCTAGCTGGGCCTTCTGGTCTAGTCAGGTGCCAAGTGCAACTTCACAAACAACCAATTCAAAGGAGATGGGAGAGATCGCTATTACTGGAGAACCGTCGCAAGAACATCCAGTGGCGGCTCTCTCCAACGCGCCTAAAAACTCTAAAGCGGGACATGAGTTATCAACTAAGACGGCTGCAGTCAGGAGTTCCTCTTCTGCAAAATCCATCGCTCCGAATCTGTTGCTCCCTTCTTTCAGAAATACGTACCATTTAGCAGAGAGCCCGTCAATCATACAGCAAATCTCCCGTCTGCTATTTCGTAGTCACCAACCACCAACGAACCATCTTTTTGTAATCAAGGATCCGCCTAGGATCAAGAAAGCAATTGCGATCGGGATACATGGGTTATTCCCAGCCGCACTTTTGAGAACAGTGATTGGGCAACCGACAGGAACTTCGATTCGATTTGCAAACCATGGGGCCTCTGCTATTGAGAGGTGGGCTGAGAAACTGGGGATACAGTGCGATATTGAGAAGATTGCTCTTGAAGGTGAAGGGAAAATTGCGGAGCGTGTTGACCGTCTATGGAAACTTCTTCTAAATTGGGTCGCACACGTTCGGCAAGCTGACTTCATCCTTGTGTCATGCCACAGCCAAGGGGTTCCCGTTGCGATGATGCTAACTGCAAAGCTTATAAACCTTGGGGTAGTGACCTCGGCGAAGATTGGTGTCTGTGCTATGGGTAAGCTAACACAGGACTTATCCGTACAATTTCATATTTAGGTAACTAACTAGACCGTGCTCTAGCTGGTGTCTCACTTGGGCCATTTACGGATTATAAGTCACGACTATTCAGTGGTAGCGCTGCGGAACTGTTCGACTTCGCAGACCCAGACAGTGACGTTTCTCGGAGTTATCACGAGTCTCTTAGTGTTGCCTTGAAGTATGGGGTCCGAGTGACTTATGTCGGCAGCATTGATGATCAGCTTGTTTCTCTAGAGGTATGGGGAATCCAAATACGTTAGTTAGGTTAGGGCTAACAGGACAGTCGGCTGTGTTCTCACCAGTGGATCACCCCTACATCTACCGTTCAGTTTTTGTAGATGGCCGCATCCATGCTCCCGATTTGTACGATCCCACCCTTGTTTTTCTGTCACAGCTAATAGTATTTAGCATCACAAATCTGGTAGGTTTCGCTTTGAAATTGCGGAACCTAGGAGTATCAGATCATCAACTCATCAAGGCGCTTTCCGCCCCATTAGCTGGGAGTCTTTATAGTGGCGAAGGGCACTCAAGACTGTATGACGAAGAGGCCATTTATGAGTACGTTGCTTTCCATTTGTTGCATGCTCAACCTCGCTAATAACCCCTCTAGCTTAAGTGTCCAATTTGCGCTGGAGACGACATCAGTCGGTCAAAATGTTGATCTAAAGGTCCAGAGGAGTGTGGCAAATAGCAGCTCTAATCCCTTCCAGTTACCTTGGAGTATGAGAGGGCTGCTAGAGGAGGAGGTTGTTAAAACGGAGCTAGACCAGGAGGCTAAGGAGCTTCTATTGCAGTTTGAGGAGTGGAAGCCTACTACTAAGGTATTGAAGGACGTCAAGTATAGACTTGAGGTTATTAAATCAAAGCTATGACTGATCGCGTCGCGGGTGGTGTCTGGAGTTTAGCATATTACATTTGGAAAATACCCAGGGATTCTGCAGAGGAATTAGAGGCGGCAATACAATTTTATTTTATTGTTTTATTATTTCAAAATAGATGAATAAATACAATAGATACATTTAATATACTTCATGCGCGTGTCGTCCTAGGGTTTGAAGAGGGGCTACCGTAGATGTAGCTTAGGATCAATATCAGCAATTTAAATCCATAGAGTCTATCCCTTCGATTTCACCCGTCAGTAGCTAGCTTAAATATCGTGGCCCCAAGTGATTGATCGCTTTTTACATAAACTATAGTTGCTGTAACCGCTGTTGTTATGTGCAGCCTCTCCATAAACCTGGCCGGCAAAACACAAAGACATCGGATAAAAGTCTTCCCGACCGGTGCGACCCTTTGAACAAACGCCGAAGCGCATCATCGACAAGGCTGGACCCTCAATTCTGCTTATTCCACAACATCGATATTTTATTGCTTTGATTCTTCTTGTACCAGTGGCTTTGTTGGATATTTATTTGTTTTGGAAGATCGCCATCTGCAACGCTCATTAATCACATGTCTTTTTGGAACAAAAACCCCTCTAGCTCGAAGCAAAAGATTCGAACAGAAAACGTCCCTGTCAAAGCATCACCAGGGACCATAAACAGGGCCCCGTCTCGTTCACAAAGTGAAGGGCGCCTAGCGTCGAGTCTGCCCAGGTCGAAACCTGTGGGACAGACAAGCAGAAGTTCGCGAAAGGATAGTTATTTGACGAAACTCAGCCTTCCCGAAAGATCCACCAGTCGCAAACGATCTCCAGTATACCAGAGGATAGAAAGTGACTCAAGTGAAGATGAAGGCCAAGAGTCACCGCCAGTCAATAAAAGACAGAGGCTGACGCCAGCGGTGTTGGATGATCCAACCCGAACCCTTCCGTCGCGAAAGCAGTTCTCACAAATAGATTCTACGCTGTTAATCCATGCCGCCGATATCGCATCTCATAAACTTGGTTATCGGGCCGCTTTTGGGAATACAACTTTGGAAGGGGCTCCAGTGTATCTTCAGTACCCTGGAAGCTCAATAGCCGAAAGGTGGGCTTCATTTTTCATACCGAAAACGCCATTGCTGACATCCTTACAGATACGAGCTAGTGTTCAAAAAAGATTCATTCGACCCCGTTGAGGAAATATTAGGAGTAATAAAGGACTTTACGGATTTCTTCCTCGATGACGAAAAAGAAAAACCGTTTGTGGACCCAGACACTGGTATCATCCGGCGGCTTGAACGTGCAAGAAACCTCGGTTCGTTGGAGGGGTTCAAGAGCGCCCTTGTCGATTATAACTCTGCAGTAGAGTCATTGCGAAATGGAGAGGATATTGCCACAATACTCGATAAGAAGCATAGCGTTTCCGAGAGCCTCGTCGTTAGAATTATGGCCCAGACGTATGATCGAGCGGTCTCTCCAAAGGTCGATCTCCTTAGAAAGTATGAGAACGGCACCAACGAGATTTACGGCGAGCTTAAATCTAATCTCGTGTACAAAATTCTTGCCGAGACGAAAATCACTTCCAAGCAAGTATTTGTAGATCTCGGTTCGGGCGTTGCGAATGTGGTGCTCCAGGCTGCGCTGCAGGTTGGCTGCGAAAGCTGGGGCTGTGAGATCATGGAAAATGCATGTTCAATAGCCGAAGCTCAGAAGGCTGAATTCGAAGCTCGTTGTCGGCTCTGGGGGCTCCAGCCAGGGTTGACAAGGCTTGAACGTGGAGATTTCATGGTGAGCGAAGAAATACGGGCAGCCCTCCAAAGAGCAGACGTTGTCCTTGTGAACAATGAAGTATTCACACCGGAGTTAAACGTCAGCCTGGTCAACCTATTCCTTGATCTCAAAGAAGGTTGTAAGATTGTTTCACTGAAGTCTTTCGTGCCGGAAAATCGGAAGATCAGCAATTACAACAACAACGATCCCTCCAACATTTTAGATGTTGCAAAGAAGGCATATTCTACCAAGAGTGTCAGCTGGAAGGATGAAGGAGGAAATTACTACATCTCGACCAAGGACAGCACAAGGTTACAATTGTATGGTGATCGCAGTTGAGTGGACTAGTTTGTGATTTGGCCGAGGCCTTTCATAACTTATCAACCGATGAGAGGTTTGAGAGGCTTGGTGTCTGAGGAACGTGTTAAACTGGGAAGTTGCATTTTGAGCGGTATTGACATATCCTTACAGTCATGGCAAAGCGCATCAATACCATTATTCTCTAGAATTTCGAGGCTTCATTCATTGCGTCCGCTTCTTGGCCCATACGAGCCATCCAACGGTCTATTAGGTCTTTGTTCTCCCTTTTCAAGCGAGCCGTTTGTTGTTCAGCCATGTTAAGTTGTAAATCAAGAGACATGTTTTCATCTTGGACTTGCTGTATACCGTGTAAGTATTCCGACTGAACTGGCGCCGGGTGGGGGGAACGGTACCACCAATAGTTGAGCCTTTCCGCGTAGCTCTTCGTCTCGGTCTTTGACCTTCAAGACAAGCTGCGCCCTCTCTGCAGAAAGATCCCTAATACGAATGGAATCTGCCTTGGCTCTAGTTTTAAGCCTCTCTAAAGTTTCTTCTGTGACCTTAAGACGACGCTGTAGTTGTCCCTTTGCTCGAAGTGCTTCCGCCAGATCACTCTTCACTTGTGCTACTTCCTCCTGGTTGCTTAAACCAGGCGCATCGTTTCCCGGCGAGGTAGGTATTGGAGAAGACGAGTTTGCGGATACCTTGGCCTCCAATGCAGCTGTCTGATCAGCAAGCCTGCTATCTGAGCTACCGTTAGTTTCCGTGCGAGAACGTAGGGGACCAGGGCGCCTCACAGGCATCGATGAGATCATAGTTTGCTTTCTTCAGCTCGTCTCGTTGCTTTAGGTTCTCCAGGTATTCTTGTCGCCAGGACATCATTCTCAGCATTGGTGGGGGCGTGAGCGGATCATTTGAGATATAGTATTGCTTGTTCTATTTGAGGGGGGTCGGTCACGCTCGTGGGGGGGAAGGCTGCGGTATTACCACAGTATCTCAGCCTGGCCGATCACAGCCTGGCCGAAGGCAGGCAGCCAACTTCGCTTATTGGTCGAAGCTTACTTAGACTGCCGATAATTGGGGGTCATAGGCTCTCCCCACGACATCGGATAGATCAAAGGTACAACACAAGGCACCATTTGACTGTTGCTTCTATTATTCTTGCTTAGCAACACGTCAAAAGCTGATACTATCTATCTACTGTGCCTTGTATTGCATACACGAGCAGGTCACATCGACAACTGATTGAGCCCCACCCAGACTCTTTCATACATCATTACCCGCTCCCATGGCTTCTAGAAAGAAGATCCTCTTGAAGGTATGCGCCTTGAATTACCTCCCAGACGTATGTGACAGTATCTGACAGTGCGGTTGTGCCAGGTTATCATACTCGGTGATAGCGGTGTAGGCAAGACGAGTTTGATGAACCAATATGTGCGCACCACTCTCTTCTGGCTGAGCTCTCATGGGCATACTGCGTCGCAGACATCCTTACTGATAGATGCTGGGTTAGGTCAACAAAAAGTTCAGTGCAAGCTACAAAGCAACTATTGGCGCCGATTTCTTGACAAAAGAGGTGCTGGTGGACGACCGTTTGGTGACGATGCAGGTACGGCAACCCTGCTACGACGAGGTTTAATGAGCGTACTTGCTGACGTTTATAGTTATGGGATACTGCCGGCCAGGAGCGCTTCCAATCATTGGGGGTTGCTTTCTATCGGGGAGCTGATTGCTGTGTTCTGGTCTACGACGTAAATAACTCGAAGAGTTTCGACACCCTTGATAGTTGGCGCGATGAGTTCCTGATCCAGGCCTCTCCGCGGGACCCGGAAAATTTCCCATTCGTGAGTGCTCTGCGGAACCCCTCGAAATCTAAGCTAAAATACGGTCCAGGTCGTCCTCGGAAACAAGATAGATGTGGAAGAGAACAAGCGCATGGTAAGTTAATAGAGAGCGCCATCGGATCAACGACGTAACTAACTGTGCATCAAGATCTCATCAAAGCGCGCAATGACCTTCTGCCAGTCGAAGGGTGGCATACCATATTTCGAAACTAGCGCTAAGGAGGCGATAAACGTTGAACAGGCTTTTGAAGGTATGATATATCCCCCGTTGAGCCCTTGGCAATCGCGCAATAAGCATATTCTCCCATGGAACCATCAATACACAGTAATCTAGTCACTGACCTCAAGCGTAGTTATCGCCCGCAATGCCCTGGCACAAGAGGAGTCGGAGGAGTTCAGCGGTGATTTTGGAGACCCGATCAACATCCACATGGAGAATGATAGAGACGGATGTGCTTGTTAGGCGCTATAGATATTGGGCAGGCAATTGCAGAATCGACTACCATTTCCAGTTGTCTGGTAGAGTACGTGTGGGTTCAAACACAGCTGGTATATTGGGCGCCAGCGCCGTTTGCAGCTGGAATCAATTTTGTGAGGAGCGCAGCCATGTATATAGAATCACTGGCTGAACGGCGCAGATGGCGTTTCATTTCTTCACGTCATTTCCAGGGCCTTTCACAAGCAATGATCAAATCGTCCTGCCCGCCTTCGTAGGCAGAATACTCCAGTATCTTATATTTCCGTGCCTGGCAAAGTCTAATCTTGGGGATACTTGCTACATTGATGCCTGTATCTACCTTCGTAAACATTGTGATCAAACCGTATCGACAGCGGGTGGTAGTTTACTTCCAATATTCCATGTGCCTATACAGAAGTATAAGGGTGTCGAGGTGAGCAGGTCGAAGTACGCACCTTGAAGCGTAGCCCGCCATGGCCAATGCACGGATAAGACAGGAGTACCCTAGCCGAGTGATGTCGTCTTCACAACACACCAATACAGATTGCGAACACAACTTGTCGCAACTCAACAGCCTAGTTATGTGAATAAGGACACGTCGAACCGTACATACAGGCATCTCTCCGAAATGTATTAATCGGCCGCGCCCGCGTTTCCCTTCGAGGAGCAATATCCTACCAAACTAAGGCGGACATTGAACTCCTTCCATGGATCGAACAACCTGGCTCGCCTTGATGAGAGTGAGGCCCTGAGTTATCCGAGTCTTCACAGTACCCCGCAACTCCGCAGCTAGTTCATTATGGCTTCGCGAGACCAGCCCGCATCGTTGCCAAGCGTGGCAGATACGTATGAAGTTGAACACTTCAGCCATAGGGCGTCAGAGGAACATCTCGAGCGCTCCGTGCCTGAAGAATCAAGCCCGAAAGTTTCTGGTTTCAGAGCTAGTACAGGACTACAGAATGTGGCTCGTCGAACACTAGGCATTATCCTACTTCTGATAACCGTTATATTGTGGACCGTCTCAAATTTCCTCGCGAGCGTGAGTGGTTCAGCTAGGCTTCAAAGATTGTGCCGACTAATTGCCTTTAGTATATCTTCGCGGATAACACATATTCGAAACCATACTTCGTGACATACTTTAACACGGCGTTTTTTGCCATTTCGTTAATCCCGATCCTATCGAGAGTCGCCCATCAACAGGGATTCCGTGAAATAAAAACGTCGTCGGTCTCATTCTTCCGTCACTTTCGCAGAGGCCAATACTGCCATGAACAACATATAGACGAAGATGGTGGGCAGCTGGATCTTGACGGGCACTCTGCAGCGCCATTATTGCAAGGCGATGCTTTGGGAACTTCCAGCACTGGCGGATCGGTTCTAGATGCAGGAGAGACGCAGAATGCCGTCCTCACCTTAAGTGAGACCGCTGTGCTAAGCTTGGAATTTTGCTTTCTCTGGTTTCTCGCGAACTATTTCGTTGCGGCTTGCCTTGAATATACGAGCGTTGCAAGCTCAACTATTCTCACATCCACAAGCAGCATATGGACGCTTATCTTCGGCGCGCTCCTCAAGGTTGAAAAGTTCACCATCAACAAACTTGTTGGTGTGCTCGCGTGTCTAACTGGTATCATAATGATATCCATGGTAGACTTGTCTGGGAGCAATGATGGCAACCGTGGCAAGTTTCCACACAAGTCCCAGAGAGAGATCGCTATAGGTAAGAACATTTCGATTTACCCACCCCTAGTACTTTTAGGAGAATAATCCTAATATTGCAAGCAGGAGACATCCTTGCTTTCAGCTCAGCTGTGTTGTACGGAGCGTACTCTGTGGTTATGAAGAAACGAGTCCAGAACGAGGACCGTGTGAATATGCCGCTCTTCTTTGGGCTGGTTGGCTTATTCAACGTAATTTTACTCTGGCCAGGATTTGTTATCCTGCATTTTACTGGGGTTGAGACGTTCGAACTTCCCCCGACAGGCAAGATTTGGACAATTATTGTGGTAATTATCCCCAGACATCCATGCCGTGATATGTTTTATAATGCGAGCAACGGCAATATATGAGGTCCGAGCTGACAACAAACAGTTAAATACAGTGTCGTCTTTTGTTAGCGACTACTCGTGGGCCTATGCGATGCTCCTTACAACTCCACTGGTGGTCACCGTCGGACTGTCGTTGACTATCCCCCTATCCTTGGTTGGGCAGATGATCATTAGTTCGCAGTATTCAAGCGGGTTATATTGGGTGGGAGCATTCGTCATGGTTCTTTCGTTCCTTTTCATTAACCATGAGAGCCAGGAAAAAGATGAAGAGGACGCGACAGCATAGCAGGAGAAATACCCCAGATATTGAGATTTAGAGCATTTGAGAGTATATGATATGGCGCCAGGAGCTGGACCCGGCGGGGCGTCAACGGAAGTGGCCAAGCTTCCGAATTGCATTTGATGGGATGCTTTGTAGTTGCAGAATTATAGAGCAATGAAGGTTTATGGAAGCAAAGTATGTACGTACATTAGAGGCGTGACATGGAGACCCAGCCACATGCTAGTCATGGTATTCAATAAGAGATGTGGTTCTTAAAACCTATATGAATGAATAAACCGTTGTGATTCAAGAACTTATAATGAAGGCGGAAAACTGCCTAGATATTCATATAACTATATGCTGGCATAAAATTTATTGCCCCGACATTCCCCTGGTACAAAACAATGTAACCATTACACCAACCCGTAGGATGTTGTTCTCTGCTTTGATCTAATTTACTTCCTCTTAGCTGCTCGCTTCAACCCACGAGTATCCTTCTTCATCCTGGCATCCACCATCTTGTAACGACCCTTTACACCTCTTGGTCGTCCAGCAATACCACCTCTACCGCCACCAGCAACAACCACCTTCACCTGGGTCTTCGGCTTCTTCTTCGCCGCATTGCTCATGAGCTTGGTGATGCTCGAAGCCTTCTCCTTCTCGGTCATACCCTCCTCGTCGTTGAGCAAGGCGGACTTCTTGCGCAGCTTCTCCAGACGTTGTGCTGCATGGAACTTCTTACGGTCCTTTGCTTCTCGGACCTTCTTTATAGGTCGAGCATTCATAGCCCTCAGCTTCTCCTTGATAGCAGCAGCTCCTGCGGCTGAAATGGGGCGATGCGGCTTGTCATGCTTTCCCTCGTCATCCAAGAACCACTCTGGCAGGCCATCGCGGTCTTTGAAAGCATACTTGTTGAAACCTTCGTCGATGAGATCATAGCTAGACTTCTGTCCTGAAGCGATCTGCTGGGCAAGCGTCATGGCTTCCGCAGTAATAATGTCAATATCTACTGATGTTAGCTTAACGTAATTTTGATTCGGGGCTGAGAAATTACCAAGTTTGCCATTCTTAAGCGGCTGCCCCTGATCTTGCCATTGTGCGTCTCTGCTATCCCGCTTAACCACTTCGAATCCGTCTTCACTATCCGAGTCTGACTCTTCGAAACCGTTCGATGTTGGGACGCTTTGTTTGGATTTTGGCGCTTTCTTAACTTCAGCTCGTTTGCTTTCAGCCAGATCTTCCAAGTCGTCCAAACCAGCAGCTAGTTCCTGCTCGTCTTCCTCGTCATCGGCTTCTGATTCTTCCTCCACAACACCACCGATATCTTTGAAGATATCTTGATCGAAGAATTGCGCGGCTCGTTTTGAAAGTCCATTGGGTTTCTGCTGCTCGTTGTCGAGATCCGTAATGAGAGATTTGGTCACCGGTGCTCCTTCATCATCGGAGGATTCGTCACTGCTGTCGTGTTCTAACTTCTCGTCATCGCTAGCGTTATCGGCAGAGAATCCCTCCCAATCTCCGTCTTCATATTCTTTCCTGTTCTTCTTCGCTCTGAATTTTGCGTCCGATTCCGATTTGCGATCTTGGTATTGGTCGTACATCGAATCCAGGTATCGATCCAGTTGATCTTGCTCCACATCACTCTCCTCCTCCTCTTCACGCAAGAAAACACCATTTTCACCTCCTTGCCGCGCCTCCGCCTCCGTTAGAATAGCCATTTTCCCCTTTGAAATCTTGTCCACGGCGCCAGCCTTATCAACTGATTTCAGCGCAAACATCGAGCCCTCTCCATTCGGGCCAGCCTGTTCAAGACCAATCTCAGTTGGTGCTGTCATGTGCAACTGCATTCTAGTGATTTCCTTTTGCTTCTTTTCATTCTCACGTCGACGCTCCCTCTTTTTCCTCGCCGTCTCCTTTGCACTTAATTGTTGGAGATCCTCTTGTATGCGTAGCTCCTCGTCCATAGGTTCCACTTCAGCAACTTCCTCGCTAGCTGCTTCCGCTGCAATGCTCTTCTTCGTAGCAAATCCAAACTTCTCCCGAACCTTGAGACGCCACTTGAGCAGATTTCGGAATTCTTTTCGGCCCAAAACGCGGAGATCCTTGCAACAATCTCTAATTTCCTCTATTGTCTCCGGCATCTTGTCCAGAGCTGCAAGAGCAACGTCGCCATTTGGTGGTTGGTCGAAACTAAATCGGTTGAGACTTCCGAGCATAGCAATCGGGTCGGTAGTTTGGATAAATTCGCTGGCGGGAACCTCCTTGAACTGAGTGTAGTTACCCTCCTCGTAACCGTCACGCTTCCTCTTCTTGATCTCCGGGTTGAAAACCTTAGCCTCGTTATTTGGCGTAGGATCTGCTAGCTCCGCAAAGACAAATTTTGGATCCAGGAATTTGGGATCGATCCGTTTCGGGGCCTTGAAACCTTGACACACAACGAAGATTTCGGCGGAAACATTACGGGACGATGGGGGTTTGGTAGCTTCGACTTTCGTGAACAGCTGGTTGAAAACCCACAGTAAACTGTTGTAGTCCTTGGATCTGAAAACCTTCGTAACAAATGTTCCGCCTTCGACAAGGAATTCCGTGGCAAGTTTCATGGATTGAAGAGCTAATTCTGCCTGGTTGAAAGAATCCTGTACCCAGGCAGTACCAACGTTGGGCGCACCATCGTGCAAAACTGTGTCTGCCTTCCATGTCTTGAAATGGGATCGAATTGTCGCGCGACATTTATCAGTCGTAATATCGCCTTGGAATGTAATGACTCGAGGAATAGTTTTGATGGGCGACAGATCAACTCCAACGATGAGACTGTTCACCGGCATACACTCTGCTGCTACTTGAGACCAAGACTATAAACCATTAGCAAAATTCGTAGACTAAGGTAGGATGTAAGGACTTACTCCAGGCGCGGCGCAAAGATCCAGCAAAACTTTACTCTTTTCAAGGAAGCCATACTTCTTATTGAGCTGAATGAGCTTGAAAGCGGCACGGGCACGGTATCCTGAAGATATTGATTAGAAAAATGGCCAAGTAATGTTTTGCAGCAGCAGTAAAAACATTGCCGCCTCAAAACTCGTATAATTCGACAATGGTATTACCTTTCTCCTGCGATGATAATTAGCTCCGTAAACTTGAGGCAACGAGGGAGGGAAGAGCTTACTTTTGCCAATTTATACCATTTATCCAAACGGCCTTTGCCGTGCTTCTTCTGAATACCCATGGCGGCGTATTCGTCGGGTAAGAGGCACAGTTGAGATTCGTCGGGGGAGTGGTTTGGTGGGATATCACAACCTCAAATAAAAGGTACATGGGCAATGAAGAAAAAACGAAATGTCCAACGTCTTCCGAGCGGATTAATATGTAGCCGAGAACCTTTTTCTATGCGGGATGTGGGGAAGATAAGATAAGATAACTTTACGCGTAAAGCTGTTCGCGTTAAGAAGCTTCTACGCGTAGCACTTAGCAATTAGGGGACCCTGCGCGTCTTGGATTCATGTTTGAAATCGCCTCCAATCACCTCCACCAGCCCGACCTCTCCTTGTCCTCGACGATACTGAAGAGTAATATATCGCCCATCTCGAATATACAAAGGAGCTTTATCCACAACACAAAAACGAAAGAAGCAGACTCCGCACAATGGCGCCTCAAGGGGAGAGCTCGAAAGAGAAACGACTGACATCAATAACGCCTCGAAAGTTTACTCGGTTCTTTACTCCAAGATCCCATGGCCCAAGTGCAGCTGGATCATTGAGGAGGATTCTCTTTGATGTCACCGCACCGGCGAACAATCGAAGGGGGGTGCAGTCAAGTCCTATCAGACCACTCAATACGATTGCGGACCAAGAGAATAGCCCAATTTCATTTACTCGCGATATGAAGAGGCGCAAACTTCTACATACTCCTGAGCCGACCTTGGCAGAGAAAAGCTCTCCTTGTGACGACCCATTCAGCAGCTATGCCGGGGACATGACCCCGGAATATGGCCTTTCTTCTAGTTTTGCCGCCGAGGGCTTTGAAAGATCCACCTGCGAACTATCCACGCATCCAGACTGCGGCGACGATACTCCCAGGTGTACAGTTAGTGAGGAGCCAAGTACTGGGCGCTATGCATTACCAATCCGAAGGTTGGCTTCACGAGGACTGGCAGGCAACTTGCTCCGCTCACGGCATTGTTCAATACCCTCCCGCCGCCATGACACTAGTTCTCCTATTTCTAGTATGAAATCCAACCTTCCATGCGAATGCAAGCTAATTTTATGTTTAGACTGGCAAGATGAAACTGCACCATTCTATTCTCGCCCTGAAGACACACATTTCTGCAGTAGTATTGAGGGACCCGACCGTTGCATACCTTTTTGTGTAGCAAGCTGCAACAGTATGTGCCGCTCGATTACCTATATTTCACCTGCTAACCCTCTTGATTAGCAAACTCCTTAATGGCTGTCGGTGATGAGGAAGGCCGCATACGGATACTAGAATCTGCAAAGGGGAGCCAACCTGCTTTCAAAGACATATATGTTTCCTTCCGGCCGCACTCCAATGCCATCATCGACATGTGTTTCTCCCAAGATGACTCCCTCATCGCAACCGCCTCCGGCGACCAAACCTCCAGAGTAATCGACATGGCCACCCAAACAACAATATCAGTACTCAGCAATCACACCGCCTCCCTCAAACAAGTCCGCTTCCAACCAGGCGCAGCCAACAACAGCGTCCTCGCAACATCCAGCCGAGACGGCAGCGTCCAGATCTGGGATCTCCGATGCAAAGGCATGGAAGGCCCAGTTCAAAGCATCCAAATTCCCCTCGACCCCCTCGACAACCCCCTCCAACCCTCCCCTCCCTCCAGATTAAACTACGGCGCCGTGATTAACAGCATCTACCAAGCCCACGCCCCCTCCCGCTCCCTACCCCCCCTCACCTCCACCGACGGCCCAACCCGCGGCGAGATCCCCGGGCGCGCCGGCGATGTCTCCGTCACAGCGCTCACTTTCCTTCCAGCAGGGCACGAACACCTCCTCCTCACGGCCTCCGAATCAAACGCCACCGTCAAACTGTGGGACATCCGCTCGCTCCAGCGCCCCCGTCGTCCTCCAACTGCCATATCCTCCACCGCATTACCGCGGAGCCACAGCCAGTGGCGGCACTTCGGTGTCAGCTCGCTGAACATCAGCGGCGATGGAAGTAGGCTGTACTCCTTATGCAAGGATAATACCGTGTACGCCTACTCGATGGCGCATCTCATTCTCGGGCGCGCACCGGATCTGGCATCGAGGAATCCGCCGAGGAGACATGCGTTGGCGAGGGAGCAGGAGGGGCTGGGGCCGCTTTATGGGTTTAGACATAAGAAACTGCATGTTACGTCTTTCTATGTTAAGTCGGCCCTTCGCGAGGCGAGGGAGGGGAAGAAAGAGATGCTAGCGGTGGGAAGTAGTGATGGGTGTACCATCTTGTTTCCTACTGATGAGCGGTACCATCGCCGTGGGGGTGCTGCTCCTAGTTCCGCGGCGGTTGATACCGAGTCCGATGATGGGCAACCGCAACTCCCGCTTCTGCGGACACAGAGCGAAGCCCCTAGAGTCGCGGATGATATCCCTATCTACACCAACGGAACGCCGCTTGTGCGCGGACATGATAGGGAGGTGGGCGCGCTGACGTGGACAGCGGGGGGTGAGCTGGTTACTGTTGGGGATGATTTCTTGGTGAGGTGCTGGAGGGAGGGGGAGGGGGCGAGGGATTTGAGGATGGGTGGGGAGGAGGGGGGAAGGAGATGGGGGGCGGGGTGGGCGGATGTGGAGGGGAGTTATGATGATGATGAGTAGTAGGGGTTGGATTTATAGCGATTACTATGGTGGTAGTGGTGGTGATGGTGATGGTGATGGTAAATTTTAATTAATAGATTAATAGATACCCCGTTGATGCTCGTTCTTCTTTGTGGTGGGAGGGGGATAGGGGTTGATTCGTGATTCTGGTTTTATTGAGTGGTATGCCCCTTACAACTAACCGCTCTCAAACAACGCTGACTATCCTGGAAAATGAGGCAAGAACAGAAGTATATCCCCGAGTAAGCCATCTATCAAACCCAATATACAACCCTCCCCAAAGCCTCACCCCAAACCTCAATCCACCCACCAAAGCCCACTCCCAAACCTATCACTACCAAATTTACCTACCACCTCACTCCCTCGCCAACGCTCTCCGTACCACCAACCCTCACCACCCGTCCATCCTCTCAGTCGCCCCTCGCCCCTTACAGCATACATACACCTGCCGCCACCCGTCCACCCGCCCGTAACCGTCCTCGTCCCCCCCGACGCGGCCCAAAGACGGGCCTATTTCCCCCAAACAAAGACAAAGGATCAAAATAGTTCTACTGTTATACGGGACTTTGGTGCTTTCACCGGGGTGTCGATGGCTTACCATGTCCGTCTCCCGAGCAAACCGTGGCGAGGGGGTTAAGGCTGAGGGCATTGGGACAAAGGATGGGTTTGGGTGGGATTAGGATGGGCTGGGCTATGGGAATTCCAACCCCCCCATCTCCTCCCTACTGCCGATAAAATGCAACACATACACCCCTGGCCAGACGTGCCTATCCATGTATCTACCGCCAACACCGGGGGACAGCGGGGTGTGGGGTCGACGGGGTCAGGGCGGCATGGGAGGAGTTACAGTATACATAGTACCCCTAGCGGTGAACGAAACAGCTTTCCCCATCCCCCCAGCGCCGCCCGCCGCCCCGTCCCGTTTTCCCCATAACTCAATTGACCCCAAACAGGCTGAATCTCACCTCACCTCGGCTCGGTGTAAAAAAAAAAACGGGGCGGGGGATGCATGGGGATGCACGCCCACCCCGTTTTGCGTACGTACCACACCAGCAAGGACAGGTATCTACGGTTAGCTGCATGCTACTAGCCGCATGATGGATCGGACTGCTGGGGAACAGAGCGAAGGTTACAAACAGGGAGAGGGAGTTGCACAAAAACTGTGATGTGAGGTGAGTGAGGTAGGTGATGGCGGCCTAGGTCCCGAAAATACATAATTTGACACTACACATCCATACGGTGCATACAAGGTGCCTGCCTGCATAGTACATTACACAACGTACATGCAAACCAAAGCACAGGCAAGGGTTCTCACATTCTCGCCCTGGCTCACAGCTCACCGCCCCCATTTCAACTTTTTAACACCAAAACATAGCAGCACAACATCACATTTCTTCTGCATCTAGTCAGGTGTGAGAGGGGAAAACCGCATGCTTAAGATTCCCCCAAAAAAAAACTATCAAATGCTCTCAAGGCACAAACGATCCACTATCTTTACACTAGGACATCCCCTCGAATCCCTGACCAAACAGCGCATAGCAGCATAGCAAGCCCATCCATCCATGCCAGGTACCAAACAACGCAGTAACAACGCAGAAACTTGACGCACAGCAAAAAAGCTGGTTAGGAAAAGGATAATATACGAACAAGGTATCTGAAAAAGCAAAATCGACGACAAAGAATCGACCAAGAGGAGATGAATAGAGAGACGGAAGAAACAAGAGGCCATTAATTATAGTACCCAGCCCCAACCCCCACCCCCAAACGCAAAATCCAGAAACCAGTAAGCAGTAGGGCATCAAACCGTACATAGCTGGAACCAGCCAAATATGTGCGAGATATTAATAGCCGGAAAGAGGTAATTCGAGAAGGCGTAATTTCCCCCATATAATTCCCCACCCCCAGAAGCCTGTCCTTTGTATAGCCCCAAAAAACCCCAGGGAAAAAACCAAAACGATGCCAGAAAACGCGCAAGATATATGACCGCTGTATGCAAGAACGACAAGAGGAAAGGGAGATTTCAACGGGCTTTCCCATTCCAAGCCAGCCCTAGGCACACCCCAGGACCGCTTGTTTGATCCCCAGAATACCCCAGACCCCGCTCCTTTGCCCCACCTGAAATTTGTGAAAAGCACTTCTAGTTCCAACAGAGAGATGATAGGAAATGACGAGGAAAATAGGAAATCAGCAGATGCTGTCGTCGTTGTCCTCGGCGCCCTGAGAGATCATCGAGGGGGTCGAGACGTTGGATGAAGCCTCAACGTCATCTTCGTACCCGACGAGGGCCTGGGAATGTAATCGGAACGACTCTCCCATGAGACGAGTGATACTAGTAGAGCGTTAGTAAAGGTTCCTTGGTATAGATTGCAGGGACAAAACTTGCCCCCAAACGACAACCTCATCAAGCATACCACCCCAAATACGAGCAACGGCCGAGCTGAGCTTCGAGTCGTAGACATCCAACGAGTCGTCGTCAAAAAGGCTGCGGACCTTGTTGTACATCGCCAGCTCCTCCTCGGTCGCGGGCTCCTCGTCATGTTCCAGACGATACAGCCAGAGACTGAGGATGACCATCAGGTCTAGACCGCACAGCGGATGCTCGATGCTCCAGCTGGTGGCCGAGGTTCGCGCGACCCAGCGGATACCCTGGAGGGCAGCAGTCTCGAGGCAGTCGAAGCATTCCTGGATGACCTTGATCATCTCGCTAGAGCGCTTCACCCTGCTTCGGGCGTTGGACATTGCGGCTGCAACTTCGTACGAGTCGTGGTATCTGAGGGCTTCCTGTATCGACTTGAGGTCGACCTCGAGGCGGGCGCGGGCGTTGCGGAACATGGCAAGGGCATTGAAGATCAGCGGGTGTCCCTTGTGCGGCGCGCTCAGCGAAACCGTAACGCGCTCCGAGTCGCAGAGTGGCAGAGATTTCTCCCACGTCTCCAGGGCGAGGCGAAGCTTGTACTCGGTGACGACGTCCTGAAGGGCCTCGGGGCTGCGCTTGTGGTACCAGACCTCCAGGAAGAGGGCGTTGATCATCACTCTCGTAGCGAAGGCGCTGTAGCGCAACGATTGCCCCTGGAAGAGATTGTCGTGCGCCTCCATGAACGAGGGGACGTGCGATTCCACAAGGTGCTCGCGCCACGAGGCATCGTCGTCGACGTCCAGGTTCCACAGAGACTCTGTCGACGGCAGCTCAAGGTCCTCGAACTCGTTGAAGCCAATGGCCGGCGTGTGGTTGTAAGTCAGCGTGAGAAGACCGAAGAAGATGTAGACCGCATAGTACGTGCGTCTGCAGCCCTCGTCCTCGACCCACTCAGCCCTCGAAGGCTGAGCGCCCTCACGAGCCTCTGTGCGCAGCTTCAGTTCGTAGCGGTTCCCGGCAACCATGTTGGCGAGCAGGCTCTTGATAGAACAAGCCCACTCCAGCCCCTTCGCATCACCGCTCCAGCTGGTAAACACCATGTTTAGCAGGGTGCCCTGCATCGTCCACAGAGGGCACTTTCTCGAGCTGAAGTTCTCCTTGTTCTGGAGGAACTGGTTGACAAGCAACTTCGCGCCGATGTGCAGCATGTACGCCTGCGCCTGGTCAAACGCGTACAGCGCACCGATGGACAGGACGGCCAAGAGGAGCGCGGGCGAGACTTTGGTTGGGCGGAACGATGCTGGGTGCAGGAACGGCAGGTGGTGGTGGAAGAGGGTGAAGTACGTCGACAGATACCTGTTCAGCGAGGCCAGGTGGGGCAGACGGAACGTCTCCACGAGGGCGCCTTCGCCATCGGCACTACGGATGTTGTCGAGGATCGCGATGCGCTGCTCTTCGTCCAGCACCTGAGGGGCCTTTGGGGCCTGCTGCAGCTGGCCGGCTGGTCGTGGAGAATCGTGAGGCGATGCCTGTCTGGGGGTCGCGGAGGCGGTCGGTGGAAGCGAGTCGATCATGGCTTGCAGCGCTGGTACCAGCCCATTGCATGCGGACGCCGAATGACTGTGCATCGGGCCGAGACGGCTGGGCTGGGCAGTACTGGCGCTGGCGAACGACGGTTGCGAGTCTTGAGAGCCGGAGACGCTGGATGAGATCGAGTGCGCGCCACGGTCTGCTCCAGACGGTGGCATGAACGCATCCCACTGCACCTGAGGCAGGGAGATTGCACCGGAAGGGTAGGTGACTGACGGGTCCATGAGGGAAGAACCATTTCCGGCGAAGGCCATTCCAGGTCCTTGTTCGAAGGGTCCAACACCCGCATTTCGCATCGCCACCGTCGCCTTGTGGTGCAAATCGGTCATCAGCATCGCCGCCGTCTCAAGGTCCACCATGCCATCACTGCTTGCCTCGATCTGCTCGAGGGCAGAGGTGTCGATAGCAATAGCCGACTTCGTCGGTGCCTTTCTACGCTTCACGTCGCTGTGGAGGGGGATCCCGCCGTCCTTGGCATGGACCGTCCGGTCATGTCGGAGGAGTAAATCTCTACGGACAAACGTGCTCCTGCACTTGAGGCATTTGAACGGGCGTTCTTTGGTGTCTAGGATAAAAAAACGAGTTGGCTTTGCATGGTCAAGAAGCAGGTGAGAGAGTAGTCGCGGGGAGGTGGGATGTGGGGGGAAGGGGGGGAAGGGGGGGGTAAGGGGAGGGAGGAAAACTAACGAGATCTTTCGTGCCTGCTGCGGTGTTCGCTCCTGCTGAAGGCGCGATTGCAGAACTGGCATTTGTACTTCTTTTCTGGGACGAGCGAGGACTTCCGGGCCGCGGCGGGGGAAGCGGCGATGGGATTCAGAGCGGTGGCAGGCATGACTGTGATGGTATGGTACCCTTCAAGACGATGGTTGAATATCGTCTCGGAACGCGAGCTGAGGCGTGTCGTTTAAAGTGTGAAGGATTTCTGTTGGTGTATGTTTGTCATTCCTTTTTCCTTTCTGATCATCGATTTCCGTGATGGATATGGGTGTATTCCGGTCTGGAGGGTCTCTTGTGGCGAGAGATTCGAGGATTTGCGGGCGACGGGGTTTGGTAGCGGGTTGTTCGAGAGTGAGTGAGCGTTGAAGGGTAGAATGAAGGGGATCGTTGAAGGGGATGACGGTCGCGTGAGCGTGAATGTGTTGTTGGTTGAAGGGGGTATAATAAAGTATTGTAGATGGGCAGAGTAGAGAAGTATAATGAGGGGAGGAGAGGATGGATGAGGATGATGAGGATGATGAGGATGGATGAGGATGGATGAGGATGATGAGGATGATGAGGATGATGAGGATGGATGAGGATGGATGAGGATGATGATGAATGAGGATGATGATGATGATGATGGCTTTATTGTAGATGAGGGGGAGGGGGAGGGGGGAGGCGGGAAGTAAGGAATGAAGTAGGAGAAGAAGGAGGGGGAGGGAAGGGAAGGAATGTTTGGTAAGGGGGGAGGGAGGGAGATGGGATGGGAGATGGAGATGGGAGGTGGTGGTGGGTTGGTGGGTTGGTGGGTGGTGGGTTGGTGGGTTGGTGGGTGGTGGGTTGGTGGGTTGGTGGGATGGTGGGTGGTGGGTTGGTGGGTGGTGGGTGGTTGGCGGGTTAGTGGGCGGGTTAGTGGGCGGGTTAGTGGGAAAGGTGGGAGATGGGGATGGGGTGGGAGATGGGGATGGGGGATGGGAGATGGGAGGGGAAAGTGGGTGTGGTGGGTGTGGTGGGTGAGATGGGTACGTACGTGGGGGTGAGGGGAGGGCGAGGTGAGGCGAGGTGAGGCGAGGTGAGGCGAGGTGAGGCGAGGGAGGCGAGGGAGGCGGGGCGAGGTACATGGGGTGTTAGTGTGAGGGACAGTTTGTATAGTAGTACTGTGGTAGGTAGAGTAGTAGAGAGAGTAGAGAGGAGGGGAGTAGAGAGGTTAGTAGTAGAAGTAGAGAGAGTAGAGGTTAGTAGTAGAGAGAGTAGAGGTTAGTAGTAGAGAGAGTAGAGAGGTTAGTAGTAGAGAGAGTAGAGAGGTTAGTAGTAGAGAGAGTAGAGAGGTTAGTAGTAGAGAGAGTAGAGAGGTTAGTAGTAGAGAGAGTAGAGAGGTTAGTAGTAGAGAGAGTAGAGAGGTTAGTAGTAGTCGTAGAGGGAATAAAGAGGGAATACTCGAGTACCGTGTGGCCGGTACTGTCCCCTCCAGCCCACTACTCGAGTACGGGCATCTGCTTGTCTCACATCATCATTACGGTCGCCAGAGGGAGCGGGGGTACGAGAAAGGTACTCCCTCCTCCGTGTCTCTGGGCTTCCGCCCCTCCGCGTCTCTGTCTCTGGGCTTCCACCTCCGTTTGCTGTTCATTCCTCTCTCCATGCTGCGCCCCGGCCATGTACCTATCCGTGTACCTCCACCCATCCAACCACTCATCCAAGCCATCAACCCTACAGTCGTCTTGAGCTGGGCTACCTACATCTGTTGATATCTACATCTGTTGATATACACCTACATCTATATACTACATCTGTTGATATACACACGTACCTGCATGATGAGAGGTGAGCCACTGCCAGATACAGGCACAGCACGTTGAGTAAATCGAGAAAAGAAAAAAAAAAGAAAAAGGAAAAAGAAAAGGAAAAGGAAAAAGGGGGCTGGTGGTGCTGTTGCCCCTCTAGCAAGGGAGGGGGAGGGGAGGGGAGGGAAGTGGAACTGGAGTGAGAGTGGAGGGAGTGGGGGGAGTGGGAGGAGTGGGAGGAGTGGGAGGAGTGAGGGGAGGGAGGGGAGGACTTCTGTCCAAAACGTTGTTTTTTTGGGGTCAATTTCCCACCCGTCTCCAATCACAGCACGCCTATAATTATTCCCAATATCTGACCCGTTACATATCACTCCAGCATCCCGACATCCCGACATCCCGACCCGACATCCCGACATCCCAACATCCCGACATATTTGTTTGTTTCTGTTGTCCTTCCAGATTAAGCCACAATTTTTTATTCCAGGGGACGATCATCGAGGTTCACATATACCGACACCATTCTTTCTCGATACCATGACGGCGCTGCAAAGCGGCACAGACTGGGAAGTTGCAGTGAGTGTGCCATCATGGGAGGAGTGTGTCTCTCTCTCGCTCACTTGTCGTCGGTGAGAAGCATGGTGAGAGGAATATGTTCCATCGCGAGAGAGACGTATCCGAGAGAGACGTGTCCAAGATTGAGAAGACGTCCGAGAGAGACGTGTCCAGGATTGAGAGAGACGTGTCGAGAGAGACTGTCCGAGAGAGACGTGTCCGAGAGAGACGTGTCCAAGATTGAGAGAGACATGGTGGTATATATCACTCTCTGCTTCTCCCCTCCCCTCACTCACCCTTATCCGTCCCAGGGCCCTTGCAACAATGTCACCTCGCGTGGCAGAAAGAGAAGGGAAGAAAAGACGGATAGGATTATCGGTATTTCGCTGCCTGTCTGTCATGTATAGGCAAATCACGGGCTATTTGTGACTATAATCATTTCCCCCCCTCATAAATAAAGACTGAGACTTGAGACCGAGACTGAGACTGAGACTGCGACTGCGACTGCGACTGCGACTGCGACTGGAACTGCGACTGCGACTGCGACTGCGACTGAGGCCGAGACCGAGACTGAGACCAATTCAATTCAATTCAATTCAATTCAATCGAGGGGATCTAGAAGGCATTAATTATCAATTATCGATTGCGGTATCTACGCTCGACCCTTTACTTACCCTGCCCCGTCTTCCCCTCACCCTCCCCGCCACCACACCACCACCACCACCATCGCATGCATTATCGCATGCATTATCGCATGCGATAATGCATTATTTATTTATCTACGCATTGTGATCTTTCGTGCCTCTTTTATATTGCCTCGGTTGCTATTTCCCACAATACTATTCTTATTTTACCGGTTACTATCAAGTGAGGAAAAAAATAGCATCTGAAAGAAGGAACTGCTCGAGGCACCAGCCGTTGGCTTGTCACAACTCCACCATCCCACCGACAACATATCCCCAACAAACAACGCCGCCGACAAAAACAATAACCCTCCCTTCCGCCTTCCCCGCCCAATTACGTACCGTTGTGAGCTCTCTCGACGGTCGGCGACCGTCCATTTTCCCATGACCTGTAGTGCTTGAAAGGCGACCGCCATCGAATCGGCGTGAATCGCCCACACAACGTCTACCCGCCCGAGCCTCCACACGGACCAGTCACATTGACTTTACTCCCTCCATCTCAATCGACCGCGACCCGCCAACAAAACCTCCTCCACCTGGACGGACCCCTTTGAACGAACAACCCCAAAAGAACCCCTCGTACCCCGACTCGAAACCTCGCAAAACCTCCCCCAGCCCAGCGCTGCTCCCGCCGCTCCGCTCCGCACTGGCGCTGCTGCGACGAGCCTGCGCCCACGAAACATCCGCCTCCCGCGAGATTGCCCGCAATCAATCCCCCCAAACCCCTCAACACCGGCATCAGCACGATGCTCATGACGCAGACGCCACAGCCAGCACCATTCTCGAGCCAGCGACACGAGCATACCCCCGACGACGCATCCCAAACGACAGGCAGAGCCGTCGCATTTCCCTCCTCGGCCCACGCCAACTTCGCGGGGTCAGCAGCAGCACAGTCTGCGTACCGCAACTCGCCCACACCCATCTACACCGGCTCCGCGGCCAACGCCGCTCCGCAGCAACAACAGCCCGTCATGTATGTGCGGGCGCTGTACGACTATGAGGCGGATGACCGGACGAGCCTGAGTTTTCACGAAGGCGATGTGATTCAGGTCATCACGCAGCTCGAGAGCGGATGGTGGGATGGGGTTATTAATGGTGTGCGTGGCTGGTTCCCCAGTAACTACTGCCAGGTGCTTTCGAATCCCGAAGATGTGCTCGAGGACCGCCACCACGATGATGGAGAGGACGATGACCTCGATGGCGACGAGATGTACGATGATCAGTACGGACCACTAGATGACGGCGGCGAGGCTGACCCCGACCACACCGCGCGGCAGCTGCCTATCGACGGCTTCGCGGGCAGCGGCGGCGATATTAATAACCATAAGAGCAAAGCGCGAGCGGACTTTTGGATTCCCCAGGCGACGCCGGATGGGCGGCTGTTCTACTACAATTCGATGACGGGGGAGAGCAGCATGGAGTTACCGCTGGAGAGTCCGTCGTCGGCGACGGAGAATGGGCCGCGCGATCGCATGAATTTCGCGCTGCCGGGTAAGACGAGGCCGCCGCAGGAGATGATGGCGCAGGGCGCGTTTATGGAGGAGGAAGAGTATGAGTCGGACGGGAACTCGGCGTCGGAGATGGATGGGGAGTCGATTATGATGGCTTCTACGGGATCTTTGGTATGTTCAGACATGCTACTCCCATTTACGGATATATATTTTACTTTTAAGATGCTAACTTTTGCAATTTTAGCCCCGGAAGCGGAGGTCTCATGGCTCGGAGGGGATATCACCAGCGTTGTCGATGGAATCGATTAACGGAGCGCTGCCGAGCGCACAACAGCGGAATGATCAGTTTTATACCTCGAATATGTTTGGGACGTCGTCCACGAGCGTGTTGCCTGTGGCTGGGGCATCAACAACCTCGTTCACGAGCCCGACAGGCGGCCCGGTACAGGCGGCGAATGTGCCTCGATCGTTCTTCGATGATGGCGTGGCAGCTCCTTTGACGTGGAACAGGCTCGTTGTCAATATGAGGCTTGCTGTTAACCAATTCAAGGAAGCTATTAATAACGGGCAACGCTCCGAGTACGTTCGCAGGGCAGAGGATATATCGGATCACCTGCGACTACTCCTAGCTGCGGGGTCTGGCACAACAGATAACCATTCTGGCCAGCCTTCTATCATTTCTACGAATAAGGCCTTATACCCCCATTTCAGGGATATGATGTCGAAATTCTCAAAGCTTGTTATTTCCTCCCATATCGCTGCTGCGGACTACCCAACACCGGAGTCGTATCAGAAGTGCCTCCAGGAAGCAGATGGTGTTCTACAGGGTGTCTTCAGCTACGTGGAGGTGGCGAGGCAACAACGCGGAGAGGATATCCCAAGGCTATTCCCCGGTTTTGTCATTGGTAGCGCAGCAGGAGGGGGTTGGCAGAACAACGGTCTTGGCTCGCGGGATCCGATGACATCGAACTTCCTCGACGAGGACGAAGCGGCGCTCGAGCCAACAGCTACTCTCGATGCCAAACTCCTGGAGCGGATGGACGATCTGAAGCGCGGGCTGATTTCTAGCATCCGCAAGCTTGAAGAGCATCTCGTCGTCACGGAGAAGATCATCACGCCGTACAGACACGAACTCATCGGCAACGCCATCTGCGCCGCCGCCGGCAAAGTCCTCGAGATGTTCAGGCCCTTTGTCTCAACCGTCGAATCCATCAACCTCTCCTCCCTCGGAACCGGGTTCCAGAACCCACAACTACTAGATTTCACCACATACAAACAAAATCTCTACGACAACATCTCGGACCTCGTCCTCGGCTGCCAAGCCGTCGCCGGGCCCCTCGAAGATGAGTGGGCGGAGGTCCGCGGCGAGTCGCTGGAAGATAGGATCACATACGTGCGCAACAGCACGCGGCAGCTCGAGACGAACGCTTCGCATATCAGGTTCTCGCTCCAGCTCCTTGGGGAACAAGTGCAATCGACGCTCCAGCAGGACGACCTGCGACCACAGAGCCAGCGCCGCGTAGACGGCCAGGGCTACGATAGGATCCACCAGCGCACCGAGTCGCGCCAGGCGCCGAATCCATCCCGCCGACCTACCAGCGCGTCGCAGCCGCCGCCAGCTGACCCTATCGATCCAGCATCCGGCAACTACCATATGGGCGACAACTCCAAGGTTAAGAAGTTCTTTGGTGAAGAACCTGCACCTCCTCCGTCTGCGATCGTCAGACCGAGGGAGGTGGATGAGACGCCTGATTTCCTGGCGCTGGATTACGAGCAAGACCTCCTTTACGACACGAAATTGCAACCCCCTGCACTAAAGGGTGGAACGCTTCTCGCGCTCGTCGAACAGCTGACTCGCCACGATAAGTTGGACTCAAGCTTCAACGGCACCTTCCTCCTCACCTACCGCTCCTTCACCACCGCCCGCGAACTCTTCGAGCACCTAGTGAAGAGATTCCAGATCCAACCCCCCGAGGGCCTCGCCCAAGCCGACTTCGACACCTGGCGCGACAGGAAGCAGAAGCCCATCCGCTTCCGCGTAGTAAATATCCTGAAGAGCTGGTTCGATAACTTCTGGATGGAGGACCAGAGTAAGGAGACTATGCAGCTCATCTCCGACGTCTACACCTTCGCCCGCGACACCGTCAAGACGACCGAGACGATGGGTTCCGGCCCTGTCATGGTGGTTCTGGAGCAAAGGCTGCGCGGCCAGGACGCCCCCGCCAAGCGATTGGTCTTGACGATGAACCAAAGCACGCCTGCGCCAATCATGCCGAAGAACATGCGCAAGCTCAAGTTCCTGGACATCGGCGTTACGGAATTCGCTAGACAGCTGACGATTATCGAGTCGAAGCTGTATGGACGCATCAAACCCACCGAGTGTCTGAATAAGACGTGGCAGAAGAAGGTCGGGGAGGGGGACCCGGAGCCGGCGCCAAATGTTAAGTTGTTGATTCTGCACTCGAATCAGTTGACGAATTGGGTGGCGGAGATGATTTTGACGCAGCAGGATGTGAAGAAGAGGGTTGTGGTAGTGAAGCATTTTGTTTCTGTGGCGGATGTACGTATCTCCCCTTTCTTGTCTCCCCTCTCCCCCTGTCCCTCCTATCCATCCTGTATGAATGACTGCTAACGTCTAAATAGAAGTGCCGCGCACTGAACAACTACTCAACCCTAACGTCTATCATCTCCGCTCTCGGCACAGCGCCCATCCACCGCCTGAAACGCACGTGGGACCAGATGCCCGCTCGCACCATCACGGTGCTCGAGCAGATGCGCAAGCTGATGGGGAGTACCAAGAACTTTGGCGAGTACCGCGAGAGCCTGCATCTTGCGAATCCGCCGTGTATTCCTTTCTTCGGTGCGTAGTTTCTATCCCCCCTCTCTAAAAAATAAATGGGCAATTTCCTAACAAACATCCCCGCAGGCGTCTACCTAACCGACCTAACCTTCATTGAAGACGGCATCCCCTCCATCATCAAGAAATCCACCCTCATCAACTTCGCCAAGCGCGCGAAAACCGCTGAAGTCATAAGAGACATCCAGCAATACCAGAACATGCCCTACCCCTTGCAGCCCGTACCGGAGCTGCAGGAGTATATTTTGAGTAATATGCAGGCCGCGGGGGATGTGCATGAGATGTATGAGAAGTCTCTGCAGGTTGAGCCGAGGGAGAGGGAGGATGAGAAGATTGTTCGGGTGCTTGCTGAGAGTGGGTTTTTGTGATCGAGGTACGGATACAGTACAGTGAAGTACAGTACCGAGATCGGTTTTGCCCCGGGGGGGGTCGTGGCGGGGACAGCGATGTCTGCTGGAAATACCAGCTACCACAGCAAATACCACCGCACAAGATCCAGCCAGTGGGCGGCATAACCACGGGCCTCCCACACAGACCGTGTTGCCATACACGGTCATACTGGGGTTATTATAACCCCATCCATCTGTTCTGTCTCCACGACAAACAGCTATCTACGCAACACAACGCGACCCAACGAACGGGCTGCTGTATGGAGGAGGTTGTATGGAAACCAGCGTGCATGGCGTGCGTGCGTAGTGATGGATCGAATTCCTTATTTGAGGAGGAGGATGTCTTGGTTTGGTTTTTTAGAATAGGGCTCGGATCGTTATTGGCGTGGGATTTTGGGCACATCTTATGGATATGGGAAATTTTATTATTCATTTTCTGCAGACCAGTATTTTTCCCGCAAAAGTTATCTTTCCTCCCGCCATATATATATATATATATAAGCCGAGTAATTTTCAATACATAACCAACCGCGATCCGGATACTGATCCGGATATATCCTATCCGCCATAATTATGATCTATCCGTACGATCTGAGGATATATCCGGATCTTACGGATAATGCCAAGAGTAGCCAAGAGTAGCCAAGGCCACATAATAGACGTAGAATTGATTCTGTAATACTGGTTCAAATACCATCGTAATGTGACGATTACAGTAAAAATGAGCGACTCGGAATTATCAGATTTGCCGTCAGATCATGAGAGCTATTCTCAAATAGAAGAGCTATCGTTACCACATCTTCCACCTCAACCTACCCCTATTCAGCCTTCAGTTGAAGCAGTTGACGTATCGATTAATCTACCTCAACATCCAAGGGTAGTACTGCCACCGACATCGTCGAAGCTCTTCACAAAGGGCTTATATCGTCGGGAATTACTTGATACTCGGCCTCCGACCATAAAAATGATATGCCTACAACCAGGCTGTGGATATTCACTACCGCCACAAGGACTAAAGCAATCGTCGACAAGTAATCTATAGAGGCATTATTCCTTAAAGCATCTAACAGTATCATACGCCCTAAAAATGAGAATAGACAGCCGTCTAGTGCGTCAAGCAGTACATCGTCGTTCTTCAACCCACGCCCATCAGCTCTACTAAAGCAACCTGGCAATCCTTCAAAGTATAAGGAGTTATTACTACAGTTCATTATGTCGAATAATCTATCGATACGCTTGTTGAAAGCTGGGGTGCTGGCGGTGGGGTGTTGAACTTCCACTTGCTAGGCTTCATAAATAGGCGCTCTAACAGAGCATGCTCCAGATCGATGGGCGAGGGCATGACGAGAGAAGCTGGCATCACTGGGTGCGGGGCTCCACCTACCCATGGGGTTAGCGAGTATGAAAAGGAGAAGGAGGCAACATACCTACAAGGAACTTCATGGTGTTGACGTACTCCTCCAGCCCAGATTGGTAGGCATCAAGGACCTTGTTGACAGAAGCGTGGAAGACCTGAGTGGCGGCCTTGAGACCTTCAGTCTTTGCCTTGCCCAACTCCACGAGGCTCTTGTAATGGTGGGTGCACCAGATGTGAGAATCTAGCCACCCAAGGAAGGGATGAATTTACTAAGACAACACACTGTCTTAGAAAACAGAGCCAAAGGGTCGTAGCTTAGACTATTCCACAACGCAGCAATCAGGTGTGTGATGTAGTGAAGTGGTTCAGACAAGTTGCAACAAATGTTGAGTCTGGGAACTCAGGGGTAAGTCAGAGGTTAACACCTCACTGACTTTTCAGAAACAAGGAGTAACAAGATCAATGCTTGGAAGCTTGGAAAAGACGTGGAAGTATGTGATAGTCGATTTACTGTATTGTCTGCTTGCCCTTTCTTAAGGAAAGGGCAATCCTATTTATGCTAAAGGAGTGTAGTTCTCTCATTTTCCAAGACTTTCCATGACTTACCAGGCTTGGTAACTGTAGTCGACGTACTATCGTTCATGCTCCTAGGCCTCTAGTTGGTAGAGATATGTCATGTGGTAGTATGAGTGATGTCATGTAATGAATCATAGAGGGTTGTAGAGATATGCTATGTGGTAATATCGGCCCAGTAACTAAGGAGCGATGACGTGTAATGAATCATAGATGGTTGTAGCAATCGTTGAGTAGTATTGCTCTTGTTGTTGGTGTGATAAGCCAAAATATGTATAGTGACTTGTAGGTTTGAGGAGGAGATTTCCAAGTTTGCTCTTGAGTTTGATAGCAAACTGAGTGCAACGAATGTCAGTATGACAGCTCTCAGCATGATGAAGGAGAGCCTGGTGAGGATCGTCAACATTGCGTGCGATGACCTCAGAAGGCCTAGCGACTCCCTTGCCCTTGGCGGCACCCTTTGTAAGGACACAGGGCACCCAGCTCACAGTAATAGCATATGAGAGTGCGAGTCGGAGGCTAAACGGATGCTATCCTATAGGTCTACTACGAAGGATACAAAAAAGATGAAGGGGGAACCCCGTTGAGTCTGTTTCCTTAAGTACCCGAAACGGGCCCGACTCGGTTATCCCAACCCTAGCCCTGAACCTTCCACCGCAACAGGTCTGCATCGGCCCTGAACCCTATACACTTACCGTCCCCCACTATAGTGTAACTCACTATATGCTCCTCTACTGGTTCGAAACCCCACCGAGTCAGATTCCATGCTTGTAGTGACCGTAACAGTTCTGAGACAGGTTCTTCGAGTATCTAGGTACGGAGGCATCCTTACACCCTTCTTCTTGGGGGTAGTAGTTTCCTTGGCCTTGGTGGCATTGCTGTATATGCGCTGGACAGCGAGGAGGGTGCCGATGGCCTGGACTGTAGCATCAGAATCAGCAGCCAGGTTGGCATCTTCATCGTCGGCCCAACAGTTTAGGAGATCATCGGCCGCAAGTTGGAGGGCCTCCAACTCGACACCAAACTGGGCAGCGGCCTACCCACCCGTTAGCACAAATGACAAAATGAGGAGGGGGCTGCTTACTGGAATGCACGCGTGGTTACTGCGAAGGCAGTCCGCACATTTGGCCATGCCAGAAGGGACCCAGCACATCTGGCCTGGGAAGTTGTAGTATGTGTGCGCGCACTCCACGCAGCACAAGCGGGAGCCAGCGCGAAGGCGCCCTGTGGACTCAGGAATCACACAGCGGGCAGCGACCTTCCACCCAAGCACGGTGCACTCGTCCTTCGGAGCCTCAGACTCAGGAATGTCAGGCTCCTCAGCTTCATCCTCAACCTCAACCTCAGGCGAGCGGTACGGACGGACAGTGCGAGCCTGAGAGGTGGCGGAGGCGCCCCCAGAAGGAGTGGGCGTGGCAGGCGCCTGCAACTCAGGAGAGCCAGACATTTGAGTCGCTGGTCTCTTGCGGGGCGTGGCAGCTGGAGCTGCTGCCTTCTGCTTAAGACCCTTCAGTTTGGGGGCCATGGTGGGAGTAGGGCGATGGAAGGCCTATTCCTATGCGTTAGCCACGGAAGAAGGAAGGGAAGAAGGATAGCTACCTTTGTAAAAGGAAAAAAGGATGGGACCTTGCATTGGGGAGCAAGGTGACGAAAGGTCGAAAGGGGTGTGGGAAGTAAGGTGAGGGTGCGAAGAAAGAGGAGAGGTTTGGAAGGAAGTAGGAGTTTGGCGCGGCATGTAATGGTGGGTGCACCAGATATGAGAATCTAGCCACCCAAGGAAGGGATGAATTTACTAAGACAACACACTGTCTTAGGAAACAGAGCCAAAGGGTTGTAGCTTAGACTATTCCACAACGCAGCAATCAGGTGTATGATGTGGTGAAGTGGTTTAGACAAGTTGCAACAAATGTTGAGTCTGAGAACTCAGGGGTAAGTCAGAGGTTAGCACCTCACTGACTTTTCAAAAACAGAGAATAACAAGATCAATGCTTGGAAGCTTGGAAAAGACGTAGAAGTATGTGCTAGTCGATTTACTGTATTGCCTGCTTGCCCTTTCTTAAGGAAAGGGCAATCCTATTTATGCCAAAGGAGTGTAGTTCTCTCATTTTCCATGACTTTCCATGACTAACCAGGCTTGGTAAATGTATTAGAAATCAAGTGCGACCCACAACTAGCTTGCTAATCATGTAGTGAACGTAAGAGAATCCCATAGAACCATCTCTTGGGTTCCTAGCCTATAGGAAGTGAAAAGGAGGTCCAAGGTCAGAGTACCTATAGACAAATTATGTCATAACTTAACCAATCTTGTGGGTAACTAAGGAGCGATGACGTGTAATGAATCATAGAGGGTTGTAGAAGCTTCTAGAGCTATCGTTCATGTTCCTAGGCCTCTAGTTGGTAGAGATATGCCATGTGGTAGTATTGGCCCACCCCCTTAAGGAGGAGATTTTCTTAATAACTTGTTCAATGAGTGTCCAAATAATATGCCGTGATGTATGTAGCATAAACAGATGTAGTAGAAGAGTTTGCAGCAATCGTTGAGTAGTATTGCTTCTGTTGTTGGTGTGATAAGCCAAGATATGTATGGTGACTTGTAGGTTTGAGGAGGAGATTTCTAAGTTTGCTCTTGAGTTTGATAGCAAACTGAGTGCAACGAATGTCAGTATGACACGGCACCCACAACAAAAGGGGTGGCCGCGGCAACCCACAACCAAGGGGGGTCACAGGATCAGCCCACCAAGCGCACACCCAAACAAGTCCACCACCCGGGTCAAAACAAAAAGTCTAAACAAGCCAGGAGGGGAAGTAAGCCCTAGCTGTGAAACCTTGGAATTGAGGGCAATCCCTCTAAGAGGGGAGGTAATTGTAAGGAAGGCCATCACGTGCCACCACGTGAGGTCCCTTTCATAAGCGGCCCATAGGGCTCGGTAAAATAGGGCACAAGGTGCATAGATAAAAGGGGTTGGAGGCCTCGGAAGAAGGCCTCCAGTCAATAGTCAATGTATCTACGTAGACCTATTGTGCTTACAGAATACGATACCTTCCTGCCTCCTGACCTGGTTCCCTGGACTCCCGTGAGACCCTTAGGCTTATGCTTTACAGCTTATATCTAACGCTCAACTTCGCAATTCCTTAGTATCTAAAGATGATAAAGAAGCTTATGGCTTTACAGAAGGAAGTTAGTATATCATTAACGATCAGCCTAGCTTGTATCGCTGCTTATAAGAAGCTTAATGAGTACTATACGCTTGCTACGAATCAACGATGGAGTCATTTAGGGGTAGCTACAATTTGCGATCTAAGTATGAATCTTAACGTATTTAACAGTCTTTAGCCAAGCAGTACTGAAGAAGTCAAACGGAATAGGGTTAAGCAGCAGTTCCACAACGTCTTTATTCAATATAGAGACCGCTAATACTATCTTAAAGAAGAGAAAAGGGAAGCTGAGGCTGATTTACCACAATTACCTACAGAACCTGACTCTAACGACGATTTATATATCTCTCATAGTATTTACCGAGAACCAGAATGGAAGCACTAGCTTGTTAAGCCCCGGCTAGGTCTAGCAACATCAAATATTAGGCGGCAAAGCAATATCAATATCCAATTGTAGCTGCAATTGCTCGAGACCATTTGGCAATTCCTACAACATCAGCTCCATCAGAACGGGTCTTTAGTAATGGAGCTGATATTCTTACGAAGAAAAGGAACAGGCTCTCTCCTGAAACGCTTCGATATTTACTCTGTTTATGAGATTGGGGTCATATACTAGACGTTGAAGAAAGTGAAGCCGAAGACGCTGATGACGATAAGTTATTTTATCTATTAACGTACATGTATAGCGAAAGCGCCAAACAAGCGAAAGCGCCAAAATTATCTACCCTCACGACAAACATTGCGATAAATCTACCACAACATTAGAAATCAATTGAAACTACTCGGAGTCCTCTTCCTCAGAGGTGTCTATTACAATCTGACACGTGCGCGCATTGTGCCCAGTCTCACCACACTTGCCACAGCGACGGGCACGGGTTTCTTCCCTTGGCTTCCGACCACGGCTTGCCCTTATTTCCTGCTCTACCTGCTGCACAACATCCCTCTCATCCTGTAGCTCTTGCGCCCCTTGTTGACTAAGTGATCCTCCTTGCTGTAGTCGTGTTTTCCTAGCTCTCCGGCGCTTGCTTAGTACTTCATTTGCCTGTCGTAGGTTTTGGTTCTCTCCCTTTAGCAGTGCTAATTGATGCATTATTTGCGATGCACCCTTTGTAAACTGGTCAACAGCTGCATAGATTGAGGTTGGAGAGCTATTTTGATGGCGTGAAATCCGAGTTTTAATAAATGTAGACTGTGACATAGCTTCAATTGGGTTGTTTGGTGTCTGAGAAACCCAAGGTTGAGCAGTACCTGGGCGGGAGCTTGGAGGCGTTGGTGTCCTTAACTTAAGATCAAGTGTAGATATCACTCTCTCAGGGTCAAATGGAAGAAGCCCAGCACCTCGGAACCCTCCCTGAATATTGCTTTCTGTCATTGCAATGTTAAATGCAGCGTGGAAGGCAGGAAAGAAGTCATCCTTAGTAATGTGAATAATATGAGCCCGCATCATATCTTCAATTTGCTGACTGTAAGCTCTCTTTAATGGGCCAAAACAGCCAACATCAAGTGGCTGGAGTAGATGAGAAGAGTGAGCAGGCATACAAAGCGTAATAATGTTGTGTTCCTTGCAGTACTCCTCAAACTCATCTGAGTGGTGGCTCTCATGACCATCAAGGACTAACAAGCGATAACCACCAACACTCCGGGCCTTTGTATGCTTCTCAAAGTGCTGAATCCAATCCATGCCTCTCTCGTTTGTAGTCCAGCCATTTTCAGTAACAGAAATCACCCAATCGCTTGAAAATCCACTATTCTCATACCAAGATGTAAGGTGGTTTTTGCCTGCAACAATGATAAATGGTGGTACTGCCCAACCTTGAGAACTAACGCCTTGGATTACTGTAACCCATTCCCGATTACCAGGCTGTACCTTCTTTGCTTTTGCCCGCCCGTCTGAGCTTGTTACAACCATAGCAGTTGAGATAACGCCCATCATAAACCCAGTCTCATCAAAGTTGTAGATATCTGCTTCATCGATACCATATTTCGCAATTGTGTTACGCACAAGCTCAAACCAGCCATTAATAACTTCTGGATCTTCGCACTTAGCCCTCTGGTAGTCGTATTTGCGCTGAAAGCGTGTCTGGAGCTCTACACGCCGCTTAACAAAGTTTGAAGCCCAACGCGACCCAACGCGTGACGCGTCGCGTGTTGCAAGTAGTCGACTTGCCATATCTTCAACAACAGACAGCCGAGGAGGAAACCCTTTGGCAGCTAGGTCGAGTATATACTGAACAAGGACGGACTCCTCTAGGTTAGTTAATTTCCGTGAGTTGGCTTGGATATCGCGTCGTGAAGGTACACCTTCTAGACGACGACCTAGCTTGCGGTGGTCCACAGAATAGATCCTAGCAGCAACTCGAAGGCGTAACTTTGGGTCGCTTTGCATAGCCTGGATAGCTAGCACTAATTGGCTTTCATCGTTTTTATGGGGCATGTTTTGTTGTTGAGGAATTTAACATTTAGTTGGGGGGTTTGGTCACCGCATCATTTTGGCGCTTTCGCTTGTTTGGCGCTTTCGCTATACATGTACGTTATATTTTTATATTTTAAGCCTCATTATCCTGAAGATCCGGATATAACCCCTATCTATCCGTCAGACCTCAGACGGATCATGATCTTACCCGTGAGGGCTCAGGATCAGATCCGGATACGATCCGCCGAACACTGTTTCAGAATAATTATCTGATTTAATGAGTTGAGTTGGTTTTCAATAATTTAAATTATATCCACGACAATTTTCTATCCACCATTACCTCCCCAGCACACGTGGTATCATAGACAACAAAACAACTTCAGGCGAGATCAACCCCCCCCTTTTAAAACTTGTCCGCCGGCGCCAACCCCGCTAACAACGGGTTCCCCCTCCCCAACAACGTCCCCGTGGACGAATACGTCCCCTCCGCCTCATTAAACGCCTGATCCGCCTGCTTCCCAAACGTCGCTCCATTCGGCACCTCCGTCGTCGTTACTGGCACAGCAGTGGTGGTGACAGGCACGTACGCCGGCTCAGTCTGGAGGTAGTGAGCAGCTGTAGCCCCCCCCACACCACCGACGCCCGCACCAACAGCGCCAGCGCCGAGGACCTCATCGCGGTCGCGGAGCCCGCCTTGCGTGGTCTGGTTCTGGCGGTGGCTTACTTTACCGAGGCCGGGGAGGGAGGTGGTGCGGCCTGCTGAGCCGATGCTGAAGATTGGGCTTTCCCATTTGACGCCCTTGGTGGCGAGGTCGCGGTACTCCGTTGCCTTGGTGGAGATGCCACCGGGGAGGTGGACGTTGGGGAAGATGGAATCATGCTGTGTCACTGCCAAGTTCGTCTTCTTGTCAGCCGTCGCAGCTTCCGTCTTCTTCTTGCCCTTGCTAAACTTGTTCTGCGCGGCGGTAGCGTAGCGCCGGTAGATGTTCTGGGCCTGGCTGGGGTCGCTCTTAGCTTCCTGCGCGGCCTTGTCGGCTTCCTGCTTGATGGAGAAGGCCATCTGGTCGAGCTCGTTGAATTTGTCCTTGATGAGCTTCCCGAGGATCTTTTGCAGCGCGGGACGCATGATCTTGAGCATGATGGGCTTGACGAGGCGGAAGAGGAGCTTGTGCTCTGACTTTTTGAGCTTGATGTCGAAGTTCTGCACGTCGACATCGACGCGGTCGACCTTGAAGAAGTTCTGGCGGTCCGTCGGGTCGGCGGTCGAGACGCGCAGCTTGAAGCTGAAGCCCGTGCCGTGGAGGAGGATGTCAGCGATACCGATGTCGGAGAGGGAAGGGAAGCCGGACTTCTTCTTCACGTAGAAGCTGACGTCGCGGAGATCCATCTGCACGCCCGTCACCGAGATCATAACCGCGTTCTTGTTGCGGTTGGCGATGCCCTTGCGGCCCCAGCGGAAGTAGTTGTCGCTGGCGAACTCGACGGCGTTGGGCATGAGGTTGTCGCTCTCGATGATCAGGTTCTCGATGACGACGTCGATCATGGGGTCGGAGTACTCGATGCGCGGGATCGGGATGTAGCGGACGTTCTCGAAGATCCCGGGGATGATGACCTCGCTCAGGTCCTTGACGAGGTGGGGCTTGAAGGTCGGCTTGCCGTTCTCGTCGTTGCCTAGGTTGTTGAAGAGCTTCTGGCATGACTGGGCGAACTGCTTGTTCATCTTGTCGTTCTCGAACTGGTCCGCGAGGAACTTGATCTCGTCGAGCACGCGGTCGGTGTGGTTCTTGTAGCGGTCACGCAGGAGGAAGTTGCCCTGGTCGTGCAGCTGGTTCCACTCACGGGTGGCGGCGTCCTCGAGGACGTAGCCCTGCTGCTGGAGGCACTTGCGGACGTACCTGTCCATGCTCCTGAACCAGTTTTTGAGCTCGGGATCGCGGTCCGCGTTCCTGTAGATGGCATTGATGGACTCGAAAAGTTCATCCGTGGAAGTGTAGTTGGCGAAGCGCTCGATGAGCTCCTTGAGGTCAGCCTCGGCGTCCTTGAGGGTGTTGTTCGAGTGAACGCCCTTGGCGGTGCCGGCTGCATGCTGGCCGACGGTGCTGGCGTGACCAGCGTAGGTCTCAGCAAGAGTGAGCAGAGTGTTGATGGCAGCGTTGTAGTCAGGGTGTCCCTGGATCTCAACAATCATCTTTTTCATTCTCCAGATGGTCTGCTCGCGGCGCTCCTCGGGCATCTTGGATTGGAGGTATTGCCTCGTCTTCTCCTTTGTCTGGCGAGCCCTGTCCTTTGTCTCGTCGGGAATGTTCTCAGAGGCGCGGTTGCGCAGTGTGTCCACACCCTGCTGAGCTCCCGAAGTAGCATCAACGCCAGAGTAGTCGCCCTGCTGGCGATCGTGAGCGGCGAGTCTCGCGACATCTTCCGGATCGCGAGACCCGCCGGGGTGTGCAGCCTGTGCAGCGTTACCAGCAGCCTCTTGAACATCCTGCTTGGAAAGAGGCTTGTTCTTGTTAACCGCCGACTTAAACTGGCCCTTGAGTTCGCTAGCCGACAAGTTGGGCGTCTCATGCCAGGTGTTGTCCGCAGCAGGTTGGTCAATCTGGTCGAGCTGCTCTTGGGATGGGGCAACCTTGCCGGCAGTCTTGGTAGCTGCGTCGCCGGCCATCTCACGGAGGAGAACGGTCGCATCGCTTACTGAAAGGCATTAGTATACCGACTACCAAAGTTGGCGCGGGTTATAACTTACAGAGCTTACGGAACTGTCCGTTGGAGATGAGTAGCGTTCCCAGGGTTCGAAGACCCTCTGCAACCTCGTTGCCGTGCTGCTTCGCCGAGTCCCTATCGACTGGCGCACCGGGTGCCTTGGCATTGACATCTAGGTTCTGTGTCTGCCAGACAAAGTCCTGAAGCAGATTACCATTGTTCTTGGTGAGGATGAGGTTCTTGGCCTGCTCAACCACCTTACGGAAATCCTGGACCAAGGCCTGTCCTTCTGGAGAGAGCTTGTTGGACGGGTTCCTCATGAAATCCTTGTTCATGAAGCTGTTGAGTGCGACATCAATCTGGTCGTTCGATGGGACCTTGCCATTTTGGAAAGCTGTCATGGTCTGATTAGCGAGGGTATTCCCAAGGAGATGGAGCTCAGTAATATACGAGACTCGACTTGCCAGTGAGGATTCCGTATAATTGCAGCTTCTGATTGATGTCCTTCTCCTTCATCGTCTTATTAGTTGGGCGATTGACAACTTGAGACACCATCGCGACGGTGGTATGGTTCTCAACCAAGTGTGACTATACGAGTGTTTGTTTGTATAGGTGTGTTGTCTTAAAAAAAGATGATTATGATTATTTCAGTAATAGAGACTGGAGATTGGGGGGGATTGGGTATCAAAGAGGAAGTATGTCGGGTTGGTGAGATAGAATAATCCTCAAAAGAGAAGAGCGGGAATGGCTTCATAAAAAGGATCCCGACGGAGGAGTGGCATGTGAAGGGGGACTGCTTTCAGCTCAGTGCTTGGTGAGTTAGACAAGAAGAGACGTCATGATGCCATTTGTGGATCATGATGATATTGCTGCATTGGGAGCTTTCCAGGCCCATCGCGCATGGGATGCATGTAGATAGATGCTAGAAGTAGCTTTTGGGCCTACCATAGGTCTGGATCTACCTTCTCTAGGTCTGTTTGTTCATGGCGTTGACGTCACCACTTGTTTGATGTTGGTTTGGCTGGAGATACTGCAGTGTTGATCAACAAACCATGACGTCAAGGCCGCGTTGAAACGGATGTGAATCGAATGTGATACAAACACTGTCGCAGAGTGAGGCTGCAATTCAGCCTCGCCGCGTTCCAAATAAGCGAAGAAAGACCCTATCAGGCTGAGCGACAACAGTGCCATAACTACAGACCCCCTCGTCCTCAACTCATGTTAATCAGGCAATAGCCCTTCTCTTCGCCACCCTAGGCCATGGCTCCACCTAGGCGTTCTCGACGCGACCCGCCCAAAGTCCAGACACGCCTAACCTTTGAGCCCAAGTCCACTTCACCCTCCCGCGGAACGAGTGGTATTTCTCCCGCGAGAATCGTATACCAGCAGGATCCGCGGAAGCCGAAGAGGAAACAACCAATTTCGAGCGCGAACAAAATCGAACCTACCTCTAGCGCTCGCTCTAGACCCTACTACAGCGACGATGAGGATATCTTTGCGGATGGCAAGAAGTTTGCCGTGGTTTTACCTTCGCCCTCTCGCTCGGCTCCCGCGGGACAGCCTCGGGGAAAGTCGTTTATGGGCGCTGCGTCGTCCTCGGTGAAACAAAGAGGCAGGCCTAGGAAGAGCGCTGTGTATGAGACAGATAGCGAGTCTGAAGAGGAAATACGAGCACCGCCGGAGAAGACAAAGAAGACAAAGAAGACAAAGAAGACACCGATCTTGTTGGAAGATGGCAGCGAGTCTAAGGTGGAAGAAGTAACAGCACTGGCTGAAAAGACAACGAAGCCGGTGGCCGTGCCCAGAGACAGCAGCGAGTCTTCAGAAGAGGATTTAGCAACACCAGCCTCCAAGAGACAGAAGCGGCCAGACTTTCTGAAAGACCGTAGCGAGTCACCTCTCCGGAGCCCACAACGGGCGGCTGTGAAGAATGGAGTTGTGGAAACGCCGCGGAAACCAGGCGAGGAGAGCCCCAGTCCGAAGAAGACGAAGATCACCCCTGTCAAGAGTTTCATCGCTGGAGAATACCTTGATCGGGCACACAACCCGCGATCCGCGAAGAACCAACGAGATCCAGCCAAGAAGGATAAACGTGTATCGCGCAAGGCTAAAGGCAAGGAGATCGTGGCTATATCCTCCGATGAGGACTCAGACAGCGATATCGTGGCTATATCCTCCGATGAGGACTCAGACAGCGATATCGTTGTGGAGCAGCCCTCGGCACGAAAAAGAAAGGCGGATAGCGGTCTCAAAGAGAAGGCACTGCCCAGCCGGAAAAGGAGGAGATCCACGAGTTCAGAAGAGGATGACGAGCCTGTCCGATCGTCGCCAACCAAGAGGAGAAAGCAAGTGCCCCTTGACGAGACATCCGACGAAGAATCCGAATCCTCGCCCGCCGTTCCAGCCCAGCGCCCGGCCGCAACACCCCGTAAAGGCACCACAAAGCCCTTCTCAACCAAAAAGAGCAAAGCAGAACCAACCCGCCAAACCCGCCAAACCCGCCAAACCCGCCAAACCCGCCAAATGAACACCCCCAAGAAACAACACCGCACCGAAAAGCAAAAGAAGCTCGAACTCCTCAAGCGCCGCCGTGCCGGCGAGAAGATCACCGAACTCACCGAATCCTCCTCCGACTACGAAGAAGAGCGCGGCGCCAACGACAGCGATGCCTCCCACGCCGTCCTCTCCGTCTTCGACGATGAAGACTCCGGCGAAGACAACATCGAGCAGGTCCGGCAATCCCTGCGCCCCGGAAACCGTAACATGGATGATGACTCCTTCATCGTGTCCGACGACGACGCACTCCTCGGCGCACCCTCCGACCTCCACGAGATCCCCCTCGAGTTCACCCACCACGCACACAAACATCTCAAGGAGCACTTCAAAGACGCAATCGAGTGGATGGTCCAAAAAAAGATAAACCCGGGCTTCAATCACCGCGACCCCATCTACATCCAAGCCTTCCGCAAGCTCGAGCCCGAAGCCCGCGGGCTCGCACAGTCGAAATTCTCCTCCTCAGCCTGGACAGAGAGTTTCACCCGTGCTCTGTGGTCGCGCCCCCAGTTCCACGAGGAGGATATAAGTGCCGGCGGCGAAGGGGAGGGGCGGAAATGCGATGCCTGTGGACGGAGTAATCATCCTGCTAAATTCAGGATCCAGTTACTCGGGAAACCTTATTACCAACAGACCCTCGAGGACGTGGAAGACAGCGATGCCGAGTCCGAGTCCGAGTCCGACTCCGAGGCCGCGAGCGTAAACAGCAAAGGCCAGAAACTCCTCAGCGCAGACACGGAATTCTACCTCGGTCGCTTCTGCCGCGCCAACGCGGCGACGGCGCATGCGCTGATCCACTGGAAACACGCGCTGTATGAGTGGGTGGTGCAGACGCTTTCGGAGCAGGGGTTTCTGGATGCGGAGAAGTTGGGGGAGAGGGTCAAGTGGGGACAGAGGAAGCTGGGGGCGTTGGCGAATGAGGTTGTGGATGAGTGGGTGGAGAGGGGGGAGGTGAAGGGGCTGTATCGGGATTTTAGGAATAATCTTGAGGCAGCGAGGAATAATAAGCAGGGTCGGTGGAATGCTTGAGGATTCGGGCCTGGTTCCGGCTGCATAGCTATTTCATACGGCAAAAGGGGGGGTGGACAATTCACTCGTGTCTCACAAACATCACAATATTGCTCAAGCTATTCGAAAAAAAGCAAACTGACATTTGCATAATCTATCTCATAAACGCACCTAGACCATGCATGCTCTTGTAGAAAAACGAAAGGAAGAGTGTTGAATTCATGCTCATTTCTTCGTTCAACAAAACCAATCAATGACCCCGCCCGCAAACTCCTACACGAATCGTATCACACATCACAACAACAATAACCCTCTCTTCCTGCTTCTCTGCCCATAAAATATATCCCCGCACCCGTGTTTTCGCCATCCTTAGGAAGATGTAGAGGGGTGGGTGTGTCCTCTCTGTAAACATCAGCAAACCTCCTCAACCCCCGTAAAAAGTTTCGATAATCTGCCCATAAAGTCCCACCATCGAAGTTCGTCCATGTCGTGAAAAAGCGAGACTGTATAAACAGCCACCAAACCCTTGCCCGGTCTATTTACGAATATCCGCCGCCTCCTCCGGCAACGTCGTCTCCAACACACCCACATTAACATCCGGTTCCGCAGCAGGCACCTGGGTCTTGCCCCCCGCCACCGGCGGCGGCGGCGCCGCAGGCTCCTCCTCAACCACCTTCTCCATACCCGCGTTCTTCGCGCCACCAGCCCCAGCCCCATCCTCATACTTGGGCTGTTCATACCCCTTCCCGCTATTACTGCCCGAGACGCCCACATAGGGCACGCCGTCCTCCTCAGCCTTGCGTTCTACTTCCGCTACGATTTTGTCAGCCTCGCTGAGACGGCCGGGACCGCCGACGGGGTCGCCTTCGACGCCGATGGAGGAGAGGTGGTTGTTGGCTGTGTTGAGGAGGGCGGATTTGTTGAGGCGCACGATCATGCAGGAGAGGTTGTCGGTAGAGAAGCGGGCGAGGGCGTGGTCGACGAGTTGTTGGGAGGCGACGACGGGGTCTTGGACGTTGCGGACTAGGTCCACGGCTTCTTGGTCGGAGCAGACGTCCCAGAGCTGCGGTGTTGTTGTTAGTATGGATTTGGGCTTTTTAGGTAGGGGGAGGGGGGACTTACACCGTCACAGGCGAGAATGATGAACTCGTCGAGGTCGGGTTGGATGACTGTCTCGGTCGTATATGGGTGGCCTGTGACAAGCTCTTTCATATATGCGTCTCCGAGTGCGCGGGTAACGGCAAGAACGCCGTTGACACGGTTATTCAGGATTATACCTCCAGCAGTAACAATACGTTTCCCTTCATTTTCATCGCTCCCTTTATGATCATAAGACAGACGCAACGCTCTTCCACCGCGACAAAGAACAATCCGGGCATCACCAACATTCGCCGTATACAATACTCGCTGACGCGTAGCTTGGGACTTCAACCTGGCATGTGCGGCTTCGCCTGTGGTCAAACCATACTCAGCAGATGATGCTATATCTGCAGCTGGATCTACTGCTCCGGCAAGTTCTTTGGTCCTATCCGGGTTTTCCTGGACGCCCACTTTCTCCTCTGATATGGTGGTTGACTCTTCCACTGCTTTGACGGCGGCTAAAGTGGCAGGCGCGATGGCTGTAGATCCTGTCGCTGAGAGAGTGTTGGGTATCCTGTCTTCCCATCTGAGCACCGCCGCCACAGCTGTGCAACCGCTGTTTTTGAGAGGCAGTTTTTCGAGCTGAACATCCACATTTGTAAAGGTCTGGTCGAGTAATTCTGGTACCGGTGTATTGGGATTCTTTCGGATCATTTCCTCGAGGATGATGTGTAGTTTCTTGCCACACCAATCTGCAGCAAAGGATCCAGCGTGGCCATCGAAAATGGCAAAGTATCCATTGTCGGTTTCCATCATATCTGAAGCTGTCTTTGAAGCGATGCTGTCCAGCTCCAGATCGGAGGCAGACGCCGTCAAGAGCGCATCCGTAGATAGGTCATTATTTGCGTTGCCGGCTTTGATGTTTGGGCTGTCCAATTTATGTACGAAAGGCGCTGGTGTGTGTAAGAAGTTGTATAGAAATGCATGCGTATCTTCCATAGTCCTGCGACACTTTCTGTTCCTGTCCTCAGCGACCCCGACTAGGAATGTAGACCTTGGTCCAGGAAGAGACTCGCCCGCCGAGTTGTTGTGCGTGCCCTGCGGCACGCTGAGCACTGGGTCCGTCCGACCCAGTTTTTGAAGGGGTGTCTGCATGTTTTGTTCGCTGAGAACCCTGAAGCTCGAAGAGTTGGAGCTGGGGCTAAAGTGCAGCGAGTTCTTTGCGCTGGCAAGAAACGCGCTTGCCTTGTTTCCAACGCCGCTGCTTCGTCGCTTCTTCTCAGTAGCCCCCGCAGTATCCTTATCCGGCGATGGCCTCCCGTTTCCTGGACCACTCCCGCCGCGCCTGTCTTTGATGGGTATCTTCTCGGAGGCCGGTGGTGACGGGGTTGTCGAATCTATGGGTGATGTGCTCGCCTCGGTCGAGGTTGTTGGTGGGATGGTGGTCCCGCTATCGGGCTGCTCCTGCAAGGTATCCTTTGGAGGTGACGGTGAGTTGGAGCTACTGCCGAACATCCTGTTCAGCAATCCCCCCTGGGAGGAGAAGCTCCTCCTCTGTTTGCCTGCCAGCGTGTTGAATTCTTTACTTAATGCCTACAGGCACGTATTATTCGCAGTATCCCGAGTTTCGGAGATGGGGGCAGTCTAGAAGAGCAGTTCCGCGTGGGGCCAAGACAATTGCGTGTATGTATGTTCAATACGATACCGACTATGAGCACCCTATTATACCCCTTGAAACGAAAATGGGAATTGTAGATGCTGGAGCGCGTTCGATGATTGTAGAACCAACAGCAATTGCGGTGGCTATGGCTTTGTGGTCGTTGTAGGGCGTGGGTTGTTTTTGTTTTTGTTGGTCGTGGTCGTGGTTGTGATGTCGGCGGTCTTACGTGGCAAGGAAACGTCTCCGTACCAAGCAAACCCGTCCAAGTCAACAAAGGCAGGACGGTGAGGGAGAAAGGAGAGTAAGCAGATGGAAATAGACACAATTAGTAGATTTGACAAAAGATACACAAAGATGAGATGAGACGGATTAACGATTGCGATGAGCGGCAATGACGATTAAGCCGGCGATGGTGGGGGAAGTTAAGCAAGTTAGGGACGCATTGTAGTGGAGAGGGAGTGGGTGGTCCTTTATGGTCCCTATGGTCCACCTGGTCGCCGCTATACGAAGTATATATTATATATTTAAGAAAGACATAACTTGGGTTGACATATTATACATTTTTGAAAAGAGGCGACTTTTAATTCTGGCGAGGTGCGTAGATATGCATTGCGTGTTCGATGGGAATGTTGCTACCCCACTCTGATATTCGCAAGGTCACCACCATTCCCAGCTTTGTTGCTGCTGGTGCCCAGTGCATCTCTCGCATGATGCTTAAGAAGGGTGACTGGGTAAGTCCAAACGTAAACAAAATCTGCCCCGAAAGTCTACAATCAACTGACTGCTAATTATTCACATTATTGTACTTTAACCAGGGTTAGCACAAATACTCATGATGCTCATGAGTTACTCGAGTTACTCAAATACTCACAACTACTCATGAGTATGGTTACATAATTATACTCGCGAGTACTAGCTCATGTTTAAATCACGCGACTTTTAATTTAAAGAGCTTTATTAGTATAAGTTAACTTTATATTAAAAGCTACAGTCGAGTCGCGCTAAGTCGATTCGCGATTAGTCGATTATCGCGATAACTCGGTAACGTAAGTCGTGGCGTAACCGGGAGAATGGCGTAAACGGGATAGTGGGGGAAGACCGACCACGAAGAAAGCGAAAAGTAGAGTATTATTACTTTAGTATTCAACTATAATGCAGCCATATACTTCTTCTGGGTTCTCATCCTCCTCGACATTCTCGGTTTGGTCAGGTACAGTGATATTTGTCGCTGTACTCTTGCCTTTGGTAGTCGCTTTCTGGGTGGCCTCCTCGGCCTCAATGACTTGGGAGCGTAATTCCTCTGTAGTTATGTGGAATTGGCCCTTTAAAATTGCGCGTTTCCCTTTGCTCTGTGCTCTCTGTGTTTGTATTATCGATCGTAGGTTATCTGCCTCGCGTTGGTGTAAGAAGTTGCGTGTATTAAGTCGCTCAGTCTCATCAGCCAACCGACGGATATATCGAGTAGTGGGTGTGTTTAGGACTGTACGCGTCTCTAAGGCCGCAACCAGGACAGTGTTCGCTTTGCGCAATGTAGAACAGTCGGGTGGACTACTGTTCTGAAAGACATTGTCAAAAATATCGTACTCAGTTGGTGTTTTTGGTCGATCATCTGTCACATCTGTCTGTTGGAGCGTCACCATCCGGATCACCCGTTGAGGTTGGAAAGGTTGTAGACCAGCACCCCTCCACGCAGATGTAATATTATGAGTAGATAGCGCAATTGCTCTCGCTTTGATGTATGCAGATAACCATTCTGCTTTTTGTATGCGTGTAAGTTGCGCTTCATTCAAATGTGAGAGCGCACTTGTGAGATATTTTTTCAATGGTCCGAAGACTGCAACATCGAGTGGTTGCAACACATGGGAAGTGTGCGGTGGGAGGACAAGGATAGATATTCGATTTTGCATACAATGGGATATAAAGCCTCCACTTATATGACTGTCGTGGCCATCGCATATGAGTAACCGTTGTTGTTGTGCTCCATTAGATGTCGCTTTCGCATGCGTTGCTGGTTCAAACACGCGTTTTAACCACTCGATGCCATGTAAGTTGCTTGTCCAACCCTTTGTATTAGCAGAGAAGTGCCATTTATCGATAACCTCAGGAGGGATCCAGTTTTGTAAGACGTTCCGACCCTTGAATATAATAAGAGGGTTAATGGTCGTTCCATCCATACAGATGCATTCAACAGCAGACACCCATTCCTGCCGGCCTTGGTGTGCCTGGTGACATGTACGGAGTGTAGAATCAACGATGATCCGAGTACACTCCATAGTGCCAATCGAAAATCCAGTTTCATCCATGTTATACACGTTGTGTTCTTGTATTCCTAGACGCGCCACAAGGTCCTTGTACACATCAAACCACCCCGTTAACACATCTTTTGTAACTCCACTCATTCTTTGTGCTTCGACCCGTCTGCCTAGTTGGATTTGTAAATGCGGATGTCGTTTTATAAACCGTGGGACCCAGTCTTGTCCAAGGGGAAAGTTCGGAATCTCTTCGTGATGAGTGTGTTGGGCATGTTGACTGTTAGGGTGCGACAGTTCGAAAACGCGGCATCGGTTGACATGGATTTCATCAGCAATATCCCACAATATACGGTGACTAGGAGCATATCCACTAATTGTTAGCACCTTAATCCACTTTAAAAGTGTCTGCTCCTGCGCTGGCGATAGCAGCTGTTGTTGTTGTCGAGTTACTCTCCGTGACAGTTTCCCTTTGACGCGTTGAAGGACTGAGTCTGGCCGGAGGTGTAAAGCCTTTGCAGCACCGTACGAAGATTTGTATAATCCAGATTTAACTCCAGCAATGACTTGTGCTAATAAAATTTCTAGTTCTTCGGCTTTTTGGCTACGCTTTCGCACCATGTTGGGAGTTTACATTGGTTTGATGATCCTCTCGATGCACGATATTCCCCCACTATTCTGGACTTACGTTTAACGTAAGTCGTGGCGTAACCGGGAGAATGGCGTAAACGGGATAGTGGGGAATATTGAGCATCAAGAGTATCACCAAACCAATGTAAACCCCCAACATGGTGCGAAAGCATAGTCAAAAAGCTGAAGAACTAGAAGTTTTATTGGCACAAGTCATTGCTGGAGTTAAATCTGGATTATACAAATCTTCGTACAGTGCTGCAAAGGCTTTACACCTCCGGCCAGACACAGTCCTTCAACGCGTCAAAGGGAAACTGTCACGGAGAGTAGCTCGACAACAACAACAGCTGCTATCGCCAGCGCAGGAGCAGACACTTTTAAAGTGGATTAAGGTGCTAACAATTAGTGGATATGCTCCTAGTCACCGTATATTGCGGGATATTGCTGATGAAATCCGTGTCAACCGATGCCGCTTTTTCGAACCATCGCACCTCAACACTCAACCCGCCCAATATGCGCAACACGAACAGATTCTGAACTTTCCCCTCAGACAAGATTGGGTCCCACGCTTCATAAAACGACATCCGCATCTATAAATCCAACTAGGCAGACAGGTCGAAGCACAAAGAATGAGTGGGTGTCATACTGACATTTGTTCCACTTAGTTTGCTATCAAACTCAAGAGCAAACTTAGAAATCTCCTCCTCAAACCTACAAGTCACCATACATATCTTGGCTTATCACACCAACAACAAGAGCAATACTACTCAACGATTGCTGCAAACTCTTCTACTACATCTGTTTATGCTACATACATCACAGCATATTATTTGGACACTCATTGAACAAGTTATTAAGAAAATATCCTCCTTAAGGGGGTGGGCCAATACTACCACATGGCATATCTCTACCAACTAGAGGCCTAGGAACATGAACGATAGCTCTAAAAGCTTCTACAACCCTCTATGATTCATTACACGTCATCACTCCTTAGTTACCCACAAGATTGGTTAAGTTATGACATAATTTGTCTATAGGGGTACTCTGACCTTGGACCTCCTTTTAACTTCCTATAGGCTAGGAACCCAAGAGATGGTTCTATGGGATTCTCTTACGTTCACTACATGATTAGCAAGCTAGTTGTGGCTCGCACTTGATTTCTAATACAGTTACCAAGCCTGGTTAGTCATGGAAAGTCATGTGTTACAGCTACAGTAACGTGATGTCATGGTTACAGGACCAGGGCCTAGTAACGTGACGTGTGAGTCACAGGGGGCAAGCGGGGTAGGCTGCCATGTGACAGGGCTAATGGATAGTTGCAGAAACTAGTGGATATTGGATAGTTGAGCTATCCACGAACTATCCTGAATATCTAGCTATCCGCCAACTATCCAGATTACCCATGAGGCACAATGCCACTATATAAGTAGATAGTATTTCTTAGATAGGAGCTTCATGCTCAACTCAATATAGTATTCTTTGCAATACTGTAACATGTTACTTGGGACGCCTTTGTGTCTAATCCCCTGCCTCCTCTGTCAAGTCAACCTTATGCAAGAAACCTCTGTGTCTTCTATCGTTTAGAAGTCAGCATTACACTTTGAGCACCACTTCTACGAGATACCGGCTTACACACAAAGCAACATGGCTGGAGACGATACTGGATCAAACGTTGGATTGAAGGGGAAGGTTGCTACTGAACCTACCATCGAAGCCCCACAGGGTCACCCTTCAGATAAGTTGAAGATTGCATTCCCAGACACCTTTCATGGGGATCGCAAGAAGCTTAAGAGCTTCATCATCCAGACAGAGCTATGGATGGCGTTTAACGCCAAACACTTCAACAAGGAAGTGGAACAGGTCCTATGGGCTGTGGCACTCTTTCGAGGACCAGCCTCAGAATGGATCTCTAACTACCTCGCCGACTACATGAACCATCGAACACCCGACGGAAAATGCAACACCTTAGCTAGCCAAGGAACGAAGGAAATTTTTGTATCCTGGAACGGATTCCTCAAAACGCTTAATTAAGGCAAACTTCGGAGACATTGATGAACGACGAAATGCAGTCAGGGCACTCCAGGCTCTCAAGCAGAGAGGGTCAGCAGTTGCATACACCACTGAGTTTCAACAGCATGCAACACTCACCAACTGGGGAGACGAGGCTATCTGTGACCAATTCTACGCAGGACCATGTGAAGGACGAAATCTCAAGGTCTGACAAACCAGATGACCTTAGAGAGATGATTGAATTGGCTCAGAAGATCGACAATCGTCACTACGAACGGCAACTCGAGAAGAAAGGGGGACCACCTAGTCAACACTGGACTCAGAGAAGAAAACAAACAAAGAGTCATTGGCCCCAACCTATGGAACTCGATGCTACTTTCAAGCCTAATGGCAAACCCCACAATCCCAACAAGGAGCGACAGTTCCAAGAACGGCTCTGCTTCAACTACAATAAGCCTGGACACATAGCGCGAAACTGCAGACAGTCAAAGAAAGGGAATGGAGGACGAAAGTATGGCAAACAGCTTAACGCTACTTGGCAAGGTCAAGGCGGGTGCAAGGCCCCGCGAGGACAGCTATGTGCCACGTTAAAAGGAAAAGAGAACTGGAGTATTACTACTCAGGATCTCGAGGAATTCCACTTGTCAAACAGAGAAGACAAGAACGACGACAAGGAGCTCACTAGTTCTCAAAAGCACCAGTTACAAGCATTTGAGAAGACAGCAAGTAAGACTCTCTTCAAGGAACAACTGCCAGGAGCAGTAAGGACCTTCAAGGAAGCCATGCTTCAGGAGATGGTCGATCAAAGAATTCCTGTGCCCAAGCCACCAATGAGCTGGCAGGACACTACACAATACTGGGAGATTGCAGTTCGCACAGTGAGGTGCCGACCAGAATACCCTCACCAGCAGGAAAGCATCCCAAGAGAAGAAAGGGGAACACGAGTGTTAGAAGCACACAAACGCCTATGCCGCGAAGCAGAACGAAGAAGAGAAAGGGTACCAGTTCTACGACCATTAGAATATGGTGAACATGATGGATTTTCCTCAGACGGTTATTCCTCAGACGATTCAAAAAACTAGGAGTCCTCGGCAGTAGGCCACTGGCGAGCGACACAAAGAGGCCTAGTACAAACCAGCTATGTGCCACAATGGGCGGCATGCAGCTATATGTGGTTGCTAAGATACAACAGCAACACCTCCGAACTATGATAGACTCAGGAGCAACAGGCAATTTTATGACAAAGAAAGTAGCAGACACACACGGTTTCAGGACGCAACTGAAGACCGATCCATACCCATTATGGTTGTAGATGGAGAGCCCATCTCAACTAACAACGGAATGGTGACCCACGAGACGGTCCCATTAGAAATGGTCATGCTACGCGGACACAAGGAAACGATACAGTTTGATATCATGCACATGGACAATCATGCATGCATACTTGGTGTACCGTGGCTCAAGAAACACAACCCCCAGATCGACTGGCGGAATGAGAAAGTTGTGATGAGCCAGTGTGTCACGACCCTTCGATTTGCTTTAGTCTCTAGTACTTATTTCACTATGTCATTCACTTCACCTGCTTCGCTCACTTCGCTCACTTCGCTTCACTTGCTGACCTAGATCAGCCCAAATGTTGACTACTGGCTTAGGCTCTCTGTTATTGGCTTGCTGCACTAGGGCTCGCTTAGCTAGGGTTCGGTTAATTAGTGCCTTCACTTATTTGGCACTAGGGATTTTTACTGTTATATAAGCACTTATTGCTCATGTCTCTTATTGATCTTTAGCTAGCAAATTATATACTACTTGGCCTTCTTGCAATTCCTCCTGCTTCGACTTACTTTGCATTCCCTTACTTCGAGTCTCACCACTTGGCCAACCTGTTAGTCTCACCACTTGACCCCTGTGGTATAAAGTATATGCTTTGGAGCCTGAACTACTATACCTTGTCCTACTGCTTCGAGTATCAAAGTCTTCACATTATACTTCGGATACTTCTGCAGACTTGAAGGTCAGCCTCGGTTCGAACTGTCCTTACACAGTGCGCGTGTGAACAACGAACAGACACGACGCAGAAGGAGAAAACCTCCAAAGACCGGAAGGAGTTATGTGCGACCACCGAGTCTGATGACCTAGCCCAGGCATCCTCACTGAAGCAAATACCAGTGGAGTATAAGGAATACAAGCAGTTATTCTGGGAAGGCCCTAACGAAGAGGCGCTTCCTAAGCACCAACCATGGGATCATGAGATACCTATCATGGAAGGAAAAAGTCCACCATTCGGACCAATATATCAGATGTCAGCAGCAGAGCTGGACGTACTAAAGGAATACATTGACGAGAACCTCGCAAAACGGTTCATTCGACCATCGACATCACCAGCAGGAAGTCCAATACTATTTGTGCCAAAGCAAGGACAAGAAGCTAAGACTCTGCGTGGACTATCGAGGAACGAATAATGTCACTATCAAAGATAGATATGCTTTACCTTTGATAAACGAACTACACGACCAGTTCCAGGGAGCCAAGATATTTACCAAGCTGGACCTCAGAGGCGCCTATAACCTGATTCGAATCAAGAAAGGAGATGAGTGGAAAACAGCATTCCGCACCTGCTATGGCTTGTTCGAATATTGTTATGCCCTTTGGTCTAACAAATGCACCAGCATCCATGCAGAGGCTCATGAATGCAGCTCTCCATGAATACTTGGATGTGTTTGTTATCGTCTACCTAGACGATATCTTAGTCTACTCAGGAGACCCAACGGAACACATTGGTCATGTTCGGAAGGTATTACAGAAGTTAAAGGAGCATCGGTTACTCCTCAAGTCAGAAAAATGCAAATTCCACAAGGATCAAGTAGAATTCTTAGGCTACATTGTCGGAACGCATGGCATCAAAATGGACCAAGCAAAGGTCACAGCAGTGTTGGAATGACACCAACCACAGTCAAAGAAGTACAGGCCTTCTTAGGCTTTGCCAACTTCTACCGGAGGTTTATTATGGGATATTCCAAGCTCAACCACTTACAGAGCTTACAAGGAAAGACCTTACGTTCGAATGGACAAGCAAGGCAGAGGCTGCTTTTCCGGAACTTAAGACGAAGTTCACAGAAGCACCTATCCTAGTCACACTCGACCCTGCAAAAAGGATTGTCCTCGAAACGGACTCCTCTGACTTTGCGATTGGAGCCTGTCTAAGTCAGCCAGACAAAGACAAGAAGCTTAAGCCAGTTGCATATTACTCTAGAAAACTGTCACCCGCGGAGCTCAACTATGACATCCATGACAAGGAGCTGATAGCTATTGTCATTGCTTTTGAGCAATGGCGAGTATATCTTGAAGGATCGACCTACCCAAGAATCTCATATACTTCACCACAACCAAGGTTTTAAACCACAGACCAGTCTGATGGGCAGAGACACTCGCAGCCTACAACTTCACGATTACATATTGCAAGGGCTCTGAGAATGCAAGAGCTGATGCTCTTAGCAGAAGGACCGACTACATTGGCCCTAAAGAGGAAAGACCTAGAGCCATATTGAAGAAGACAGATGCAGGAATGCAATACAACGAGTTGCTAGCCACGATTGCCACTGTGGAGAACTCGGAGTTGGAAGAAAGACATCAAGAAAGCTAATGCCTTTTGCATCGCAGAACGTCTCTACCTCGCCTGCTAAACTCCTCAGCAGATTTGCTGCTGCATCGTCGTCCTTCCCTTGTAATCTGGCGTCGATAAGGGCGAATAGGGGTCCATCGCGACCACCCATTCTGGAACGAATCTCATAAACCTCTTTTGGCAGCGGTTCCTTTTGGGATTGGCCGCCTACATCATTTCCACGCTCCTCAATATGCGGTTGATTGTCAACACCTGACATAATTGATTCAGTGTCAGAAACATTGTTGTCCTCCTCTTCCCCTATATCAGCTAGGTGAGACTTGTCAAAAACATGTAGAATAGGTAAAGTCGACTGAGACTTGGGACCTCCACTAGTCTGGGCTGTCTTAACATCTTTCTGTTTCTCTATTTCTTCTGCACTTAGTGGTTCAAGACGCACTAACTTCGACAAGCTTGCTGTATTTGCTTCATTTTTCTCATCTCTAGGTGCTAGAGATAGGCTTTTCCCATCCTCTAATAGCTCTGACTCTGCTAGATTCCCAGTCCTTGCCTGACCAGTTTCAATATATGAGTGATTTTTAATATGAGATGTATCTGCTAGAGTCTCTGTCCTTGCCTGTCCGTTTTCAACTTCAGAAGCTAGAGATACCCTATCCTCAGCTTCAAACAGGTCTTCTTCGCCCTGAATTTTATTAAATGTTTCTTTAACGACTTGCTCTTGCTGGGCTTTTTGAGCTGCCTCTTGCTCTCGCTGAGCTTGCTGAGCTTGCTGAGCTGCCTCTGGAGATGCCCTATTAGCATTCTTAGATCCGGATGCAGTAAATAGGTCTTCTTTGCCATGAACTTGAAAGGTGGCTGTAGGGTATGTTTCATCGAGGACTTGGGTAGTCGGCAATTTACTTGCAGGCTGCCGAGCTCTAGCAGGATCCCCTTGGGGTGCTGAGTGCACGCGGACTGGGACCCTCATACTGTCATGTCCAAGTCATTTTTCCATAAGCTCGCGGCCCGTATGCATCCAGCGATGTTTATGTTGCTCACGAACAAATATAAATTTCCATCCTTCTTTTTGTCGGATTATCATCAGTCTTTCTTTTGGTTTGAAGATGAACGATTGTGGAATAGACGGGCCCCCAAACATTACCCACTGACTTTCGCGCACCCGTAAGTATTCTTTAAGCATGGTTGGATTGAGAATTGTTCTTGGCTTCAGCTGGTTTCCATTATACTCAAATATGGAGATCGGCCATTTTACAGCGACTCTATGCTCTGGATTTAGTTCCGCATTTGCCTGATAGTGAGACGTTTCGACAAGAGGTGACGCCCCATGACTATTCGTAGATGCGCTCTCAAAAGGTTGCATGAGTGAATTATCAATAACAACTGCATGCCTATTTTCATTGCTTGTGCCTGACATGTTCTGGTTATGTTGTGAGACGTTTCTGTTAGGCTTCCCTAGAAAGCGCTTCTGTAAGGTATGCATTATTTTGGGCTGCTTGTATCTTAGCCTCATAAGGCCTGCATTGCCCGTTTTCTGCAGTCTTAGTTCTCGGAGCTGATTAAAGGTGTTGCTAATGTCGTCTCTAACAGAACTCACTAGTGCGTCCTGTAGAATTGGAGAGCGAGCTCTCTCACGGCTTGGTAATAGTTCGCTTACAGGGCTAAGCGGCCTATCTAATGTTTCGAGGAGCTGAGTGGGTTGACCTTCAGGTAGCATCTCTATCAGAGGAATAGGCTGAGAGTCGTCCAAAACCTCTTGTTGAGTAGGTTGACGTCCTAATATTATAAGTGCTTTAGGCTGATTAAAGTTGTTGCTAAAGTCTAGTGCACCCTGTAGAATTGGAGAGCGAGCCCTCTCTCGGTCTGGTAGTAGATCACTTATAACAGTGACTGGTCTATCTAACATCTTTCTGTAGCCGAGAGAAGAAGCTGAGAGTCATCTAAACTCTCTGGCTGAGTAGGTTGACCTTCTATTATCCTGAGGACTTCAGGCTGATTGACACTGTTGATAAAGTCTGATGCGCCCCGTAGAATTGGAGAGCGAGCCCTCTCCCGGTTTGGTAATAGCCCACTTGAAAGAATAAGCTGAGAGGGGCTTGGGAGAATAAGCTGAGAATTATTCTGAGAAGGTTGACCCTCTGTTATCATAAGTATATCTGACTGATTAATGCTAACTAGCCCATCTAACATCTCAATTTCTGTAGGTTGAGTAAGTGGGCCTTCTATTATCCTGAGTAATTCGGGCTGATTGGCGCTGTTGATAAAGTCTGATGCGCCCCGTAGAATTGGAGAGCAAGCCCTCTCCCGGTTTGATAATAGCCCACTTGGAAGAATAAGCTGAGAATTATCCTGAGAATTATCCTGAGAAAATTGACCTTCTGCCATCATGAGTGCTTGAGGCTCATCAATGCTCTTCCTAGAGCTGTTGCTGAGGGCATTTACTAGTATGCCCTGTGGTATTGGAGAGCGAGGCCTCTCACGGTTTGGCAACAGCTGACTCGGTCTATTGCCGTAAAGCTGAGAATTATGCTTTGAACTCTCTCCTAGAGCAAGTTGGCTATTTGTTGTCATGATATGATCTCCCTCCAAATCTGTTCCAACAAGAGCCACATTCTCGATTCATGCCCTTCGGTGGCTGTGACTGTGCCTTCCATCCCACTGAGCTCTTCATGATGGCGAGCCCTCTGTGGACGGATTAGTGAATGCGCTCGTGGAGAAAAAGGACTTTCACCATGAGATGACCTCGAAATTCTCGGATGGTGAGATTTACCTTAAGATTGTGGAAGCCAAAACCTTTGGGTTGGAAAAGAATATTCAACTTTGGCGAAAATGCCTATCGTCTTGCAAACAAGAAAGCATTGATCAGCTTCTACGCAATGACGAAATATCAGGCGCCCTTAACGAGCTTCGTGGTTTCCCAGGCTTGTGGAAAGGGCTTGAATTAGGCAATGTTAAGAGGTTATTCGCTCTTCACTGTAATGAGGCAAGTAGGGCTTATCACTGTTCTGTTGACTCGAAGCTAACTTAAGTGAAGGAAATAATCCACTATCTCTGAAATATTAAGTCTGTATGGGATAAAATAACTCTAGGGAAAGATGCCCTCAAAAGAGCTGTATGCCCCGAGACTGTTCAATTTCTCTACCTACGCGCCCCTGCGGCAAGCGCAGCCAATCGGACATCTATCATCCAAGCCATGCGACATGGTACGATATTCCTAAACGTGCCGAAAAATAGCAAACGAGCAATTACAAAGGCGTTGCTGAGCCTTACTGTTATCATATCAACAATCAACACCCTACACAAGAACTTAAAGCTAGTTGAAATAGGGGTGGAAATCTTGAAACATAATATTTTGGGCGCAAGCATGGAAACCACCATTCGCCATGCACTTTGAGAGAGATGGACATCACCTGGAGACATGAGAATAGAGACTAAAGAGGGCCAGTTCCTTTCAATACAGAATCTCACGCCGTCAGCTCAGTGGGAACTCACTTATCAGCAAATTTGGCTCTTTATTCTACGAAATTTCCCTGGTCTTAGTGGTACTGCTCCACGACTAGACGCAAGAAAGAACAAATTGGATAGTTGCTGCATTAGAGACTTTGCCACTATGCGGAGGTTTTCTCAGTTTACTGCCCACCTAGGAATTGTCAAATCAAAGATGAACGCCAAAATTAGTGCAAAATGCATCCATCGTATCAGTGTCCATCGCGCCGCCATATATTCATCAGCCGATGGCGAAATACAGAACCGGCGATGCGGACGACCATTCTACAGCTCATACATGCGATACAAGAACAAGCTTTACTTGCCTACGCTAGCTAAGACCTTGACTCGCAGCTATAATGAACTACCAACTTCGACATACGTGCTTAGAGACTTCATGCTCAGCTTCTTTGGGCCAACTAACATATCAGTCCGCCCCAACGAGCAACCACTAGAGCACTCTATCTCTATAAGTGACGAAGATGCTCTAAGTGAATCGATCACCACAAGTTCGAGGGTCTCTAGCGATGACGACAACGTTGAGGAATCGGCTGGCCTTGATACGTCCATCGACGATGACGACTTATTACCTTACTTCAATAACCAAGAAGGATTAGAAGATGAAGCAACTTCAAATAATGAGATAGAAACTTCCAGACAACGCTCTCCACTGCAGTCAAGTGGTGAAGTTACCCACAAAAGCTTGCCCGAGGTACATCCGGAGATATTCCAACAAAGGCTAGTATCGCAGCCCGACAACGCTCTTAGTGATGCCCTGAGAAGTCCGATTCTACTTAACGATAATCAAGGTTTATCGCACCAGCTTCTGAACACTGAATACCAATATCTAGGTATATCTGGAGTAGAGGATGAAGCTGAGGTGCCAATGATGAGCGGCGCTCTCATAAAAAACTCCCAACCGGCCTATAAAGCGTTCGTGTGCCAGTGCGGGTTTTCAGCTATGGCGAGGCTGAGCAGGGGGATCCGTTGGGCGGGGCCAAGGGTCGCATGAATGAGCCCAGCAGGTGCGAGAATGTTGGGAGGGAAGGAGTGACGGTGGAGAGGGACAAAGTCGGAGGGAGGGAGTGGCCTTCTTATAGAAGTTGAAAGCGGCGGCAGGTCCGTGCACGCGCGATACCCAATTAGGGGGGGCGCTAAACCTGAAGCTCGAACACCACAATGTCTATTATAAAACTAAAAATTATAAATAAGTATAATTAGATAAAATATATATATATAATCGTTGGTTTCAAAACCACTGCCTGGAGGTGGTTGGCGAAAGCGATCCTTGCTGCGAAAGCGATCCTTGCTGTGAAAGCGATCCTTGCTGCGAAAGCGATCCTTGCTGTGAAAGCGATCCTTGCTCTCTCGGCAAACGCGAGCGCATCCAATGTGACATCAGGACAACGCGACTATCTGGACAACAATTGGCACGTAAAGTTACAATCATGTCAATTGATATAGCTAGAAATGAAACTATTCAAAAAGCAATTGATTTCCTAAATCAGAACCCAATGGAGACTATCACTGCAGCAGCTAGAATCTACCATGTACTCCCAACCACACTCCGTATGCGACGCATGGCGCAACGCCAACCACCAAAGCCTTGCGGAGGTAACAACAGAATACTTTCAGATATACAAGTTATAGCTATACAAAGATACATTCAACGGTCATATGAAAATGGGTATGGTGCAATGAAGCCAATGGTGTTTAATGCTATCTAGCAACTACTAGCAGCTGAAATCCTGAAGCATCCACCACCGTCTCAACGGTGGTTCCAGACTTGGATTAAGACTCAACATGAGACTTTCCACACCATTAAAACCCGGCCAATTGAAGCAGCACATGTTGCTTCTCATGATGTATCAGCTATCAAAGAATGGTTTCATGGATTCAAAGATGTGTGTAATCAATTAGATGTTACTGCAGCTAACATCTACAACTTTGGTGAAGTTGGGTTCCGAGTGGGAATGAGCACCGTGTAATGGTGGGTGCACCAGATGTGAGAATCTAGCCACCCAAGGAAGGGATGATTTTACTAAGACAACACACTGTCTTAGGAAAAAGAGCCAAAGGGTCGTAGCTTAGACTATTCCACAATGCAGCAATCAGGTGTATGATGTAGTGGAGTGGTTTAGACAAGTTGTAACAAATGTTGAGTCTGAGAACTCAGGGACAAGTCAGAGGTTAGCACCTCACTGACTTTTCAGAAACAAGGAGTAACAAGATCAATGCTTGGAAGCTTGGAAAAGACATGGAAGTATGTGATAGTCAATTTACTGTATTGTCTGCTTGCCCTTTCTTAAGGAAAGGGCAATACTATTTATGCTAAAGGAGTGTAGTTCTCTCATTTTTCAAGACTTTCCATGACTAACCAGGCTTGGTAACTGTAGTCGACGTAAGAGAATCCCATAGAACCATCTCCTAGGTTCCTAGCTTATAGGAAGTGAAAGGAGGTCCAAGGTCAGAGTACCCCTATAGACAGATTATGTCATAACTTAACCAATCTTGTGGGTAACTAAGGAGCGATGACGTGTAATGAATCATAGAGGGTTGTAGAAGCTTTTGGAGCTATTGTTCATGTTCCTAGGCCTCTAGTTGATAGAGATATGTCATGTGTAGTATTAGCCCAGTAACTAAGGAGTGATGTCATGTAATGAATCATAGACGGTTGTAGCAATCGTTGAGTAGTATTGCTCTTGTTGTTGGTGTGACAAGCCAAAATATGTATAGTGACTTGTAGGTTTGAGGAGGAGATTTCTAAGTTTGCTCTTGAGTTTGATAGCAAACTGAGTGCAACGAATGTCAGTATGACATGTAGTTATGTGGAATTGGCCCTTTAAAATTGCGCGTTTCCCTTTGCTCTGTGCTCTCTGTGATTGCATTATGGACCGTAGGTTATCTGCCTCATGTTGGTGTAAGAAGTTGCGTGTGTTCAGTCGCTCAGTCTCATCTGCCAGCTGACAGATATATCGAGTGGTGGGAGTATTTAGGATTGTACGCATCTCCAAAGCTGCAACCAAGACAGCATTTACTTTGTGCAATGTAGAACAGTCAGGCGGACTACTGTTCTGAAAGACAGTGTCAAAAATATCGTACCCAGTTCATCTGTCTGTGAAAGCGTCACCATCCGGATCACCCGTTGAGGTTGAAAAGGTCGCAGACCAGCGCCCCTCCACGCAGACATAGTATTATGAGTAGATAGTGCAATTGCTCTTGCTTTGATGTACGCAGATAACCATTCTGCTTTCTGTATGCATGCAAGTTGCGCTTCATTCAAGTGTGAGAGCGTAGTTGTGAGGTGTTTTTTCAATGGTCTGAAGACTGTGACATCGAGCGGTTGCAGCACATGCGAAGTGTGTGGTGGGAGGACAAGGATAGAAATTCGATTTTGTATACAATAGGATATAAAGCCTCCACTTATATGACTGTCGTGGCCATCGCATATGAGTAACCATTGTTGTTGTCCTCCGTTGACTGTCACTTTTGCACGTATTGCTGGTTCAAACACGCATTTAGCCACTCGATGCCATGTAAGTTGCTTGTCCAACCCTTTGTATTAGTGGAGAAGTGCCATTTATCGAAGACTTCTGGAGGGATCCAGCTTTGTAAGACGTTCTGACCCTTGAATATAATAAGAGGGTTGATGGTCGTTCCATCCATGCAGATGCATTCAACAGTGGACACCCACTCCTGCCAGCCTTGGTGTGCTTGGTGACGCATACAGAGTGTGGAATCAACGATCCGAGTGCACTCCATAGTGCCAATTGAAAATCCAGTCTCGTCCATGTTATACACGTTGTGTTCTTGTATTTCTAGACGTGCCAGAAGGTCCTTGTATGCATCAAACCACCCTATTAACACATCTTTGGTAACCCACTGTAATGGTGGGTGCACCAGATGTGAGAATCTAGCCACCCAAGGAAGGGATTATTTTACTAAGACAACACACTGTCTTAGGAAACAGAGCCAAAGGGTTGTAGCTTAGACTATTCCACAATGCAGCAATCAGGTGTATGATGTAGTGAAGTGGTTTAGACAAGTTGTAACAAATGTTGAGTCTGAGAACTCAGGTAAGTCAGAGGTTAGCACTTCACTGACTTTTCAGAATCAAAGAATAACAAGATCAATGCTTGGAAGCTTGGAAAAGACGTAGAAGTATGTGCTAGTCGATTTACTGTATTGTCTGCTTGCCCTTTCTTAAGGAAAGGGCAATCCTATTTATGCTAAAGGAGTGTAGTTCTCTTATTTTCCATGATGTAATGCTGACTTCTAAATGATAGAAGACACAGATGTTTCTTGCGTAAGGTTGACTTGACAGAGGAGGCAGGGGATTAGACACAAAGGCTTTCCAAGTAACACGTTACAGTATTGTAAAGAATACTATATTGAGTTGAGCATGAAGCTCCTATCTAAGGAAATACTATCTACTTATATAGTGGCATTGTGCCTCATGGGTAATCTGGATAGTTGGCGGATAGCTAGATATTCAGGATAGTTCGTGGATAGCTCAACTATCCAATATCCACTAGTTTCTGCAACTATCCATTAGCCCTGTCACATGGCAGCCTACCCCGCTTGCCCCCTGTGATGTCACATTACCGTAGCCGTAACACTAGGTCCTCCTCCAAAAGGCCTAGTCCCTTAGGTCTTGCTGATTAAGGAATCGCTTACTTAAGTAGGGTGATGCCCATTTAATTGCCGAGCAGGTTGCGCTGCTTACCATGTCTTCTAGTAGAGACATAAAAATCAAAGAACGTCATCTTCTTGCAGACCGTATTGAAAAGAATGGCAACCTAATGTCGCCATATTCCAGCTGTCTTCACAACAATCGATTCTGTATCGTTGTTGCTGGTAGTCATCATTGTAGTGAATGTACTCATCGCAATTCCAAATGCAACGCTTGCGCCCCTTCTCCAACTGATTGGGAGAGGCTTCGAAAAGAAGAAGAGCGTCTTGAGGTAGAAGAGGAAGCGGCGGCATCTCAGGAGCGAGAGGTTCACCTCTGCACTCAAGAAGCATATGCCCGTCGCATGCGTCTTCGCAAACAGCAGAAGGCTCTCAAAACCCGTGGTGTTGAGATGCTGCGTCGTGGTCTGAAATCTTTGGACGAATTGGATGAAGTAGAGGAGAAGGAGTGTAGGGAGGTAGAGGTCAAAGGGACTCTCTTGCACAGCCCTTCTACTGCCATTTCCGAGGGTGCTGCCCCTGACCAGGACCTTTTCGTGGCCCTGTCTCCTGGCTTCTTTGATCGCTTGGGTGTCGACGGCGAAACGCCTCCAGTAGCTCTGGACAGCTAAGGTTTCTGACCGTTTCCCATGAATTATCCGTAGGTTCATAACCTTTCCATTTTATCAAAAACTCTTCTTTGCGTCCTACTAACCTTCTGTCTAGGATCGCTTCGACTTCGTATTCAACAATCTCATTCTCTGGTTGAAGTTCTGTATCGGTCGCAATTGGGGTGTTTCCTCTTGCTGGTTCCAGTAGTGAGACATGAAATACCGGGTGTAGTCTAGACTTCTTGGGTAGCTGCAGTCTGTAATTAACTGAGCTGACTTTGTTCAATATTTTGAATGGTCCCAATTTCTTGAAGTCCAACTTTGTACTTGGTCGTTTCGTTTTGATGTGTTTCCAGAGTAGATATACTTTATCCCCCTCCTTGAAGGCAGGTTCCATACTGCGCTTCTTGTTTGCATACGCGGCAGATCGTTCATTTAAGAATTGGATGTCTGTTGTGAGTTGTTCATGGAACGATTTGAGTTGTTCCACGGCGATCATAGCTTGTTATGCTCTTGATTCATCCGGTCGTGGTTGTCTATATGCCTCTGGCTGATAGCCGTAATTGGCAAAGAACGGTGAGACTTTTGTTGCTTCGGTCATCGTGCTGTTATATGCGAACTGTGCGATGGGTAATATCTGAACCCAATTGTCTTGTTGGTGGTTGACATAACTCCATAGGTATTGTTCAAGGGTTTGATTCAGTCTTTCTGTTTGACTGTCTGTTTGGGGATGGAAAGCTGTTGATAGCTTATGATTTGTTCCCAAAAGCGCCATTAAAGACTTCCAAAATTTCGAAGTAAAAAGCTTGTCTCTGTCTGAGATGATTTCTTCCAGTAATCCGTGATCGGCTAATATGACTTGAAGGAAGGTGTATGCGAGTGCTTCAGCATCGCTAGCTTCTAAATATGGCAGAAATATTCCATATTTCGTGAGTCTTTCTGTAATAACCAGGATAGCATCAAATACTACTCCTGTTAACAGGTCTTGAGAGGGTGGTAGCTTGACAATGAAGTCCAAAGCTATGGATTTCCATGCTCCTGTTGGTACTGGAGTCGATTTCAGCTGTCCATATGGCAAGTGCCTATTGGATTTTGATTTGCTGCAAATGTCGCACTCTCTTACTACCGTTTCCACCTGCTTCCTCATACCTGGGAAGTAGTAGTGTCAGGTGATTCGTTCGAAGGTGCATGTTACTCCCTGATGGCCATGTGCTGGTACCGAGTGTTGTTCTTGCACTAGCGGGCGTCTCATTTTGTTTGGGACATACACTAATCCTTTGAATCGGATCAATCCTTGTTCATCGATGGCGAAGTCGCCTTCAGTTTTTATGAAGACTCGCTTTGCACATTCGTCTGTTGCATAAGCAACCTATGCGTTGACCGATACCCACATTAATGCTTTTTATGGCATGGTAAAGGAAGTTAATGGATCCTTAGTTTTATTAAAGGCTAATCTCAATGACACAAATGCCCAGCATCATTACAAACAATTGAGAAGTCGCGCCGACCTTTTCGTACAAGAGCACCAGTGGCCAGAAACGTTTCTAGATACCTTCGTTCCAACTGAGGCTGAGATTTCAAAATGGGTAAACGACGAGATTAAGAGAGACGCAGCTCAGAAAGCTCAACAAGACGCAGCTCAGAAAGCTCAAAGAGAGCAAGAGGCAGCCCAGAAAGCTCAGCGAGAGATAGAAGCAGTGAGAAATTCCAAGCTCCAGACGCATCTACTTGACACGGGCCAAGAAAACCACCAAGCTCACTCATCTAACATACAGGAACGAGCCGAAAGACTTGCTCTTTCGGAGAACTACACGACGCAGGACAACTACATAACTGAAGGCAATGCTGAAGAGCCAGAAAGCGACAAGGCTCAGACAGAAGTGGAGGGCCAACCAGCTAGATCAACCTTTGAGCCTCAATCTAGGCAATCAGATCCAGTGGCTAAAGATAGAGAAACAGCGCAAACTGTAACAGAATTAGTCGAGCCAGACGTCAGTGATGAAAAGAGGGCGCTTTTTATAAGCAAGGGGCAGAAAAGATCATTTGGTGAGATGAAGAAGGGCGGTGGTCTAGCGGCTTGGAATTATGGGGGGGTGGGGGAAGACAAGGAGCAAAGAACGAAGCGATCACTCAAAGAGCTGAAAACGAAGCGAGCACATGTTGAAGATGTAGAGACAATTGGGTTGTCAATGCGGGACCTAACAGAAGAGAATTATGACGGGGATGCAGAGGAATTCAGACTTTGGGCAGAACTTGTCTTTTTGCCCATATGATGTTTTGTAGACTGCACCTGCGAGTAGGGCCCCCCCTAAAGTAGAAGAATTATAGAGAATAGTATACTACGTAGCGAGACGCCATTATGCCAAGAAAAATCATGGGTACTTCGACTTTAATCATCTAAAATTCTGTGCATGCATTGATATCTCTTGAATAGGTCATGTTTTATGGTCTAGAGCCCTCCTATTCAGTGTGCAGCGAATCGTGATTCGGCATGATTCACCCTGAATCAGATTCGATTCATGATCTGATTCGGGCTATTTCTTGATGATTCGAATCATGATTCGGCAAGTATTTGAATGATCCGAATACTTGCCAAGATGTCTAAGATGTCCAAGCGTCTAGCGGTGAGGACTTACTGTCATCCTCAATATATAGCTTTTTAGATTGACATTTAATACATTCAGTACCGCAACACTACAGCTACCAGTCACTCATTCTGCTCTTTTTACAAAGAATCTATATTCTCGTACTATCTTAAGAGGCTCTCCTAATAAGATGCAATATGCTTGTATGCAAGAAGGCTGTTCATATATGCCTGAAGCTAAACCGGTATCGCAAAATACAACAAGCAATTTATGGAGACATATTGAACTAAAGCATCCAACTATCTTTGAAGCGTCTTCAAAATCTACTCGAAAACTTCAGAATAAAGACAATATCCGCCCTCAGAACCGTGCATCTTTGTCTAGATTCTTCAAGCCAAATCCTCATGGTACAACTCCAGTGTCAGGCACCAAATCCCGAGAATTGTTACTTGCATTCATCATTATGAATAATCTACCAATGAGATTGGTAGATAAATTCTCATTCCGGCAGCTAGTGCATCACTTCAATCCTTCAGTCTTGGGTATTTCTTCAACGTCTTTGAAAAGGGACCTACACAGGCAATTTTGCTATCATTGAGGGCAGCTGCAACTGGAACTGCATAATCATATTAAAGCAGGTGGGTGATTAACACTTACGACTGATGCTTGGACTGCTATAAATGGAACAGATCATGCTGCTGTTACCGTACACTGGATATCAAAAGATTGGGTCCAACATTCAAGAATCCTAGATGTGATAAATCTACTTGAACCTATTCATTCTGGCGAATACCTAGCTCAGCAATTACTCTCAGTTACAGATGATTTCAAAATTACACATGGAGTCTTTACTATCACAAGAGACAATGCATCAAATAATACAGCAATGCTCAACCAATACGAATCAAGAGCAGCAGATGTTCCAACAACAACAAATCAGCCATGGAGCTTTACTGTTAAAGATGGCGATGTACAATGTATGGCACATATTATAAATCTAGCTGTTCAAGCAGCTCTTATGACGATGAAAGCTGTACCATCAGAAGAGCTTGAGAGCTATCGAGTTCAAGAGGGTTTAGCTTATACTCGGATTAATGCTATCTATTCTGAAAAAGAAGAAGTTGTTAACGCTTTAACAAAGCTCCGCAAGCACATCTATGTGTTTAGGAATCGTCGAGGGTGGAAGGATAGTCTTCGTTCTCATGCTATAGCCACTGGAATCAAGCCTGTTACTCTTACAATTGATATGCCAGTACGATGGAACTCAACATATCATATGCTTCAAAATGCATTGTCAATGGAGGCACCAATCACAGCCCTTTGTGCATCACAGACTCTTGATATAAGCATGCGTGATATCCAGATTTCTTCGAAAGAATGGGAATTACTTCATGCTCTTGCAGAGTTCTTTGAGATTTTTAAGCGTATCTCAGAAAAGGTGCAAGCAGATGGGTATCCAACACCTAACTACTGTGTTCCATATTATCTACGACTAATGGATAAAATTAAGAAGATCAAGAAGACTGTTAAGCATACATGTATCAATGAAGCTTGTACTGCTGCATTCAACAAATTGGATGACTATTTCTCACTTGCAACAAGCCAATGGTCAAGCCATTCAACAGTTGCAACAATATGTGATCCTCGGTTTAATTTTAGTATATTGACTTCTATTTGCCTGAAAGGTTTTATAACACAAGCAAAGAACGAGCAAGAGCACAGTTTGCAGCTTGTTATAACAAGTATAAAACACGGGACAATGATATTCGAGCAGAGGAAATGGATGCTATGCTTGATAATGAGGATGAGGATATACCTCAAGAAGTGGACTCCGAGGATGAGATGTTTAAGCATCGAAAGCCTATACTTCAAGAGGTTGAATGGAGATGGTGGCTTAATAAGCCAGGAATTGATAAGCCTGAGACTAATATCCTTAAATATTGGCAAGCAAAGCAGTATCAGTATCCAATAATTGCACAAATAGCTCGAGACTATTTAGCAATTCCAGCAACATCAGCAGCATCAGAACGGGTCTTTAGCCAAGGAGCTGACATTGTCACAAAGAAAAGGAATAGATATGTCTACGGGATTGGGGGATAATTGTCGACGATGAGGATGTCGAAGATGAGGATGTCGAAGACGTTTTTGGAGATATATAGTTGGAAGATGGTTGGAAACCCATGAGCAAGTGATTTGACATGCATGCGTTGGAAGATGGTTGGAAATCACAGGGGTTTGTGATTGGAGGTGTGTTGGATGGAGCTGTTGGAAAATGGTGTGGAATCTCACGTGCAGTTATTTGGGATGCTGCGGTTGGAAGATGGTTGGAACTTCACAGGGGTAGTGATTCGAAGTGTGTTGGATGGATGTTGCATGCTGTTGGGAAATGGTTGGTGAAGCTGGCTAGGATCATTTGAGCCGGGTTTAACGATTGGCTAAAAGTTCGATGTATACTCGGTGTTCCACCCACTCGCTTCGCTCGTAGGTGGCGACAGCGATCTGTGCACGCGACAGCGATATGTGCATGTACACCACCACTTTGATACATAGATGAAATAATAATATTTGTCGTAACAACAACCCTCTATGATGCCTTTGAATAGCGATCCAAGTCGAGCTGACCATCTTATTGAGGCCCGGCAGTTCTACTTGAAACAACCAGATACTTATACAATTACTTGGGTTGCCCGCAAGTTTAATGTCAACCGTGAGACACTCCGACGACACATTACTACCCCTCTCCTTCCCCGCGGGGGTCAAAACCGAGTTTTATCTCAAGAACAAGATACTGCAGTTTGTCAATTTATATATGACCAACTTAAGCGTGGGGTCCCTGCAAACCGATCAATGGTTTTACGGGCTGTTGCAGACTTGCGACCCGATCGTACGATCCCATCACAACGGTGGTTACAACGCTTCCTTAAGGCACACCCTGAATTCCACTCGATTCATACGAAGACTTTAAATACGCATAGAAAGCAGGCACAAAAGAAAGAGGTGTTTGAGGAATTTTTCCTTACATATAACGCACTTATTACAAAACACAACATTAAGCCATATAACTTATGGAATGTTGACGAGACTGGCTACATGATTGGATGTTATAAATCTACAGCTGTTATTGTGCCGATTGGCGTAAAGCAATGGACTGTTGATAATCCTGAGAATCGGCTCTCTGTTACTGTGATTGAGGGAGTAAATGCAAGTGGTACAGCAATTGCAGAAGCCATTATCATTCCAGGGAAACTTCATATGGACTCATGGTATAATGATAACCTTGAGCCAAATGCTCTTGTTATCGTTAATGAGAGTGGGTATTCAAACGACGACATTGCAATTCAATACCTCATCCATTTTATTCAACTATCTGCAGAGCATATGGCACCAGACGACACCCGCCTCCTATTACTCGACGGCCATGACTCTCATAAAACGGAGCGCTTTATCACATTAGCAGAAGAGCATAACATTGTTATTTGCTGCCTTCCTGCTCATACTACGCATCTACTACAACCTCTTGATGTAGCAGTTTTTAAGCAGTGCAAACACTTCCATCAAAAGGCAGTTGATCAAGCAGTATGTAGCTATGACTATGAGTATAAGCTACGTACGTTCCTTTCCGACCTTCCACAAATCCGACAGCAATCCTTAACTGTCCGGACAATTCAATCAGGTTGGAGAAATGCAGGACTATATCCATATAATCCTCCACTAGTAATTGATAAAATACAAGAGACCCGGAACCAAACACCAGACTATGAGCCATTTGCTTCGTACGACCTTATCTCAACTCCAAAAACTAGTGTGCAAACTATACAGGCAATTAAACATTGGCAGAAGAGAGTAGAGGCAGCTTTCTCATCACCGTCAAGAGAAGGGTTTCAATCATTTGCACGTGGAACTACAGTTGTTTTACATCGGGCTGAGCTCTATAAGACCGAGCTTGACATTGTTACCTTACGGTCAGCAGAGCAGAAAACAGCAAAGGCAAGGGCACGGAAATCGCTACAGAAGGGGGGGCAGTTATATGCATCAGACGCCCGACTGTTACATGAGGAGAAGGAAGCAAAATTACAAGCAAAGGCAGAGGCAAGAGTAGCAAAGGAATCAAAGCAAGTAGTAAAGCAGCTACAGGTGCAACAACGGAAAATTGAAATCGAAGAGCGAAGGGTTGAGAGGAAGAGGGTAGCAGAGCGGAAGAAGGTTGGGTTAAAATCCAAAGTGATAATTTTACGGTATGGTAAGGATCATAGTGATAGTAACATTGAGATTAGTAGCGACAGTAGTAGTGGAGATAGTGATAGTAGCTCTATTGATTTTATTATTTAATTATATAGTTACATAGTTGCTATATGAGGCTTATTTCTTTCATTTTGTGTGTTGCACATATCGCTGTCGCCACCTACGAGCAAAGCGAGTGGGTGGAACACCGAGTACCTGGCTGGGGCCATGTTGTCGTCTGAGCCTTGCGTTAGAAACCAACATTTGATGCATATGCGGCGCCGCATTTAACAGCCCACGAAATATGTTGACGCGACCAGATTGAGCGACTCGCATATTGCGAAGTCGAATTTGACAGGAGCCTCGTCAGTAAACTTAGGCAACAGAGTTAGCTCTAGGTAGATTGGCGGGGTAGAAGGTTGTAATTGAAAGGTTTAATGCCTATAAAATGAACAGCATCCGCAATCTGTTCGACCTGATCCTCAAAACTGTGTAGTTTGTCAATTCTCTTCCCGAAGATGTCATCAAGAGCATTCTCGACAGCCCTTCACCGTGCGAAGGCGCTAAACTGGAAGCTGAACGGTACAACCCAAGATATAGAATGGGCTAAGCAGTCAGTTGAGGCCTCCATCGACCAAATACCAGCACTCGCCGGCAAGGTAGATAGTGCGGTCATCAAGTACGTTAACATGGCACCATGCACAATTACGATATCATCCTAATGATTTGAAGTGGAGACCCACATCCTACAGGCGACGATCCGATGCACGTGTCAGGCGTGATCGGAAAGAGGAGTCTGAAGGGGAAGAATCGAGTTACTTCGTTTCACGCGTATCCAAATGGAGTGGTGAAGTTTTCTAACAAATCGCTGCCAACTGTCCAAGTTAATATAAGCGGGACCGCAGCAGCGGGTTCGGCATTGGGTTCAGCATCGGGTACAGCCTCAGGTACAGCAGCAGGAGCGGCATCGGGAAGTGGTAAACCACAGGCAGAGTACTGGACTTGGAGTGCCGAGTACAATGATCATTACCATTGGAACGAGGATGGAAGCTGTGTGTGGCATAAGGCTAGTTCAAACGGGAGCGGCAAAGCGAAGTAGTTAGTGGGTGGGGCATGGGCTGCGGGATGTTATATGAAGCAAGCTGAACTGTTTCAATAGCGACGTAGTATCCAAGTGAGAGAGTATAAGGTTTACCTCACATTCCTCCATGTTGTGTGATGTATTTTTATATAATTAGATGGAAAGGGGAGTTGAAAGGACCTCGCTCACTGCCTCCTCATCGAGGTCCAACGGAAGTCTTCAACGCAACCCGAAATAGCCCAAAAAAGTTTTACCTCTTTGATGGTGCATCTCGGAGGAGCCACGGGTCTCCAAGGAGCTCTCTGGCTGTCATCCTGTCCTCTGGCACCCACCGAAGCATTTTACCAACGAACTCCAAAAACAGCTTTTTTTCTTCTCCTTGCAAAGATGGAGTACTGTCCCCAAGATCAAGGCCTGCTAAGGTCGGATCTTTATATAAGAACTTACCTTCGGAGTTGTCAGCAAAGTTATGCAAGCAGTGTTGACTAGTAATCTCGACATCTCTTACCATGGGAGTCAAAAAAAGGGCCTCCAAAGTATTCATTAACACTTGTACAAACTCTGCCGTCAGGATTTTCAATAGGAGGCTCCCATTTCCAGCTGCGTGCTTCCATTTCTCGATCAAGAAATTCCTTTGGGGGGGGACCTAGAAGTGCTATCATTTGCGCAAGATGTTCCTGACAATTGTACTTTCCAATATCTGAATGAATCCCTTCAAATAGATCTTTATTCTCCAACAAGTTCCAAATCTGTAGTTCTGTGAGAAAATAAAATATCTTCTGTGGATACAGAAGGTCCTACCAAAACACCGAGATTCCAAATATCAGCACTGTAGGACCAGCCTATTCCGATAATCACTTCAGGTGCACGGTAGTGATCAGGCTGAATAGGATGAATATTGCGACGCGAATCGACTATCCGTTGGGCGAGACCGAAATCGCCTATTTTCGGGAGAATGCCAAAAGACTTCAGTGGGCCAAATTCGTTGTGTGATCTATAGACAACTCGATCATCTTTGACTTTGCGAGCCATAGGATTAAGCGCTTGCGACCGGACAAAACTTTTGATTACTGAACGGTCCTCAAATCCAACCAAGATATTATCTGATTTGAGATCTACCAGTATGAGTCAAGAATCAAAACGGTTCAGAACCACGGCATACCTGTATGGACAATGTGACACTCAGAGTGAAGATAATCGAGTCCCCGCAGAAGAAAAGTCAAATATACTTTGATCAGGTCTAAAGACAGCTTCCCATTTCTGCAGCGCTTCTGGAACAACCAAAGTGGTTCCCTCATAGGCTCATAAACCAAGCATGTATGTAAACCGTGAGGTCCCTTCATTTCAAAGCTATTGAGTAGAGTTCGCACATATGGAAAACCTTCGTGCAGTGGGTTTGTATTAGCCAAAATTTTCGAGATTTGCAGCTCATGCTGAGCAGCTTCGGTGTCAACGAAATCGCAGTTGTTGATCTTTAATGCCACATAGGGCTTCGACTGCCAAATCCTACTATCGAAGGGATGAGCGTGAGGACGTATCAGAGCCAAATTTCAACTCACCGATTAACATCTTGAGCAAGCCAAACGGTAGAACAGCTACCCCACCCAAGCTTCACAATGGTTTTGTACCTGTTGTTAAAAAAATCGCCGGGATTTGCAGGATAGAAATGATGGGGATTGTAGTCGGGAATGTGCTCTTCGTCGACTGTAGTGTCTGGCGGAAGGAGAGTAGGTGCCCCTGACGCTGTTGTGGCAGTGGCAGGTCGAAGCACCTTGGCTAGTGACGTTGAGATCTGTCGCATATTGAACGTAGGAAGGGATCGACGAATACTGACAAGCATTGAGCGCTATGGAGCATCGCACCATAAATGATGGCACTTTCAATGCGTCGAAACTAACAAACATCACTTGGAGGGCTGCTATGCATCATTCCGTGAAAGAGGCTCGTATGCAGATGCTCATAGACACAAGTTGCGGATTAAAATAAGGCGTCGATCGGGAGTTGCCAGGATCGTCATTTCTACTTTCGTACTAGGCCATTTTTGTCCCAACTAAGGATTATCAGTATCACGTGACCATGATGAGTCATGGGTAAACGAGAAGAGGACAGTAGAGGTAAAAGCACCGAAGCCAGCCAACCATGTCCCGTGGAGACGCAGGATGCGGCCTGTTGGAAGGCCAGAGGCAGATTTCAGAAACTAGCCAACCATCTCCCGTTTCCATGAAGCTGCTGTTATAATCGGAGACACAGACAGATTTCGGAATCGACCAACCATTCCACGTATTTAAGAGCTATTAGGCCGCTTCAATAGCCGCCACAAGTGGAGCAGTGTGGGCCTTGAGGCAGTCGAGGAACAGGGAAGCGGAAGGCTGACAACGGGGGACGGTTTTGGTGGTGGTCTTGGCGCGGGAGCGATGGCAGCTCAGGGCATCCCGTCCGCTCTGCCATACATAAACTTGAGATCGGTGGATTAGTAGTTGGGTGGGTGACCACCAGCGAATACCCACTGTTGTATGTTTTTTGTCTTTTTATACCATAGATCTACCTTCTTCTCCTTGCTGGCGTGGCAGGTTTGCCGTGCCCACACATTTTTTTTGCCGGGAGGCATAATTTTGAAACCAACTGAACCTTAAAAGGGTAGGGGTTCTATTAGTACAATCTTAGAGCATTTTCAGAAGAGCATTATACAAACGCCGGTTCATGGCTATTATAGTCAAACATACAGACTTCATTCCTCTGTAATATGTATATGCTCAGTATCTGTCACTAGTATCCAGGTCTATCCACATTCGAGAACTAAACGCCATATCTAAAACAGATCAAAACAAAAGAGGAAAACAAAACTTTGCGAGCCTCATATTTTGACTTTGATAGCCATAAAATGCTATGGCTAAACCATGACCCTACCATGCCTAACCTTGGCGGCTCAAGAACAGCTTTCATTATTCTCCAAGCGTGATCTTATGTACCAACTCTACGTGGCTTTTGAAATACTCCAACTTTCGAGAACAAGTCCTTGCGACTTGCATGTTGGGTGAAAACACTCTATCTTAGCCTTCGGATCTTGTCCTTTAAGGTGAATGTTTTCAACGTGATTAATCATCGTCGCAGGGCCGCAAAATTCGCCCATCCTCTGTGTCATACTGACATTCGTTGCACTCAGTTTGCTATCAAACTCAAGAGCAAACTTAGAAATCTCCTCCTCAAACCTACAAGTCACTATACATATTTTGGCTTGTCACACCAACAACAAAAGCAATACTACTCAACGATTGCTACAACCCTCTATGATTCATTACACGTCATTGCTCCTTAGTTACTGGGCCGATATGACCACATAGCATATCTCTACAACCCTCTATGATTCATTACATGACATCACTCCTTAGTTACTGGGCTAATACTACACATGACATATCTCTATCAACTAGAGGCCTAGGGACATGAACGATAGCTCCAAAAGCTTCTACAACCCTCTATGATTCATTACACGTCATCGCTCCTTAGTTACCCACAAGATTGGTTAAGTTATGACATAATCTGTCTATAGGGATACTCTGACCTTGGACCTCCTTTCACTTCCTATAAGCTAGGACCCTAGGAGATGGTTCTATGGGATTCTCTTACGTCGACTACAGTTACCAAGCCTGGTTAGTCATGGAAAGTCTTGGAAAATGAGAGAACTACACTCCTTTAGCATAAATAGGATTGCCCTTTCCTTAAGAAAGGGCAAGCAGACAATACAGTAAATTGACTATCACATACTTCCACGTCTTTTCCAAGCTTCCAAGCATTGATCTTGTTACTCCTTGTTTCTGAAAAGTCAGTGAAGTGCTAACCTCTGACTTATCCCTGAGTTCTCAGACTAAACATTTGTTACAACTTGTCTAAACCACTCCACTACATCATACACCTGATTGCTGCGTTGTGGAATAGTCTAAGCTACGACCCTTTGGCTCTGTTTTCTAAGACAGTGTGTTTTCTTAGTAAAATCATCCCTTCCTTGGGTGGCTAGATTCTCCATCTGGTGCACCCACCATTACACTCTGTTCATAGCTCTTCAATTCATCCCCGATGCAGAATGGGCACTGCTTCTTGCTGCATTCAAGGGGGAAAATGGGATCGAGGGTTCTGAGCTCAGGGGACTCTTCTTTGAAGATACTTGGTGGAGAAGTGCCGACGCGAAGACGGTATCAGTATCGTGAGGGAACCTCACGGCTTTTGCAGATAGCCAGCATGAGTTCAGCGACCTAATTGCGACGCTTGACAGCATTTTGCGGTGTGATATCTGTGATGCGAGGACAGATAAGATCGACTAACTGCGTCCTCTGTGGGATCTGATGCTCAACCACTGGCTCAATGTACTCTTCCTCCTGTTGTCTGTGTAAGGACACAGGGCACCCAGCTCACAGTAATAGCATATGAGAGTGCGAGTGGGAGGCTAAACGGATGCTATCCTATAGGTCTACTACGAAGGATACAAAAAAGATGAAGGGGGAACCCCGTTGAGTCTGTTTCCTTAACTCCTGAAACGGGCCCGACTCGGTTATCCCAACCCTAGCCCTGAACCTTCCACCGCAACAGGTCTGCATCGGCCCTGAACCCTATACACTTACCGTCCCCCACTATAGTGTAACTCGCTATATGCTCCTCTACTGGTTCGAAACCCCACTGAGTCGGATTCCATGCTTGTAGTGACCGTAACAGTTCTGAGACAGGTTCTTCGAGTATCTAGGTACGGAGGCATCCTTACAGTCTGCTGTTATGCCTCTCAATGTCTTCTGTTGGGCGGCGGCGGAAGTATTCATCTCGGTACTCTTGAGAGATAATGTTTCGACACCTAGTCCTTGCACTATCGATTGCGGCAGTAAGTCGCCGAACCTCTGCCTCGATGCTCGTCCTCTGAATTCTGTACATCCCAGCTTTTCAACTGCTCTCGCTTCTGCTCAAGTGCAGTGATAGCAGGATCAGGGGGGAGCGCGTCTGTTACGGCTACGGTAACATGACGTCATGGTTACAGGACCAGGGCCTAGTAACGTGACGTGTGAGTCACAGGGGGCAAGCGGGGTAGGCTGCCATGTGATGGGGCTAATGGATAGTTGCAGAAACTAGTGGATATTGGATAGTTGAGCTATCCACGAACTATCCTGAATATCTAGCTATCCGCCAACTATCCAGATTACCCATGAGGCACGACGCCACTATATAAGTAGATAGTATTTCCTTAGATAGGAGCTTCGTGCTCAACTCAATATAGTATTCTTTGCAATACTGTAACATGTTACTTGGGAAGCCTTTGTGTCTAATCCCCTGCCTCCTCTGTCAAGTCAACCTTATGCAAGAAACCTCTGTCTTCTATCATTTAGAAGTCAGCGTTACAGCGTCTAGGTAATCGTCTGTAATGGTGGGTGCACCAGATGTGAGAATCCAGCCACCCAAGGAAGGGGATGATTTTACCAAGACAACACACTGTCTTAGGAAACAGAGCCAAAGGGTTGTAGCTTAGACTATTCCACAATGCAGCAATCAAGTGTATGATGTAGTGGAGTGGTTTAGACAAGTTGTACAAATGTTGAGTCTGAGAACTCAGGGATAAGTCAGAGGTTAGCACTTCACTGACTTTTCAGAAACAAGGAGTAACAAGATCAATGCTTGGAAGCTTGGAAAAGACGTGGAAGTATGTGATAGTCAATTTACTGTATTGTCTGCTTGCCCTTTCTTAAGGAAAGGGCAATCCTATTTATGCTAAAGTAGTGTAGTTCTCTCATTTTCCAAGACTTTCCATGACTAACCAGGCTTGGTAACTGTAGTCGACGTAAGAGAATCCCATAGAACCATCTCCTAGGGTCCTAGCTTATAGGAAGTGAAAGGAGGTCCAAGGTCAGAGTATCCCTATAGACAGATTATGTCATAACTTAACCAATCTTGTGGGTAACTAAGGAGCGATGACATGTAATGAATCATAGAGGGTTGTAGAAGCTTTTGGAGCTATCGTTCATGTTCCTAGGCCTCTAGTTGATAGAGATATGTCATGTGTAGTATTAGCCCAGTAACTAAGGAGTGATGTCATGTAATGAATCATAGAGGGTTGTAGAGATATGCTATATGGTCATATCAGCCCAGTAACTAAGGAGCAATGACGCGTAATGAATCATAGATGGTTGTAGCAATCGTTGAGTAGTATTGCTCTTGTTGTTGGTGTGATAAGCCAAAATATATATAGTGACTTGTAGGTTTGAGGAGGAGATTTCCAAGTTTGCTCTTGAGTTTGATAGCAAACTGAGTGCAACGAATGTCAGTATGACAGAGCTCTCCGTGCCAGAAGATGGCACGGAGTTTGACGATTTAGATGCTCTCGTCCGGGCCCTTGATGACTGGGCTGTCAAAACGAAGTTCTCTTTTTGGACGGCTGAAAGGGACTCGACAAGAGGGCGCTGGATATGTGCCGAGTTAGAGAGCTCTGGCTGCCGCTGGCAGTGCAGAGCCTTCCTTAATAATGACGAAGCTTGGCAGCTTGTCATTACTGAGAGAGAACACTCTTGTATTGGCCGAGGAGTCTGCTCCTTTGGGTCCTCCTCGAAAAAGGAGTGGTTGGACCTAGTAGTAGCCTGTCATATTAATATAACGAAGGTTACTCGGCCAAAGGAAATCGTTGACCTCCTTCGCATACGTTTTGCAGAGGAGATCAGCTACAAGATTGCGCAGCTTTGTAGGCTGCGCCTTCTTGACAGTGATATAGGTCAGCAGCGGCATAGCTTTCAGCTATTGCAGGCCTATAAGTTCCTCCTAGAGAGTAGGTCCAGGAGTGCAAGTTGATCTCGTCCGAGATCGTCATAGTATGCACCCCTTTTCCTTTTTTTACTTCTTTATTCCTCTATACTAACTATCTACAGACCGCTTTCAGCGGATTTTTGTGTGCCCTGTGCAATCGTGGGGCACTTTCTCCTTGTGCCGGCGCCTTGTTGCTGTTGACGGGACCTTTTTGAAGGCCCGTTTCATACTTACTTTGTTACTCGCCGTTGGCATCGATGCCAACGGCGAGAACGTTCTCCTGGCTTGGGCGGTGGTGGAGTCCGAGAATCGGGACTCCTGGGAGTGGTTCTTCCAGCATCTGCGGTGGTCTATACCAGAGATCTCGCTGGAAGAAAGCACCCTTATCTCAGATCGAGACAAGGGTCTCCAAGAGGCAGAAAGAACTCTCAGGAGGATGGTGATGGTGGCTTGGTGTTGCCACCATCTTAAAGAGAACTTCACTGAGAAGTTTGGGAGGAGACTGGCTCCTCTGTTCTGGAAAGCAGCTCGAGCACCTACTCGAGTTGCTTTCGAAGCTGTTTTAGACGGCCTTAGAACAGAGAAGCCAGAGACTGCGGCCTATCTCTTGGCTTCTGAGCCAGAGAAATGGGCTGAGTCAATGTTTCGTGGGCATCGATATGCCCACGATACATCAAATATTGTAGAGAGTCTGAATAAGACTCTCCTTTCCGATCGAGAGCTCCCGATCGTTGAGCTCCTCGATGCCATTTGGCATCGAGTTATGGCAGCGCGCGGAGAGCGCCTTGCTGCAGCTAACAAACTGTTAGCTGCAAGCCATAATACTACACCTTTCGTTGATGGTGTAGTATCAGAAGGAAGAGGATGGGCACAAGGCAACATATGCCAAGTGTCCTCTCCTTCTGAAGCACGAGTGATTCAGCCCAATGGGCGAATCTTCCTCGTTGATCTTGCAGCAAGAACATGCTCTTGCTGCAAGTATCAAGCAAATGGCATACCCTGTGGGCATGCCATGGCCTTAATCTTCGCCCGTGGGGACCAAATAAGTCCTTACTTACCTGACGCTTTTTCGGCTGCCCAATGGGCAGCCCAATTCGAGGCTCCAATGCCTCCTGTCAACGTTTCGGAGCTAGAGGTCATTGAAAATGACCCCTGCGAGCCTCCTATCACTCGGGTGCCTCGCGGGAGGCCTAAAAAAGAGAGGTTTCGGAAGGAGGCAGCTCGCCGGAGGGTCCGGCGAGCTGGTGAAATAGGAATAGAGGTTCATGGGCTTGAACCTCTTCCACCTACTCCGTCCTCACGCTGTAGAACCTGTGGAGAGACAGGTCACAACGCCAGGACATGCCGCCATCCTCACAATTGAGGATGGCAGCATGGTTTCTATGATTATGGGCTAGGGCGAGCAGGGGTGGAGGCACTATGTGGGGAGGGCGCATGGTATATAGTTCTTTTTTGCAATTACATGGTATATGATTCTTTTTTACTAGTTTACATGGTAACGTACATGTACAACGAGTCGGCCACCCAAGTGAGTCAGGCACTTTCCACCATTTCCACCACCTTTTACTTTGCAACTATTTCCCTCTACGTACAAAAATGGAATCTACTTCAAATGAAAGCCGTATAATCCTAGCAATTGAAGCTCTTAAAAACGACCCTAAACTTACCGAACGAGCTGCAGCAACTATCTATAAGGTTCCCCGGGCGACTTTGGCCGACCGACGCGCTGGAAAACTATCAAGACGCGATATAACTGCAAATGGGAGGAAGTTGACCAATACTGAAGAGAGTGTGCTTCTTGATCGTATTATTGATCTAATTGAGCGAGGATTTCCGCCCCGGCTCGAAGATATACAAGATATGGCCAATCGCCTCCTTGGGGTACGCGACGCAACGCGTGTTGGCTCACGATGGGCAGGGAACTTCGTACGACGCCAACCAGCCCTTAATATGCGTTTTCGATGTCGAATTGACCACCAGAGGGCCCTAGCTGAAGATCCTAAGATTATACAAGCTTGGTTTGCACTTGTACAGAATACAATTGCAAAATACGGTATTGTCAACTCAGACATCTACAACTTTGATGAGACTGGGTTTTTGATGGGAATGCTCTCGCATGCTAAGGTTGTAACAACCTCTGATCGACAGGACAGACCTCGTACAAAGCAGCCTGGCAATCGGGAATGGGTTTCTGTAATCCAGGGTGTATGTGCAGATGGCTGGGCAATGCCGCCATATATCATTGTTAAGGGCAAATATCACCTCCTCTCCTGGTATACCAACGGCCAATTCCCACCAACCTGGCGGATCCATCCGAGCGAAAATGGCTGGACTACAAACGCTATAGGCCTAGATTGGTTGAATCACTTTGAGGGATGTACTAAGCCTCGTACAACTGGTGGATATAGACTTCTAATCCTCGACGGCCACAACAGCCACCGGGCTACTGAATTCGACGATTTCTGCAAGCTTAACAATATTATACCATTTTGCATGCCTCCCCATTCATCGCATATCCTCCAGCCTCTCGATGTAGGCTGTTTTAGCCCTTTAAAAGCTTCGTATAGCAAGGCAATTGAGCAGATGATGCGGAGGCATATAACTCACATTACTAAAGACGACTTCTTTCCTGCCTTCCAGCAGGCCTTTTTTGCTTCAATGGGAGAAGAGAATGTACGAGCTGGCTTTTAACTGGCCTTGTTCCATACGACCCTGAAACAGTAATTTCTCGGCTGGATTTTAAGCCTAGAACACCTACACCGTCAAACTCTCGGCCAGGAACCGCTACCTCCTGGGGTCTAAAAACGCCAACTACAGCAATTGAGGCTGTTCAAAGCTCTACTACCTTGAAATCTAGGATTGCTAGGCATCAGGGTAGCTCTCCAACCCATTTATATAACGTAGTTGACGCCCAGGCTAAAGGTATCTCAATGCTAGCACACAGACTAGTCCTTCTTGAAGCTGAGAACCAGGAGCTTTGTACAGCAAATGAGTTACTAAGCAAACGCCGGAGGGCTAAAAAGAGCCGCCTACAGCTTGGAGGTTCGCTTTCAGCACCTGAAGCTAATGCGATACGGCTAGAAAAGGGTATAGTTGATGCTAGGAGAGAAAATACACGTAGGGAGGGTAGTTCTACAGAGCGGGCTCAGCTACGTACTCGGCGTTGTGGCAACTGCAGCCAAACTGGTCATAATTCGCGAACTTGTCAGGTAGTTTGGGAGACGTCTGAAGATGGCGATTCTGAGTAGTTTTACTTGATTTAAGGCGTTGTAGTTGAATTGATTTATATAATATATAGGTGGTCAGTGGAAAGTGGCCGACTCGCTTGGGTGGCCAACTCGTTATACATGTACGTTATATGATTCTTTTACCCACTAAAAAAGTGTCTAATGGCAGCGCTCTCCCTGCTCAACTAAGCGCAACCTATGCGCATACAGAAGTATGAATGGATAGAGGCATATATAGGCGCAGCTTGATGTATATAATCATGAGAACATGAAGTTAGCATACTGTGGTGCTAGCTTGTTTCCATTTAATCCCTAGCGAGTGTTCTGTATGCTGCTTAATGATGAGCTATTAGTTGAGGTTAACCGACCAAAAACACTACATTAGTATGATATTTTTGATTAAGTCTTTGTTAATAGTTCACCTCTAGATAGGCCGGCCTTACGTACCGCAAATGAACTCCTTATAGCGACAATTAATGATGGTGGTGTGCCATTAACACTAGTGTGGACATACATCCAAAAACTCACAGTTGCGTTAGAGCAACTTCGAGCGCGTAGTATTGTCCACCAACTTGATGCTAACAACTTGCGATCGATTATGAAGCGACGTAGAGTCTGTACGAAGGGTAAAAGGGTTGTACTAAAGTGTCATTTTCACATTACTATGTAAGAATTATGTGATGCGGTGATAGAGGCGGAAAAAGCGACACAAGACCTCACTAAGAAAAAGCGCAAAACAAAGGACAAGCGCACATCCTTAGACAATGAGATTGACGAGTATATTGAAGAAGGAGCAGGGGAACAATCTCAGAGTGACAGCGGGTCATGTATGGTTGTTGATTGTAGTTAAATTTACAGTTTTGTTGCGTCGTCTTTAGAAATCCACCGCGTTACTCAGTCCCCCGCATTACGCACGAGGCACTCCCATAAATCACATGACCTACGTTACACCACACCTCCCAAAGACGCAACCCGGTCCCAAAAATTATTGCACGTACTCGACGCAAACCTCGAAACAACCACATCCATCAACCCGGCCCCACAAACTCGACCTCACTTCGCATCTACCATCACCTTCGGCCTCATCACATCCTCGCCCACTCACACCCGCTACAATGGTCGAACTCGTGGAAGTCGAAGACGAGTCCTTCGAGACAAAGCAGGTCGGCCCAGACGACGAGGAAGACTACTACACCGACACTGGTACTTCCCCCCCTCCCCTCCCCCTAATATCTATCCAAGTCAACCTCCCCCTAACACCCAGCCAGACTCTGAGATCTCCTCCGACGACGAAGACGACCCCCCGGCCCTCGACGAGTCCCTCTCCGAGCGCCTCCTCGCCCTGCGCGACATCATCCCCCCCACAACCCGCACCGCCATCTCCTCCATCTTCAACACGACCTCCGGATACGTGGCTTCCACCCTCGGGTTCGGCGGGAAGGCGCTGTTCGTGCTCAGCACGAGCGCGCTGCTCCTCGGTGTGCCGTGGGCGCTTGCGTTCGCGGAGGAGCAGCAGATTGCGGATATGGAGAATGAGATGCGTGCGAGGGAGGCTGGATCTGAGGTAAGCTTTCTCCTTCCATACCTTTAGCCACTCCCCCCGGGTTGGCTTGAGGTAGATGTGACGAACGCGGACGGAATGCTAACACACACCAGCTCCTCGCAGCCCCCGGCTCAACAGCCGAGCAACTTAGCGCCCAATTAGGGGCTCCCGCAGCAGCAAGCCCAGCGTTATAAAGTAGGGTAGTAGCAGAGTGACATACGCCTTAATGTCGGTGTAGGAACAGGGATAGATGGAAATGAAACGGGCATGTAAAACACGGTTGGGTTTTTGACACGCATGGCGCGCTGTTGTATATGTCGTTAAGCTTGTAAAATAATTATATGTGTATCAAGAGAGAGCTGAATGGGAGGTCTACTGGTTGTCTGATGACACTATGGCGAGCGGGGTGAGAGGGGACTACAGTATGTCTAGTTGAATGAAGCTGTTTTGTCTAGTCAAGCATCTGTTGATGTTAAATTTATTTCTTATTGATTATGCTGATTCACCTACGAGTATATATGTGATCCACTTTAACTGGGGAGCCAGCCAACACTCCCAACACACCTAATTATATACAGAGCACTTCCATATAAACCCAGCCATCATCATCTCACCCATAAGACCAGCACAGCACAGCACGCTCACCTCACCCCAGCCCCCCTCTCCCGAGTCCTCAAACTCCTCCCCCTCCCCCCCTCCAAACTCCCCACCGTCAGCGCCCTCGCCTTCTCAATCCTCTCCGGTTTCTTCCCCTCCATCCTCGCAATCATCTGCGCCTTATGCCTCTCCCCTTCCTCATCCTCATACAGCAACTGCTGCGTCATCGGCGGCTCGTCCGCCTTCTCCCCCTCCTCTTCCACCAACCCCCCCGCCAGACTACCCAGACTATCCACCTTGGCCAGAGGTCTCTTTCCTGCCGGCCAATGCACAGCCTGTCCCCCACTTGCTGTGCTATCCACAGAACTCGCCCGCGACACGACGGAGATATTACTAGGCGCGCGCCCGAGGATGCGGGATGGCTTACGTGCTGGTCGCTGCTGCGCTGCGGATTCAGTGCCGCCAGAGACGGAGGGGCCGCTGTTGGGCAGGTTCTTGGATTTCGCAAGGAGGGATGTGATTGCGCTGCTGATCTCTTGGCTGTCTGTGTTGGATGTAGTGGCGGAGGGCTTGGGTTGGGAGACTGGGGACTTGCGGGGTGAGTTGGAGGAGATTTCTGTGAGGGGTTCGGCTGGTGACTCGGTGTTGTGGTCAAGGGGTGGTTGGGTTGGTGGTATTGGTTTGGTTGGTTGCTCTGTTAGTTGTTCTGTTGCTTTATTTGGGATGAGGAACCCTCCTACAGCTTCTGTAGGTTCATCATCGTCATCATCGTTTTCGAATGCGGTCGTATCTCGTGATATTACCGTCCCAGGGCGGCTGATTCCTTCCGATGTCGTACTCTTTGAAAAAGGCAAATCTTGATGAGACTCAAACTCATCGTGTTCTATCTCTTTCCTCAACATCACTTCGGAGGCTGATCTTATCTCCGACATACCGCTCTTGTTTGCCTTAGACCGGAGGAGATACGGTTTATATGGCTGTTTCGAGCATGTCCTGATAGACTCCAGCAGCCAGTCTATTGAAACGACTGGGATTCTCCATTCCTTGGCCCGTTGCAACTTTTCTACCCTAATTTGTTGAGTAGCATTGCATATTAACACGGAGGTTTTCTCCGAGAAGTATTCATCATACGTAGCGCCCATGATAGCAGCGGCCTTCGAAAGATGAAGTAGATGGAATCCAGTGAAGCCAGTCGTCGAAATAACTAATTTTTTGAAGCCATCAATAGAATTAGACGCGAAGGGAAGGTCGAAGTAGCTAGCGGAATGCTCCAGGCACTCGTTTGCTTCGAGGCACCGCTCCACCCACCATTCAGTGACAACAGGAGTGCCTTCGGGGATCGGTGGCAGTCCTACTACTGCAAAGTCATGCGGCACAACCATATAGTTTTTAAATGGAGGAGTAGCAACAGGCAGATCATCGATGTCCCGGACATCCCCATCGTGTGACAGAAGGTGTCGCGATAATGTTTTCGCCTTTCTCGGCTCGTAACCATGGATACAGAAACGGCACTGACTAAACGCGGCACGTTTCATGCTGATCGGTGCACTTGTCTGGGCCATTCCAGCGGTCAAATTTAATTCGTCAGATGAGGCCCGTTGGGATGTTTGGCCATCTCCAGGTATTCCTCGTGGTGGTTGTTCAGAGTCCGCATTCTTGGTTAACAATGTGCTGCCACCACCTACAATATCGCCCCAAACAACTTCATTCTGACTTGTAAGCTTTCTGCTCAGTGTCCTCCGCAACTTCCGGGTGCCATCTTCAACAGCTTCGTTTTCCCTCAGCCGTTTCCCAAGCGGCGACGCAGCATTTCGACGCACCCAGGCCCCTTTCCCTCTCTCTTCTGCCGGGGTTTCGGGGTGGTATAGGTTCTCATCCAGTATCATTCCTCGTTGTATGCTATCGTAAAGCCATTCTGCTGAGACGAGTCGGATCTTCCAGTCCTTGGCAAACTTATATTTCTTTCCCTCTGGTCGGCTAGCTATCAGATGAGTGATGGATCTAGTAAGATCTCCGTGGTATTCTCCCCTGTTTGAGCATATAAGGTTTATGATATTCGTCCTCTCCGCCGCTGTATTCATGACTTAGTTTGGCTCCCACGTAGGTATATATGACAGTATATACTTACAGTCTTCAAATCCAGTCATACAGACAATTAGAGAAGCTAAAGTTGGCAGGGTATGCTCAGCTTCAAGGGCCTCTAGGTCAATGTGCTTGTCGGAAATCCACAACTGGCGGATAGCCTCAATCCAGCCCACCGTCAAGATTTTGACATCTGGGCGCTCCTTCGCGACGTATCGGTATTTCGGGGTGTCGTATTCTCCCACGATGAGGTGTGTAACTTCGGAAGTTAGGTCATACTTATGTTGCGCTCCCATCTGCTCGGCCTGTTTGGCCAATGCGGTCTATCGAGCAACGGAGTTAGCAGGAGTACTCAAAGCACGCGTCGAAATACATTAACTAACTGCACGCCAACCTGCGCATTTTTGGGGGTCGGGTTCCTACTCTGGTGTCAGGCGGGATTGACGTGCAGCACAAGACTACGCCGCGAAGGGGCACGGAGGGGTCAAATGCGGCGGGTTGTGGTTGTAAGGTTATGGAAGGAGCCGGCGAGGGCAGGGAGGGACCCCTCGAGCCATTGTTCACTTCCATAGCCAGGCATGAAAGATGAGAGCGGCTGCGACTGCGAGAATTCGAGGTGGAGTGAGAAGTAGTATCCTGAATTTATGTATGCAGGATAGAGACGTCGAGGGGATTATAAGCAGTCATCAGCTTTCTATGGTGGTCGGTAGAATGTTTAGAATGCTAAATTCCTGGGAGCTGAGTGGTTGTCGCGTCTGTGGTTTGTGTAGTCTAGTAATCAATCCGCACTATCACGTGCCTCGAGTACCAGTTTGTTCCTGCATGGGAAAAGAGGGACCTGACGGCGGTGATATCATCCGCATTAGCCGTCATGGACTGCCCAGCTATTTATTATATTTTTAACAACAGTAACTATAATTAAAATAATTGAAATAGAGGCTCTAAATAATATACGAAGTATTTACCCTTTTCCATTAGCTAGTTACTAAGAACTAAAGTTAAAAGGAAGAAACTCTACCAGCTTTACTCCGTAACTAGAGCTAATCACCGTGACACGTGACACGTGCCACTTAACCCCCCTGCCAGTCGCGATTGATAACTAACTTTTTGTGATAGTGACATCATCGTCATGGGCAGTCGTAACCAGGTCGTCAACATCCACTATTCTCGATTTGCAAACTCTTCGGAGCCCAGACTGGGTATGTTGAGGGTCGGATCCTGAGAGCGATATATCTCATATTAAAGGACTGCCACTTGTAATGAGAAGAAGAGTGCGCCATGGCTCCGCCCGCTCCCAGAGGCTTTTCAATCCCAGTTGCGCCTACTCGCGGAAACAGGATGCGCGCTATAGCAGGGGAAGAAAAATCGCCATCTCATAAGAAACCAATTACGAGAGTGCAGAGCTGGTCAGCAGATGCCGACAAGCCTCTGGCTGCTGCTAATGGCATATCATGCCGGATACAGCTTGCTGAACCGCATGTCTATGTCTATGGACTCAACCCTGCGAACCGCGATATTGCCGCCCTTCAATTCCCTCCTGCAATTATTCGCGGAAAACTTATACTGAAGGTCGAAAAACCTACGAAACTTAAGGCGGTGACCCTGAACTTTTTTGGGCAACAGCGAACAGAGTGGCCCGAGTGCAAGTCTACCTTTTTATATCCTTGAATGACGAGCTGTACTGATATCAACCATAGCATTTCCTCCGAATTATGTGGAGCACCACGACGAGAAAAGACTCGAATATCAGGTCCTGCCATTTTTCAATGCTTTACTCCCCAATGAAGATGACGGATACGGGGCGCAGTGCAGTTATGTTATTGAAAATCGTGGGCCGACGACAACATCACTCAGAATAGATCCAGCGCTATCCGAAGCTCTGACTAAAGTCATGAACGGATCTAAGAAAAGACCAGTGTTAACAGCTCGCGAACAGAAGACCCTACAGAAGCGCCTACCGTGTAGCTCCGTTCGTTCTAACAGCTTCGGAAATGAGCAATCATCTAGGGCGCCCACGAGGCGAATGGGATCTGCGTCGCAAACGGGATATAAGATATTCCCCCCAGGAGTATATGAATATTCCTTTGAGATTACACTTGATCATAGATGCCCAGAAACCATGAATCTGCCCATGGGCAGTGTACATTGGAGATTGGAATCTCTTGTTGAGCGACACGGGACCTTCAAGACAAACCTGCGTGGCAAACAAGAAGTCCTTGTGGTGAGGGCTCCACAAGTCAACGCTGAAGACCAGTTATTAGAGCCAATTGATTTTACCCAGAACTACGACGAAGTTCTCTGTAACACATTAATACAAGGACGTGCATTTCCGATTGGAGGCAAGTTGTCAGTCGTCTTCACGTTTACGCCCCTCGAGAAGGTTGAGGTACGTGGAGTCTGGATTTCTATCGTCGAAGATACCAAATATTATTGCCGTGACGGATTGCACCGTAAGGAAGGTACGAAAAGGGAAGTTAGGGTGTTTGAGAAGCAGGCGGGGCAACCAACCCCAGAAGAATACGAAAGGGTCGATGTCAGATTTTTACAGGGCGGAGAACTTAGTCCCGAGCGAAGGGTACAGGCAAGAGCTCAGGCAGAGTCATTGCGAAATCAGGTGTCTATCGCCACCGGGGTTGCTCCTGAGCCATTGCCAGAGGCTGGTGACAATCTTCTCGGAGATCTCGACCTCGGACTTGATCATTTTATTAGCCAGACCGTGATGGAGGTTGATCTTCAACTCCCCACTTGCGAACAAATGCGCAAAAGCACGTCAAAGATACTTCATCCAAGCTCAAGTTTTACATCTAGCCATGTCGAGCACTTCGCCAAGGCAAGTCAATTCCTGAGATTTTGCTTGTAGACTTTTACTGACTTGGCACAGTTTTATCTACGCTTAGCAAGACTCCAAACCGACGAATCAGGAGTTCCAAGAAAGGTGGAATTTACTAAAGGGTTTGCTGTTGGCATCACGATTTTGTCATGCTTAGCAACACTTGATCGTACCACGCTCCCGATATATAGTGACAACTCCAACCCCGGGGCTCCCAGCCAGACCGCCGAGTGTGGCTGCCCGAACGCAAACACTATTAACAGTTCCTCCTTGGCGACAGCCTCTCGCAACGACCTTTTGACGGGATTTAGTAACATTGGCGGTTCAAATCCCTCTGTTCTACCATCATGGCCTGGAGACAATACAACTCCTCGCATACGGCCCATACAGATGATGAGATACCCTAGCTACGCGCCCCCACCATTCGATGCCGACCAGCCCCCACCATCCATCACTTCCCCACCACCGAACTACGATAATGTCGTCGGCACTCCCAGCCATGATGGGCTCACAGACTATTTTTCAAGGATGGCAAACACGTACGACGAGAGTCAAGGCGAGGATGAAGACGAGGACGAGGACGATGCGGAAAGCGAGAGTGACACTGGGAGCGAAAGCAAAATACGTCGGAATACTAGCCGCAACGGTCGCGTCTGTATATCGAATCCCAGGTCGCCGGGTCCGCGAGTACGGAGCAACAGTATGGGGCTCATGTATAGGCGGGAGCTGGTTGACGCTATGCAGGAAACCCAGACGGGAAGCGGAGCTATTGAGCAGCCTGGGGGGTCCCAGCCTGAAGACAACACAAGCCGAGTTTGATTGAAATTACTTTGATGATTAGCGTGGCGTCGGGGGCGATGATTGTTGGTGTTTTGCATACTAAGCGTTTGTTTAGCAGCACAGCGAATGGTTTCTATTATGTCTATCTTTCGGGGAGCAAGGGAGTTGTACTATCATTACTATACCGTATTGTCAGGAACTGATGATACATAGCGTTTTGTTTTTGTCTTTATCATCCCAGCCAGAGGGGGCTGTCTTGGAGTTTGGGAATGCTACCTCTTATGCGGATGACAGTTTTATAAATAATTCAAATAGAAACCATTGGCATCATACTCATTATATTCTACTGTGATTGTAACCAAACCCATTCACAATTAAAACTCGAGTTGAATTGTTTTGATATCATTTATTTTTCCATCTGGGAAAAGCTATGTACTAATAACCCATCCCCTCCTGGTGAATTATAGACAACGAAGATGAGTGTGTGGCGTAGGCCTGCAAACGTGCATTTGTACAATACCGATCTCGCAAAAAGATGCCATCACAAAAAGTAGCCAACTCCCCCTTACAGGACCCGTCTTCCTCCGCACCAATAACGAGTGTTAAATTATAGGGACCGACTTCAGTCTGATTTATGGTAATGGCAATTCTGCCCCCCCTGACGCCCCCCCTATCCCGCAAAAAAACAAATCTCCCATCGAAAATCGACATTGGTATTCTCGGAGATCATCAAAGATTATCATAAGCTGCCGCCACACCCGGCGCCGGGCCCTCAAGATCCACAGCCTCGACACTGCTGCGCAGCTTGGCGCTCTGGTTAACGAGATTCCCAAAGTACTTGCGCGCGACCTCGCTCTCGCCGCGCGTCTTCAGCGTCTCCTCCCTCTTGATGCCGAGGTGCTCGACGCTGCGCTGCAGGCCGACGCGTAGGTTGTCGGCGGGGAAGTGGAGGACTTTGCGAACGGAGGAGGTGATGCGTGTAGAGTTGGCGTGAACGTAGTCGATTTCCTCGAGTTGGACCGAGATCTTGGTTGCGAGGCGGCGGGGGAGGGAGTGTGGGATTTGGGCGAGGACGTAGGCGGCTGCGGCGATGGCTAGAGGGACGGAGTTGGTATGGCTTGTGATAAGGGGGGGAGTAGAGTGCTTACCTGCGGCGAGAACGCCAGGCACAATCAGCTTGCGGAGATTGTTATTTCCAACAAGCTTAGCCGCGCCGAGAGCCCCGTCGACCCATCCAAAGCCTCCCACCATGCGTGTCCCGACCACTGTTACGACGGTCATTGCCATGCCTGTGCCTGCGACCTTCTCTTGTCGGTGGAGGATGGTGGACCAGTCAAAGAAATCCCACACCTCGGTTTCAACGTGGACTTCCCTGGCAAGCATGTCGCGTTTGCGTCGGAACATGACGTCGCTGCGGAAGCTGAGATCTGTGTACTCATCACCAAGGTGGATAAGTCCGAGTTGCTTGATAGTGTTCACTCCTTGTACCGTTTGCTGGCGCGCGTGCTCCTCGCATTGAGTAACGGAAGTCGAGATCTGGGATAATATGGCCTCCTTAATTTCCTCCGCAAAATCAAACGCACCAAATACGCCCTTGTATTGAATGCCCAAATCTGCCTCGGCTGCGTGGCTTATTGTTGATACGAGCGTCGAGCGGGTGTAGTCGTAGATTTCCTTGCACGTCTTTTCGATCGTCTGGTCAATGTCATCGCTGACCTCAGACTTCGCGTTCTGCGATGCCTCAAGGATAGGTTCCAGTTCTTCAAGCTCCTTTGTGACGCGGTCCAACTCAGCTTGTGCGACATCGACGTTGACGCTGGCGAGGGCATGGACGTCTCCGAGCATATTAAGGAGGTATGTCTTTGCGGGCGCAAGTTTAGACCGCGCTCGTTTTTCCAATACAAATCTGCGAAGTGATTGCTCGAGTGCCTCAAAGTCCTGAACCTTCTCCTTCTCCTTGCCTTTATACTTCTTTGAATTGTCGTCGTCGTCATGGTCAGGGTCGTCCCCCCCACCGCCGCCGCCGCCACGTCCTCCTAGAGGAGCAGTTGGGACGGCATTGCTGGACACGAAGTGTACAAGTTCCGAGGACTCTTTGTGGGTTCGAGGACTAAGGCCCGCGACTTGGTCCAATATCAGCTTCTGGCACCTTTGCTTGTCCTTGATATTATCATAGCCGTTAACGACGATGAAAATATAAGCTTTTTCCGCCGCTGCTGCCCCGATAAATTCCCTGGCCGTCAAAGTGAAGTGGTTGGCGGCATTTACGACGAAGACAACAACGTCAATCTCCTCTTGCCGGGCAAAGACGGCAGTGGTCTTGGTGGTATCGAAGTTGAGGCCAGGCGCATCAATCAGTGAGATATCAACGACGCCATTGTTGAGCAATGACTCGTCGATTGTTCTCACGTCCTTGACGTAGACCTTGCATTGCGTGTACGTTTCATTGTCGATGACTATGCGCTCAAGTTCGGCCAACGAGAAAACATCGAAGGTGCTCTCGTCATGACGGTTGTATTCGCTATCCTTATGTATGGCGTGGACCTCCTCGATTCCTCCGTTTTCACGAGCGTCCAGAACTTCGCAAAACAGACTCGTGCATGGTTGCTGATCTTCCGGCAGGATCTTCCTTCTCAAAAGCGCATTGCAGAATGTTGATTTGCCGGCATTCAAGTCTCCAGTAACAAGGACTTTGCTTGATGTATCCTCAATCCTTTCCCTGAGCGACAGAAGATGCTTGATGCTGGAGCTAATCTTTCCGTCCAACAGCGCAGCAATAGATCCTTTTTCGAGAGAGTGTACCAGTTCCACTTGGTGAAGAGCCCCAAGCTTGAGGTCAAGCTTCAATATCGAAAAATCTTGTGCTATTTGCGGCGTAATCAGCCTGGGTTCTGGTACCGTTCGTTGCTCGGCAGCTGAGCTTGATTCCGCCTCCGAGGATTCTGCCAGGGACGTCGCCGCTCGTCGCATAAGTCCAGGTCTTGGTGACACACTGCGATTCGAGGGATTCGAGAACGTCGATTGTGAGCGAGTTAGGCTGGGTTGCGGCGTCTGGTTCGCCCTGGTCAGAGTTTCCGCCCCTTGAACAGAGGGGTAATGGGCCGGCCATTTGGCGTTGAACTGTTGAAGTTCCTTCAGTGTTTCGACCACATTGTTAATATATCTCGCAAGCGCTCCGCGGTGTGAGTTGTACCAAAGCTGATGGATCGCAGCAGCTTGTACCCTCCGTTCGTTCTCAGATGCGGCACTGGACTGGCCGTGATATGTTGGGGTGTGCGACGGCGTCGGTCTGTCTTCGGTCATGATCGGACTCCATGGGGCTGGTCCAGTCGCACTCTCGCCCATTATACTACCGCCATATCCCGAGTCATGATCTTGTCGGTCAAGAAGAGCTTTCAGGCGAGCCGCATTTTCAGATGTTGAACCATTGCCTACAGTGACATATTTCGGCGGGCCGGAAGCGGTCGGTAGTTGCTGCTCGCGCTGCTCCTTCTGCTCTTTCTCACGGCTTTCGCTGCTGTCGGAAGACTTTCCCTTTCCTTTATAGTAGTCCTGGCTCATTTTGGTAGGGGGCAATCCATCAAGGGCGGTATAGTGAGAGATGGTGAAGTCTTGTTCGGTTTGTTGGGAATATGAAGTAGTTCGCTACCAATTCGTTATAATCTTAAGGGTACTGGGTCCTCTAGCGTGGCGACGTTCGGTCATTGTATTCGCCGCTCCAGCCAACCGGGCCGACAACTTCCGCCACAATGTGCTGCATATGCCTGATGATGTACCTTGTACACTATAACCACGACGAAACCAGGTTGCTCACCAAAGCCACCACAACCAGCTTCTAGATAAATCTCTGCCTTGCCATTAACTTTAAATTGTTCAGTTACAACCTACCCCATACCTATTTACTAGAACTCTGCCGCAGAAATGAATGTGAGAGCCTCAGATTCCCTCATTGACTTCCGTTTACTCATATGGCCGTGTAGATCGTCGAATGGGCATTTGGGAAGCGTATGACGCCGGCTGAGCGTCTGCGCAAACACCAGCGCGCCCTGGAGAAAACGCAGAGGGAACTGGATCGCGAAAGGATAAAGCTGGAGAACCAAGAAAAAAAGCTGATCATCGAGATCAAGAAGAGCGCAAAGAGTGGACAAATGGGAGCTTGCAAGATCCAGGCCAAGGACCTGGTTCGAACGAGGAGGTCAGTCTACTCTAAAAGGACTATCTGGGCGAGTTGAATGCTAACGTATACGGTTATAGATATATCGAAAAGTTCTACTCCATGCGGACGCAATTACAAGCCATCTCATTGCGCATTCAGGTGAGCAAATTAGGGTGGGCATATACACAGTAAGGGTCACATACTGACTGCTAGGCAGACGGTCAGGACCAACGAACAGATGATGCAGTCGATGAAGGGAGCTACTAGAATTCTTGGGAGCATGAACCGAAGCATGAATTTACCAGCGCTCCAACGTATAGCTATGGAATTTGAGCGAGAAAACGAGATGATGGACCAGAGGCAAGAGATGATGGATGATGCTGTTGATGATGCGATGGGGGTAGATGATGAAGCAGAAGGCGACGAAGTGGTTGAGCAGGTTCTGGAAGAAATAGGTGTTGATCTCCGTCAGGCAGTAAGTATCCCTCCTTTGGTTGTAGCTCTAGGAGAGTGCTAATTCTCGTAAAGATGGGCGAGACCCCGCAGGGTCTGCAAACCGAAGCTGTGCCCGAAAGCCGAGTTGCTCAGGCCGTTGGCGGTGGAGGCGTTGGCAGTGGTGATCCTGGCGATGATGACCTTCAGGCTCGATTGGACAGCCTCAGGCGTTAGGCTACAGGCATGCGCTGGTCTTTTAATGTGAATAGAAGTAGGGATAAAGTGGTGGATGATGGGCGCTTTTGGAGGTTCAATTTTCGGCGCCAAGGTGTTTGGGAAGGCTCATGATGGCCACATAGCATGCACAGCGACTAGCAGATATATGTTAATTTTTGAAGATCATGTTGAAACATAGACTTTGGCTGTTAAAGGCAGGGTTAGAAACTCGAGTATACTCATGAGTATTAGCACGTATTCGTACTCATGAGTACAGTAAATCCTCGTACTCATAACGTGCATGTATACGAAAGTGCCAAACAAGCGAAAGTGCCAAAATATCGCGACTACCCCATAAGAATTGCGATAAATCCACCACAACAATATAAATTAATTAAAACTACTCGGAGTCCTCTTCCTCAGACCTGTCTATTACAATCTGACAAGTGCGCGCATTGTGTCCAGTCTCACCACACTTGCCACAGCGACGTGCATGGGTTTCTTCCCTTGGCTTCCGACCACTACTTGCCCTTATTTCTTGCTCTACTTGCTGCACAACGTCCCTCTCGTCCTGTAGCTCCTGTGCTACCTGTTGACTAAGTGATCCTCCTTGCTGTAGTCGTGTTTTTTTAGCTCTCCGGCGCTTGCTTAGCACTTCATTTGCCTGTCACAGGTTTTGGTTCTCTGCTTTTAACAATGCTAATTGATGCATTATTTGCGATGCACCCTTTGTAAACTGGTCAACAGCTGCATAGATTGAGGTTGGAGAGCTATTTTGATGATGCGCAATTCAGTTTTTAATGAAAGTAGACTGTGATACAGCTTCAGTTGGGTTATTTGGTGTCTGAGAAACCCATGGTTGAGTGGTGTTTGGGCGAGAGGTTGGAGGTGTTGGCGTCTTAAACCAAAGGTCAAGTCTAGATATTACACTCTCAGGGCTAAATGGAAGAAGCCCAGCACCTCGGAACCCTCCCTGAATATTGCTTTCTGTCATTGCAATGTTAAATGCAGCGTGGAAGGCAGGAAAGAAGTCATCCTTAGTAATGTGAATAATATGAGCCCGCATCATATCTTCAATTTGCTGACTGTAAGCTCTCTTTAATGGGCCAAAACAGCCAACATCAAGTGGTTGGAGTATATGGGAAGAGTGAGCAGGCATACAAAGCGTAATAATGTTGTGTTCTTTGCAGTACTCCTCAAACTTGTCTGAGTGGTGGCTCTCATGACCATCAAGTACTAACAAGCGATAACCACCAACACTCCGGGGCTTTGTGTGGTTCTCAAAATGCTGAATCCAATCCATACCTCTCTCGTTTGTAGTCCAGCCATTTGCAGTAACAGCGATTACCCAATCTGCTGGAAATCCGCTATTCTCATACCAAGATGCAAGGTGGTTTTTACCTGCCACAATGACAAATGGCGGCACTGCCCAACCTTGAGAACTAGACTGGCCACGGTCCGGTCCGGTCTGGTCTTTTAATGTTGAGTGAGGACTGTTTTACGGTCCAGTCTTTTTTTTTAGGACTGGACCGTGAGACAAAAAGACCGGACTGATAACATTCTAGTCTTTTTTTTAGAGTGTAGACTGTTTGCTAAAGTTGAGGTCCCTTTAAAAGACCGGACTGATAATAGTCCAGTCTTTTTTTAGAGTGTGGACTGTTTGCGAAAATTGAGGACTGTTTAAAAGACTAGACCGTTCGGTCTTTCCTAAGAACAGTCCGGTCCAGTCCAGTCTTTTACATTATAAGTGGGGGCCACCACATGTCATCACATGATATGTTATTAGGAATAGCTTTAAGTGCAATCGAATATTAATAACGTTACTATTAAGTGTTACTGTACATGCATTTTGAGGTATAAGTTGAAAATAGTATAACTATAATAGTTCCATTTACACACTGTTAAATAATTACACGTGATTATAATTACACGTGATTATATTTACACCGTGATATTATATTTACAAGTGATATCATATTATTCAATCAAAATCGATCATAGAGTAGTCAATTAGTTATGACTTATATTTGATATGAGTTTAATTAAGCATTAATAGCAGCTACTAACGTTACTATTAATTATTACTATAGTTTGATAAATATTATATGGTTAACGTACATGTATAGCGAAAGCGCCAAACAAGCGAAAGCGCCAAAATGATGCGGTGACCAAACCCCCCAACTAAATGTTAAATTCCTCAACAACAAAACATGCCCCATAAAAACGATGAAAGCCAATTAGTGCTAGCTATCCAGGCTATGCAAAGCGACCCAAAGTTACGCCTTGGAGTTGCTGCTAGGATCTATTCTGTGGACCACCGCAAGCTAGGTCGTCGTCTAGAAGGTGTACCTTCACGACGCGATATCCAAGCCAACTCACGGAAATTAACTAACCTAGAGGAGTCCGTCCTTGTTCAGTATATACTCGACCTAGCTGCCAAAGGGTTTCCTCCTCGGCTGTCTGTTGTTGAAGATATGGCAAGTCGACTACTTGCAACACGCGACGCGTCACGCGTTGGGTCGCGTTGGGCTTCAAACTTTGTTAAGCGGCGTGTAGAGCTCCAGACACGCTTTCAGCGCAAATACGACTACCAGAGGGCTAAGTGCGAAGATCCAGAAGTTATTAATGGCTGGTTTGAGCTTGTGCGTAACACAATTGCGAAATATGGTATCGATGAAGCAGATATCTACAACTTTGATGAGACTGGGTTTATGATGGGCGTTATCTCAACTGCTATGGTTGTAACAAGCTCAGACGGGCGGGCAAAAGCAAAGAAGGTACAGCCTGGTAATCGGGAATGGGTTACAGTAATCCAAGGCGTTAGTTCTCAAGGTTGGGCAGTACCACCATTTATCATTGTTGCAGGCAAAAACCACCTTACATCTTGGTATGAGAATAGTGGATTTTCAAGCGATTGGGTGATTTCTGTTACTGAAAATGGCTGGACTACAAACGAGAGAGGCATGGATTGGATTCAGCACTTTGAGAAGCATACAAAGGCCCGGAGTGTTGGTGGTTATCGCTTGTTAGTCCTTGATGGTCATGAGAGCCACCACTCAGATGAGTTTGAGGAGTACTGCAAGGAACACAACATTATTACGCTTTGTATGCCTGCTCACTCTTCTCATCTACTCCAGCCACTTGATGTTGGCTGTTTCGGCCCGTTAAAGCAGGCCTATGGTCGGCAAATTGAAGATATGATGCAGGCTCATATTTCTCATATTACAAAGGATGACTTCTTTCCTGCCTTCCACGCTGCATTTAACACTACAATGACGGAAAGTAACATTCGAGGCGGGTTCCGAGGGGCAGGGCTTCTTCCATTTGACCCTGAGAGAGTGATATCTACACTTGATCTTAAGTTAAGGACACCAACGCCTCCAAGCTCCCGCCCAGGTACTGCTCAACCTTGGGTTTCTCAGACACCAAACAACCCAATTGAAGCTATGTCACAGTCTACATTTATTAAAACTCGGATTTCACGCCATCAAAATAGCTCTCCAACCTCAATCTATGCAGCTGTTGACCAGTTTACAAAGGGTGCATCGCAAATAATGCATCAATTAGCACTGCTAAAGGGAGAGAACCAAAACCTACGACAGGCAAATGAAGTACTAAGCAAGCGCCGGAGAGCTAGGAAAACACGACTACAGCAAGGAGGATCACTTAGTCAACAAGGGGCGCAAGAGCTACAGGATGAGAGGGATGTTGTGCAGCAGGTAGAGCAGGAAATAAGGGCAAGCCGTGGTCGGAAGCCAAGGGAAGAAACCCGTGCCCGTCGCTGTGGCAAGTGTGGTGAGACTGGGCACAATGCGCGCACGTGTCAGATTGTAATAGACACCTCTGAGGAAGAGGACTCCGAGTAGTTTCAATTGATTTCTAATGTTGTGGTAGATTTATCGCAATGTTTGTCGTGAGGGTAGATAATTTTGGCGCTTTCGCTTGTTTGGCGCTTTCGCTTGTTTGGCGCTTTCGCTATACATGTACGTTATACCGTTACTGTCACGACTGAAATACTAAAGACAGGTTGTGAAATCATCAATTGACTATTTATACAAGAACACACTAATTTATCTAATGCTGCGAGAATTGGCGAACCAGGACACAAGCTGCATATCCTTGTTCTGGATGGTGATACGCTTGGCGTGGATGGCGCACATGTTGGCCCCTTCGCACTATTAGTATAGTTTTTGTAGGTGTTCATAGAGACAGCTTACCTTCGAAGTATGACACAAGGTGGGCCTCAGCGGCCTCTTGGAGGGCACAGATGGCAGTAGACTGGAAGCGGAGGTCTGACATGAAGCTTTGCGCGACTTCACGAACAAGACGCTGGAATGGGAGTTTGGGGAGGATGAGGGCGGCCGACTTCTGGTAGTGTCGGATCTCGGCGACGATCCGTTCTTTCATATAAGTTAGTAGTGTGAACAATATTCTATTAGAAAAGAATAGCATACTGTTGACAGAAGCCTTGCTCAAAGGAGGGACAGGGCGAGGGGCTTGTTGTGGGAAGTTGGAGCCAGGGTGATCCCGCTCACAGTTCCTTTTCTGGGCATTGTAGCTCCAGATCTTTTCTTGGCGGGCTCGGCGCGCAGTCTTGTGAATACCGACTGTTTGTTGAGTTAGTAACCTTGTATTGCTTGTAGGGTAGGGTGGAATACTTACCGTGGCGCTCAGGCTTTTGCTTGGTGCGAGCCATGGTACAGATGTGAGCGAGAGCGATATCTAAAACATGTTAATTTGCCATATTGTAGCAATTTGGCATTACTGCTGGGCGTTACTGTAGTTGTAACGCCCAAAGAACAAAAGGGGTGAACTTACAAAGGTTGGTGACAGAAGGAAAAATTGCTAGAACTTGTATATTAGTAAAATAAACACAATACCGTTACTCTACAGCGTTACTGTAGGGTTAAATCAAATGTAAAGAAGATTGAACTTACCAATGTTGCTAGACGCATTATCTCAGAATTGTTGTAGAAGTTAGGATCGAATTCGAAGTAAGGGCGCTTAAGTGTTGTTGCAAACAAAAAAAACTCCGTTTCTTGTTCCAAATCCGGACGTGTCAATAACAAAGAATAGTACGAGTAAGTTAGCAAAGAAACCACCCTTACATTTGATTACCTCTGATTATTAACTTCCTTTTAGATTTCCAAATTTATTGACTATACTGACCCCGACCAGTAAGTAGTTGCGCCCCTACTT